CTTCACACGGTTACAGCTTAAAAGGATACGCTCAGGTCACATCTGACACCCACTTGAGGTACGTACAAGTCTTGTTCTCGGTCGCGTTTCCCACATGCCCTGCGATGTGCCTCTCAGTGGCGCCACCGGCTTACATGTTATTTTCCATCTTTCTCTTCCTCTGTGGGGCAACTCTCACTCTTCCCTTACCTGGCAATTGTATCTCGTTCACATCATGTCCATTTCAGATGCGCAGAGCTATCTCTTGGGTTGAGGGGTTTTTTTTACTATCCCCACTTCTGGACCCTCTCGCAAGAGGGGCCGAGGATATGCATATCTGCGATCCGCTTTTATCTTGCGGCTCTCGATCATACCACCCCTTTGCTTCATAGTTCACTTCATTTGTGTTTTTTCCTTCTGTTTTACAGCCTAGCTTCAACATGCGAACAACTACTGACTTCTGATTTAGCCGTTGAAAATAGTGCATATACCCATCCACCGTCCCTCCCAGAAGCAGAGATTGGCATTTTACCCCAACCTCATTGCGCACGTGTGGAACAAAGACGGGTGCTTTATCGCATATGTTCATTTTTCTTGAACTGAGGGGCATCTAGACAGTACAGCTTTGCCTATTAACAAAGATCGTACAGGTCAGTGAACTACCTCTCGTTCCTCCCTGACGTCGGGCTATTCCTTGATCAGACAACCCCGCTCTGATTGTGTTGCTTCAGTGAGTGTCGAGTGGCGCTCATGGTGACACAGTCCCCAGGGAACAATCACGTTTGTCACACAGATTAGACTGGGAATCCCGTACTAACATCGCAACAGTGTGCCTCTTACCATAACAGACAATGACCACGCCATCTAACAAATCCATCCCGATGGCTCAATCTTCCACCCCACCCACTGCGGCGACCGCGTCTGCCATCCTCGAGAAGACTCACCCAGGCGTGCGCCGTTCCACCCCAGACTCGGATGCATTGGCTTCCTCTGACGATGATGGAGACCATGGAACGCAGGCCCAGAACATTATCCCCCCTGCCACCAGGCCACCAGTCCGTCGCACTTCATGGCTAAATGAAGTGCCACTTTCCGCTCAGCGTAAACATTCTCTACCTGGCGGTCATCTTTCCTCTGCCCCATCCAATCCTACAAGCCCCGCTAGCGATCAGGCACCCTGGGGGACAACTACGAGCCCAGGCCTTGCCGGATCTTTCAATTGGAATCAAACCGGAGGAAGTACATTCCCCTGGGGCACAGGCACAGGAATCTGGAACACTGAATCACGCAAGGAGCCTCCTTCTCGCTTGGCAGAAATGATACCTTCTCCGACCATGACCAACCCTCCTCCAGCCAGCAATATGCCAGACGAGATGTTGAGCCCAATAACCCGTACTATCTCTGGTGAATCTGCCATTCCATTCTCCATTCCGCTACAACCAACCCTCAAAACCTATCGCTCCCAGTCATATTCTGTTGGTCAGATGGATCCTGATTTCCTCAGCCTCGCTGCTAGCAAAGCCAGTGCGGCTCCTGCTGCGCAATACCCAGGAAGTCGCTCCCGTGGTCCAGGCCAGATGTCTGCTGTTCAGCCTCGAGCATCACGTCCCAGTATGCTCGGCGAATTAGGACACGATACTGCAATGCTCGGCCGAGTCCGCGAGGATGATGATGGCGACGAGAGTCTCAACGGCTCGGAAAGCGAAATGAGCTACTCAGCGAGTCAGGCCCGGCAGATCGAGCAGCTGGCGCGCGAGAACGCACTCTTGCGGCAAGCGGCTGCGGCAGGTCAAATGGATAACAGATATCGTGAGCGGGCTGGATCAGCTGCATCAATCGGTGGAGGTGCTCACCCACTGCACCGTATCCGAGGCGGTGTTCCAGAGGGAGATTTGGTTGAAGAGGACCCGGGAGAATTGCGTGATATCACAGGATACAACAGCATGCGTGGCAATCCCCGGCGCCGATTCTCTGAGCATTTATCGCACCCAGAACAGCAGTTCTCGTCATTCACCTCCCCTCTGGAGAATCGTGCTCTAGACAATGTCCGCAAAGCCCATTGGCAAACATCTCTCGGCTTCGGTGGCATGCCTGACATGCCTCAAAGTCGCCGTCACTCTTTCGCCGAGATTCCGATGCGTCATGGCTCAATCGGTCCTGTGGACTCGCATTCGTCTGCCACTCCTCGTGCAACTATGGGAGACCGTGATGACGGATATGGAAACCTCAATGATTATTCCAACCGTGAGTCTATTTCCTCGCCACACCGGTTTGCTTTCACCAAACGCTAACCTTTTCTGTAGAACCCTACTACTCCCGTGAACAGACGTTGCGTGGAGATGGCTCCTCGGGCATTCCGACATCTCTCAGCCAATATGCAATGTCGAGTGCATATGGTCGGCAGCCATCCGCCTTATCTCATGCTCATCAAAACCAGCTTTTGTACATTGTCGCCTTCAAATGCAGCCGCGCAGATGTTTTCTACATCCAAGAAGATACCGGTCTCCAGGTGAAAAATGGTGATCTAGTCATTGTGGAGGCCGATCGGGGAACGGATTTGGGCACCGTTATTCATGCAAACATATCGCTCCAACAGGCACGGGAGTTAAAGCAGCACTATGCGGAAGAGCATTACAAGACCCTCATGATTTTCTCTAGACATGGCCAGCCTGAGACATCCAACCTCACCAACCTCACCAACCCTAACACGGGCTTAAACACTCGAAGTACCACAGGGGGCATGGGTCCCCACGGTCCTCACAATGCGCAGGAACCCACCACCGATCTCAAACCTAAACTCATCAAGCGGTTGGCACAGCAACATGAGGTCCTCACTTTGCACGACAAAGAGGGAAATGAAGCCAAAGCCAAGCGGGTCTGCCAGCAGAAAGTGGTTGAGCACCGACTTAATATGGAGATTCTCGATGCCGAGTTCCAAATGTGAGTCTAGCTGGTTCTAATTACCATCTGCGATGGTTGACTAATTGTTGTGTAGGGATTGGAAAAAGCTTACGTTTTATTACTTTGCTGATTCGTACATCAACTTCAACTCGCTGGTGACTGATTTGTTCAAGATCTACAAGACTCGCATCTGGATGTCAGCTATCAACCCGGCCTCGTTTGTAACACCTCCTACAGCTGGCCTGTCAGGTCCTAGCACCATGCCCAACCCCCTTTATGGCCAGGACGCAGATCGTCGCCACCAACTTGAGAGCAGATCCTATGGCGGAGCGCGCGATGCTGTCGACCCAGGCCGAGAAAGGCCGAATCCCGTGGGCATGCTTCGCACCTCCTACGGAGAGTCCTTCCAGCCCTTGTCTCAGCCACTCCGTCATGCTGAAGGACCTCATTCGGATATCTTTGCCCCACAGGTGCCATCCAGCTTTGGTCCTGCAGATTCATTCGAATATTCTGGCAATATCAGCGGCTCCAATGGATCTTCACGTATGAACCCAGCGCAGGGCGAATGGATCAACCGATTCCAGGGCCTATCGCTCAACTCCTAAATCACATTTCCCCCTCTATCCCTATCCTTTCCTTTCTTGCCTCCGCCTCTCCTCGCCTATCTCTGTACAATCGTGACCCCCTGCCTATTCGCGTCCTGTCCCATGTTCTGGGGCTTATCCTCGCGGTGAAAGAGACTTCATGAACCTAGACTTTGCTCAGCTTTGTTATTTTCTCTTTTCCCAGATATTGCCACTTTGTTTATTTCGTTCTTTTATTTCCTTTTCTTTTTTCCCTCAAAGAATGCTTTCACCCGAAATATGGACGCCATTGTCGTCTTTTCTCTATATCACGTTCACGCAAACTCTGATCTGCCCTACTTTTTTCTGTTTCCCCGTTCCTCGCTTTTGCTCGAGGTGTCGAGGTCTTGTTCCCCTGTACTACTGTTGTTAGAATTCATACCCAGGGCGTGCTGCTCTACTGGACACTCCCGTTCTGTCGTTACCGCCCCTTTTCGCCATAGATCTGTTTCTGCGTGACGAATTATGTCTTCCATAACCAGACTATCTCTATCTACAAATGGATGTGTGCGTTGTTTGTGTTAATTGAAGTTAGTTTGAATCTTTGAATTGAGATTCTCGTGCTTGTTCTTTTGCATTTGGTTGATAATTTCTCAATATTTACAAGTATGTATACATATTGGGAGTCTGAAGGTCACAATTCTCGCGGAGAATATAGAAAGGGGTTCATCCAGGTCCGGAGGGGGAGGTGAGATTAGTGTCATTCATTATGTCTTGTACTTCGCTTTCTTCGTTCTGCCTATTGACTAAAATGAGATGCAAACACTCAGCTTGATAGAGGAATTAACCAGAGCCAGGTAGATCTTCCATTCAGGCTGGTTTTTTGAACATCTTCCCTATTCTCTCTTCGAGTAGCCTAGCACCCCTAGGCTTGCAGAGATGCCATACATCATCTACGAATCTCCCTCACCAGGGCCTGACCTGATCGTCACGAGGGCTGGCATATTGAGGTTTCTCTCAATCCTTGCCGAATAAACCCTAGACTAAGCTCGTGCGGTGTATCCCCACCGCTCTGGATCCAGACAGGCTAGACAGGCTAGACAGAAAACGAGCAAGAATATCAGAAAGCCCTAGCGTGATCCGGTCACGATGCCATGTTGGCCACCCAAGCCTAGCTAGCACAACCCGAATATATTTCGCAGGGAGTAGAACCAACCGACTTTCTTGAGTATGGAAACACTACCACAATCAGCACGACCATCCATCAAAACAGGAAAAGAATGAAAACTTACCAGCTCTCAAGCCCATTTGTCATGTTTCCCACTAACCTTAACATCCAGCAAGATCTCATGGAAATTTCCCTCCCTCCTTCCCTTCCTCAGCCTCTTGACCTCATCATCATTCAACCCCCGTCCAACAATCCCCTCAAGCTCTTTCTTACTGATTTTCTCATACGCTTTACTCTCCTTCGACGCGCGCAACTTAGGCTTGAACCTCGCCTGCATGCGGACGCGCACAGTCGTCTCAAAAGAAATTGTATTCGCGTCTCCGCGGATCTCAACGCCGGCGGTTGCTTTGGTGTTTTCCTTTATCGAAAGGAAAGACTCGCCGTCGCCGCCGTGCGTTTGGAGGGGAGAATGTACCCGAGACTTCGGGGGAGGGGATTGCTAGGAAGGATTCGTAGGGACTGACCGCTGCGGCGGTTGCTGTGAACAAGCCGTGTGCGTCTGAGGAGAGGTATCTATCGGGAATTGTTGGTTAGCATGAGAAGAAAAAACAGAAAACGGAGGGAAGGCATGCTGCGATAAAACACAATGTTTACTCACTTCCCATGATGTCCCTTGAAGCTAAACGACTCTGTCCCTGCCACCCGCGACGCAACCCAGACCTGTCGCACATCGTGTGGCTCCGCCGTGGACGGGTCTCCCTCGACGAGGTTCTCGATCTTGCTGGCGAAGACTTGGCCGTTCGCGTCGCTGGCCACGCAGGTTGGGTCGTCTGAGGGCAGAACTAGAATTACTGGGCCGGCGATGTCGCTTGGTACTTCGGCGGAGACCCAGCTTTGGTCGTCTGGACTGTCTTCCGGTTCGGCTTCGGGTTCGGTTTTGCGCGATTTGGAAGTTGGACCGTCATTGTCTGTTGTGCGGGTCTTGCGCTTCTTTGGCTTGTCGCCTTTGAACGTTAAAGGTTTGACCATTGTGATTTGGAGACTGTGGTGATGGTTGGAGCTTGGAGGTTTTGCGGCGGGGAGAGGCGAGGCCGGGCTTGGCTTAATGACGGAGTGTCTGTGGACACCGTTCTCGACTTTGCTCTATTTGCATATTTATAGCACAATTTAATATTATTAACCCCTCTCTCTCTGTGTGTATGTGTGATTACTATCACAGATCATATTTGAGAATAAGAATATTCATCTCAAAAGTACGTTGTTGGCCTACAAGGTCCTCACTTTCAAGTATGAAAACAAGGTGCCCCGTAGTTCACGATGAGAGTCAATTATATCAACCTCTATAGAGATTCATGTTGCAGTCCACAGTTTGAATCTAATCGAAGACTATGGCAGCCTTGATGGCGGTCTTATTGCGCATCGCCTCAAGACACTCCTCCCATTGCTCAATCTTGTACACTTTGTTCACAATCCCATCAACCTTCACCTTGCCAGAGTCAAGATAGTCAACAGCAGCAGGGAACTTGTACGTCTCAGAGAAGCTGCCTAGGATAGTAATCTCATCACCAACTGGAACGAAATCAGCAAAAGAAGTCAAGGGAAAGCGACAGGAAAACTTACAGATCTTAGCCGGCGACCACGAGACTCGAACCTCGCTCGAGTACACGCCGTACACAACCAGCTTACCACCACGACGAACATAGTTAATCGAGTCTTCAAGAATCTTCTGGCTACCAGTAGCCTCAACAACAATGTCAAATCCATACGGATTCTCAGCCTTGAGAGCATCGAATTGAGCCTGAGGACTCTCGCGCGACAACTCAATATACTTATCAGCAGCACCAAGTCTCTGGGCCAAATCCATCTTCAGACCTCCAGGAGCAACTACAACGACATTGCAACCACCGTTCTGGCGCAGCATCTGAGCCAACACCAGACCAGTAGGACCAGCACCGAAGATCAGCACGGACGAGCCCATCTTCGGGGCGATTTTGTCCAGACCGTGGGCGGCGCAGGAGGCGGGCTCGAGAAGAGTCGCATCAACGTCGGATAGGTTTTTGATCTTGAACACTCTGCCAGCTAGAACGGAGTTTAGAATCAGAATGAAGACCCCGGTACGCTTTTGACATGCTCCGCTTACCAGGGTAGGCGCAGTACTCCGCAAAACCACCATTCATTGTCACACCGTGGGCCTCAAAGTGCTCACAGAAGAGCTCGTCGCCACGGCGGCAGTAGAAGCATGTTCCGCACAGCTCGGAGTTATCTGCAACGACTCGCTCGCCGATCTCAAAGTCTTTGACCTTGGGTCCAATGGCTGCGACTACGCCGACAGTCTCGTGGCCTGGGATCAGAGGGAACTATGGAGTGGTCAGAATATTGAGGCATTAATGCTTGATATTGTGGAAAATCATACCTTGGCAATGAATTCACCCTCGTGAATGTGCAGATCAGTGCCACAAACACCACAGGCCTTGACTTTGATCTGGTTATTTGAGAGTTTGATCAGTCTACTTCACCACATATTGATGGACGAATTCATACCAGGACATCATTCTCGCGGAGCTCAGGCACAGGTACCTCAACGATCTTGTGCTTCTTTGGCTCTGAATACTGCAGAGCACGCATTGTCTTAGGGATAGAGGTTGCCATGATTGGAAGTGGGAGTGTTATGTGGAAGGAAGAGGAGGGAAAGGTCAAAATACCAAAGCAACGAGAAAGAGCAAGGGACCAAGATGATCAAATCAATATAAATGCCTCGAGAAAGAGGGGAACATTTGAAGTTTCTCCCAAATTGTCTCATTAAAGCGCCCCATACTCACCTCCAGGGCTTCAGACGAAGCATACAGATCAGCTTGCAATTCGATGTGGGTCAAGATCGGCGTCATTTGCTTGCATTCGACTCCACTGAGATGGGAGATCGCTATCTATGTCTTCCCTCATATCAATTCGTCTGAATCCTCCAAGATGAGGTTTGACATTTACGTTTTTGCGGCAAGTGTGATGAAATCGGGAGAACTCCGCGGGGCTCAATAGATCTTGATTGATCTGAATTGATGCTCAGTGTGTCATTTCTTATCACAACTATCACTTCAAAGGCTTCAATGAGGTGAAGACATCGCACATCACCTCATTCCCCATACAGACATCCAGACACCCCCGGGGCCAAAACACCGGGTACCTGTCAGCACCGATATCCCAGACAACCAAGCCCGAAAAGACAAATTTTTACTCCCAGCAGCTGATCAAACTCCTCGGAAAAGGCACGAAGCCAAAAATCCAAAACATCTCACCGCTCCCTTCTCCGCGGTACCCGCTGGAAGAAGCAATTCCCAGACCAGAAGCACCGAACCCAGATCACGCGGGGTAGTATATCACCGACAACTGAATTTGGAGTCCGGGGGCTGTCAGCGCTATCGAATGAGGCACCGATTCGACGCATCGAGACACCTGTGCTGGACATCTTGACCGCGGCGGTAGGAGCGGGAGATGGACCCTGTTACAGATTGGCCGGCTTCTGGGTCGGCGAATTTTTGGGATACTAAGTGATCGGTTATTGTGACTTGAGGGGTATAGGGGACTGTATATCACACCGTATATGCAGCCACGCCCTTGGCCAGATTTTTGCTGGGGTTTTACCCCGGATTGAGGGGCATCCTCGATGGAATTGTGGCTATTGGCTGATTGTCTTGGCTGTTTGGTTGCCTCTTGTTGCTTTGCAAGACCCGACTGGCTCTACCCCGTACGTTGTACTCTATTGACTTGAAGCAGACTGCAGTGAGTACCCTTGACGCTAGCTGTATCGTAATTTTGGTGGCTACAGTTTCTACAATATCTTCCGTATCCAACGCTGAGGAAAAAGGGTCCTGAAAAGCAGGATAACTTATCTTCCCAAAATATGTTCACAAAGCGTGTAGTCTCAGGAATATCAATGCTGAACCCGCTATCATGAGGAAAGACACCGAATTCAAAATGACTATCTCTAGGGCATAGTTTGATCATGAATGGGATATGTGGCGTATCATAAATAAAAATAGCAGACAGTAGGTGGCTGATTTCCAGTCGCTCAGCCAACTGGCGGGAGAGTTGACCAGCTTTTCATGAACTCCGAATACGGTCTTGTCTATAAGCAGGTGAGATACAAGGAGAAGGAGAACAAGTTATTTTCCAAAGAAATGCATCCAAAACTGTATGCAAGTCACCGCGAGAGGCTCGATTACGGGATATACTGTGTTGTCAAATCCAACAGAAGCACGTCGATCACAAACGCATCTGGGAAGAAGCAGAAAAACGAGGAAGAAAGATGGACGAGAGGGGGGGTTTATACTCTGAGGACACGCACCTTCCTAGAATGGTCCACAAATGCGCCTGCCCTGCCTGACCATACTATTACTTCTGCTCTTTCCCATTCTGGCACGGCCCTGGAATAGTATACAGATTCATGGATTATCAAACAAGAGAGCCGTCTCCAAGCCAGGCCAATCCAGCGAAGCATCCATAAATCCAAACAAAGGATCATACGGAATATCAAGTCCAAACAAACCCGTATCATGTTCCTGCCCAGTGGAAAACTCCAGCCCATTACCAAAAACCGAAGACCTACTCGGGAACATTCCGACGATAGCATCGAGCTCAAAACCACTATTCGATCCATCCACCGGAGAAACTATCTCTACCTGGGAAGCAGGGGTCATTGCATCCGCCACAGAAAGGTCAAGCTTGCTTGCCTCGGCCAATTTCCGTATGATGCTGGCAGGTCTGCAGACTCCAGGATTCGTCATCGAAATCTCATCGAGAAATTTTAGACCTGCTGCCAAGCGGGAGATATGTTCCCTATGGTGGGCGTTTGCGAAGGCGTTGCGGACGTGGATTGTGCATGCTACGTAGATGGCGTAGCTGAGGATATAGGGTGCGCCATGGAGACCGTATGCCGATTTGTAGGCCAAGGAGATACTTGTGATATTATTTGCAGCTGTGGTGCAGCGGCCCCATGATGAAGCTGACGTTGTAATTGATCGTAGATGGCCGTCGGAGATGAAGGGTCGGTGAAGGAGAATAATCAGGGAGTTGTAGATGCCGTGGAGGTTCATTACGTTGGGAGCTGGGTGGAGTCGTGGATGAACATCGGAATGTGACCATGGCTTGAAGTCTAGTTCGATTGGGAGGTTTGCTTTCCAGGAATTGAGGGCATTGTCCGCCAGTTGGAGACTAGCCGTGGCGGAGCTCGAGGACCGCACTCCGCCGACTGTGTAAAAGTGATTGGTGATTTTGGTCATGATCCTGGATAGGAGACAGAGCTGTTGAAAAGTAGAGACAGAATGTATGACGGGCTGTGATGATGGTGTGTGTAATTTCGAGTCGGGAGGTGGTATGAACAGCTCATATTCCTCGAATGTATCAAGGAATTCACGACTGACATGGGAGTCGCGCAGGTTCATAGCGACCGGTCGGCCGAGGTAGAGACTTTGTATTTTGTCACAAACAAAAGCACCCCAAAATACGCGGCGGCGGATCTCCATTTCTTCTGCGTCATCGTTGGTCTCCTTGGGGTCGAGGTGTAATCCCAAATCATACACCATGCGTAGAGCATAGCCTGTGTATAACCAACCCTTTGAAGTTTCACCGCGGGCATTGAATGTAGACCCGAGGAGCAAAAGTCCAATTATTGTTGGAATACTTGGGCGAATGAGATGTGATTCTTGAACTAGGAGCTCATCACAGCGGCGAAAGAAACGCCGGCCTGTCGTGGCTGGATCGCTTGGGTCATCGCGTACATCAACACGCGAAGAAAACTTGCTTGCGCAGGCAAAAATGGCGTTCAGTAAAAATCGGGAGCAGTTTGGTCCATCACCTTTGGGCAGATCACGCATGATTGCCGGGCGATAGGTTAGAAGAAAGGTGTGGTGTTGCCGAGCCCAGTGCACATCCAACAGATGCAGAGCGAGCCCAGTAGGAACACCATCGATGTCTGGGAGATGAAGCAGCAGACGCTCGTTTTGTCTTTGCAAGGCTGCATTGGCTATAAGCTTATTTTTCATGTGCTCTCTATTCAACAATTGAGCCGAAGGCACTGTGGACAACGATTCACTTTTATTTGGATAATGTAGAGCAGATGAAGGGCCAAAGCTGCCAGGTCTACCGGCCTCATCTACAGATATAAAAGGTGCCACGTCGAGTTCTTCATCTGAAGAGGTAGCCAGGCTGTCAAGGCTTTGCTGGCGGTTCTGACTGGGATCAAGACCTTCAGTCACTGCTAGGCTGGGGATGTGTCCCTCTTCGCCTTTCAGTTTTACGATGAAAGATCTGAGTTCTGTATTTTCTTGTTGCAATCGGTCTATTTGAGCCAGGGTCGGTCTGGACTGGTTAGCCAACTGTCCAAAACGCAAGGGAACACACCCACCTCTGCCGCGGCGTCTCCACTCGATAGATACATTCCCGGCCTTGGGTTTCGCAAGTCGAGCAGCGAGGACGAATTGTGTCACAACGGATTTTTCGAGACCGGCAGTGTAGACATGCTTTGGCGAGGGATTTAGGGAGCCTGGTCATAGTCGAATTGTTGAGGAAGGGAAAATTGTGGGGTATCGTAGAATTATAGTGAGGATCAACATTATGTCTAGCTAAATACGGCAATCTATACTAAAACTGACTCTTCAATATACATTTATACCCTGCCAGGCATGGGCTCTAGCACAAAAGGTTAAGTATTTCAAGAGTGGCAGATACTTCATCGTGTGTTTCAATCCGAGGGCTTGAATCTGCTGTATACCTTGGCTTGTTGGGATATATAATTCTGGGGTATCTCACATCTTCTACATGTTCAAATGATTTCCGTTGTATTACAAGAGTCATGCAGATGAAGAAGTATTCACATTAATTAAGATATGTATAGGATATGCATCTGTCCGGTGTATGCAATCGACTTCTACCGCTTGGTGCTATTCTTGAGCATCTCTTCCAAATGCTGCAAGTCAAGTTAGTCGTAGAATCTTTGATAGACACAACTCAGATGCTTACCTTCTTTTGTTCAACTGCTAATTTGCCTTGGGTATCCTGTTTTTGATTAGCACGTGGTCCCTCAACACAGAGATATCAACATACGCTAATGATGGTTAAAATCAATGAATAATTGTTAAAAAGAAATCGCTCTCTTCGCTTTGCGTCTGTACCATTGCGACTCAATTTTACCAGAAGAGCATCGAATTCGGCAGTCAACCGGGCCAGGCTGTTGGACACCGGCTCATCATCACCAGCATCACTGCTGAGCACAAGAATTCCATGAAGAAGTTGTCCAAATCGCTGCGTCAAGAAGTGGGGTGCTGAAGACTGCTTCAGGTCGTCTCCGCCTGCAATAGAAAGGGCGGAGATAGCACTGCGCCCAGTATTGGACCCAACTCGCTTAAGCGAGTCACCGTGGTGATCCATAATCACCTGGAAGCGCGGCCAGAGCTGCATGTTCGTTCCATTAACATACGAGTCGGCGACAGGCACCTTTCGCCGCTGAAGCTCGAATGCCGAATGTTGGTTCAGGCGAACACACATGAGGACACCCAAAGAATCCGTGGTTTGCTCGATCAACTTCTTGGTCTGGTTCTGGCCAAGGGTAAAGACCTGTTGGAATATGTCCGCGGCAATGCGAGAGATTTGATGGAAGGTCTTTGGAGAGAAAAACTCAGTCAGGAAAGAGTACTCGGCGCACACATTGTCCACCAATGCAAGGTTGAAGCTTCGAAACGGCACTTCGATTCCATGGTAGGTATTGTCCTCTTCGGCCACGTATGAGGATAAAGCTTGGAGATTGCCAGTTCGGAGGACATCGATACGTCTACCCAGTGAGAAAGGATCATGTACGGCAGAGCCAGCTCGACCGCCAGGGATCATGTTCCCTAAAATAATTAGTATATAGATGGCGCCAGAGAAGTATAGCACTTACCTGATCGATGTGTGGATGGGTCACCTCCAAGCACCTCGTTTCGGTCAGGAGGATAAACCTTGACTTTATCAAGAGCTTGAAGGTAGCGTGTGAAGTGAGATGTGTAGTACCAGCGCATTGTGTTGATGTAGGCCTGTGCTATCTCCCCTGCCAACTTTGGGTGGATCTTTGAGAGATAACTGTATAGATCTTTGAACTTCACCAGTCGCTGTTGTTGGATGATCTGAGAGTTGATGTTTGGCGATCGCATAGCACGAATCTGCGACACAAGATAGTCTCTGATCCTTTCAACCGCCTTCAATAATGTCAATACAGATCAAACTAAATTGAGAAATACAGAATGCTCACTTTAGTCTTCACATCGGCCAGAAGGGGTCGTACATCCTCGACGGCTTTATAGCCATTTGCGGAAGCGGCGGCCTTGGCTTCGATATTTGTAGTTCGAGAATCGATCTCGTTGAGTGCACGCACCCAGTTCTCATCGATTGGACCCTCGACAATTGTCCGCACAGCCTTGGGGGAGATACTGATCTCCTCCACGGCAGGTCCCAACAACCGTTCCACATTACGCCTATTCTCTAGCATCGCGTTCAATTGTGTTGAGCGAGATTGCAAAGTTTCGATCTCTGCCGATACGGCACCCAGTTCATTCTGGAAGTCATTCAAGTACAGCTCGACTGACTTGGACACCTCATCACATCCAGTGATGGATGTGTGTAATTCTTGAAACTTATCTCGTTCTTGTTCAAATTGCTGAACAGTTTGCGCATTTACATCACTTTCGCGAGACTTTTTCTTTGGTGTGAGATCCTCCTTTCCCAGAAAATCCTCAAGACTCAGTCCGTCGAATCGGATAGCTTCCACCAATTGCGCGGGTCGTTCCGGCATCGACGATAGCTGTGGCACATGTTTATCTGTTTGAGTTTCCTTCCCAATGATTTGATTCAAGACTTCTAGCGGATCAGGGACATTGGCCGGTCGAGGTCGTTGAATACTCGTCTGCTTTAAAGGAGAGCCATTGGTCGCCCGCGCAGTTCCTGGAAGAGAGGTTGTAGATTCATTTGGAGTCACGAGTAGAGATGTTGATGAAGTTCTAGATGTTACACCAGGGCGAGTATTGTAGGGACTTGGAGATAGCTGAGAGGATGATCGTCGCGGTAGAGGAGAAAGGTTGCGGCCATTGGGTCCGGAGGGAGTTGACTGGACTGAAATGCGGTCACGCCACATTGTGTAAAAGGATGAACGGCATGAGATTCCCGAGCAAAACAAAGAAAGTGCAGAGTTATACTTGGAAAATACCAAGTAACAACGTTGTAGTTGTTAGGTTGTTTCAGGACACTCGGACACTCCCCTATATACACTAAACCCAACAGGGTGGACTACCCCCGTTGACCAATCACGATCGAGTAAGAGACCCCGCCACAGCGTCGCCGCCCACGATAGATTTTAGTCGTTTGATTTTCTCTCTCCCCTTCTCTTCATTTTTTCCCCTCCCCCAAATACTTTGAAAACACTCCCTTCTTTTTCAACCCCTTTAAATCTATTCACCATGTCTGCCGAGGAGGTATGTATTCTCTCTACACAAATTCGAGATTCCCCAATGAGAACTTCCCTGCCCCGCATGCGGCTCCCCTCTTCTTCTCGAGGGCACGAGGGCCATATTGGACATTAACCCCGCCCTATTGGCAAAATTTTCAAAGCGCTTGCTAACATCTTTCGACGCAGCACGATGTCACTTTCGATTCGGCTGATGCCGGAGCTTCGCTCACCTACCCCATGCAGTGCTCTGCTCTGCGCAAGAGCGGCCACGTTGTGATCAAGAACCGTCCCTGCAAGATCATTGACATGTCTACCTCCAAGACTGGCAAGCACGGTCACGCCAAGGTTCACTTGATCGCCACCGATATCTTCACCGGCAAGAAGCTTGAGGATCTCTCTCCCTCCACCCACAACATGGACGTTCCCCACGTTGTTCGCAAGGAGTACCAGCTCGTGAGTTAACCCTATTGGACTCGGAAATCCTGGATTGTTTGGCTGACCGATATTAGCTCGACATCACTGAGGATGGCTTCATGTCCCTCATGACCGACAACGGTGACACCAAGGATGATGTCAAGGTCCCCGACAACGAGGTTGGTGAGAAGATCCACCAGATGTTCACTACCGAGGAGAAGGAGTGCAGTAAGTTACAAGTTTCAAAACATCCTCTACAGAACTATTACTGATATACTATTAGACATCGTCGTCCTGACTGCCATGGGTGAGGAGGCCGCTATGGAGTGCAAGGAGGCTCCCAAGTCTGGTTAAATTTAATACCTGGATTTATTACCTGTTATGCCAACCTTTATGTTCCACGAGGGCTCGAAGCCCCTCCCAAAAATTTTTATCTTCCATGGTTCAAAGGAGGATACGATTCTTTGAACGATTATGCCCGTTGCTTCAAGATCTGTCCCCCACATAACCTTGGATGTGGGCTGGACCGAGAATTGCTTTGGTTGGCATGATATGTGTTGTCCGAACAGTTCTGAGTCTCAGCATCTCATGATAGTGTGATGAATGAATAAATACTCAATCTTGCTTGACTATTGACTATCCGAGGATTTGAGTAAATTATAAGTCAGATGAATAGGTTTAAAAGCATAATCAGAGCCTAAAATAGAACATACACAAGTGTAATCCTAGTAAGGATTAACCCCGGTAAACAAAATAATCATGAGTACATAGAGCCTTACAGTTCAATCATCTGTGAGAGTCCATCAATCACAGTGCGCGCATTGCGGGACATGTGGAGCGACAAAATCGGCGGTCACTGGAATTCGAGGCAGAAAAAAAGTCCCGCCATCTCGGTATACCAACCCTTCTGAATCAAACCAAGCATGAACAAATCCCTTGGGGATGGACTACGTTACCCGAGGGGTCTGCGGTCAAGAAGGTTGCCGTGAGACCCGATACTATCTCGACAACGGACTTTGGTATTGTCGACGCGGTCATTTGCAGGAGGTATGACATCCATCGGTTTTCCTAACTTTACCCTTATCACATCGTCGAATGTCAAGTACATAGCTAATTCGGTTGCATAGGGCGTACAAGTTGCAGAAGATGCCGATGACTTTGGAAATTTAGGCAAAACACATCGTCTGAAGCGAGAAACCAAGGAAAAGGCCAGCAAGAGTATGTAATTAGCAACCGGAATATTGTTCTCCTCGCTGACTTTTGTCAAAAGCACTTCGTGGCCGTCCAGCCTACACGCTTTTCTTGCAAATCTACCAGCTTATCCTTTGGAAACAATGTGATGTCTTGGTTCATGAGCATGGGTTCCCAGAGGAACTTGAGGTATGTGCATATATTGCTTCATATGTTCAAGAACAGAAGCTCAATATAAATTAGGTCATTGTTCGCGATCTCTGGGCTCTCCGTCTACAAGATTTTGAAACCAGAATCACTGAGGCTACTGAAGATGACGATGATGATACCGAAGCCGAGCTGTTTAGCTCACAGCCCGGAGAAAGAGATGAATCTAGTGGTGTCGGATTTAAACCAAATTCCAGGTATCTCGAATGGCCTCGTCTGATTGATACCGTTGCACTGTGCTATCTTGCGGCGTTTTTGATGCGGCTTCCTGTCTGTGTCGTTGATTTCCACGAGTATGTATAATGTTACCTCTATGCAAGCCCGGTCGTTTGCTTCTAGGATGAGTAATACTCACCTCCTACAGTATGATCATGCGGCAGAAGATTCCCTACGCTAGAGTCCTAGCAACCGTCCCTCGGGAAATGAGGGATAGACTTCCGCCAGAACTGACTGCAATCCTTGAAGTCAATGTGAGTTTTGACTGACTCCGGAGAGGCTTTTGAGTTGCCCTTGACTAATTTTGACACAGACAATCCCTGATGCCCAGCGTTTCCACCGCAGTGTTCTGGCAATAGTGATGTTCTATCAGCGCCGCTTTGAATTGGAACTTCCTCCATTGAACTCGCCCATGGTCCTTTTCCGACTCATCAAGAGATTAGCTTTGCCAAGTATGCAAAACAGTCGCCACATTATTGTCCAGTCTATCTTAGCTAACGAATTTCAGTTGAGATATATGATGCAAGTAGGATCTTGCAAGACCTACTGGGCTTTACGTTCCATTATCCGACAACAAGTTCATACGATGCTCGAAAAAGAGAACACGTTCTTCCTGACTTACAATTGATGGCCTTAATTATCATTGCTACGAAACTGCTTTTCCCAATCGATGATTTAAAAAGATATCCCACCACAGATAGAGAGCCTGCCACGCAGATCATGGACTGGGCCCTGTGGGCACGTGCCCATGACAATTTCGATCAAGATCAGCAATTTGGGGGCAAGATTGGAAAAAAGACTGCCGTTCAGATCACAGACCAAGACGTGTTGAACATGACACCTACCCAATTGGACAATTACATGGACTGGTACGAAAGCAGTTGGCTGGATACTTCTAAGCCCCCTGGTCCTATCGCCGAAATGTTTCCCATCAACCGAACAGGAGAAGATATCCAACCAAGCTCTACCGCTGCCCCGGACTCACCCTTTGCTTCTGCCGCTGCCATTCCACCTGCATCTATCTCTACCCCTCTTCTTGATATTCCTTCTGCTCCTCGTGGTTATCCTGATGATCCTGGTGATTCTGATGCTCCTGATGATGTCCCTCCTGACACGATTGGTCCAAAGCTCGACATCTTGCTACAAACGGTCATGCAAGCCCTTAGAGCCAGAAGGGTCATCCCTGACGATGAAGATGCCGATCACAGGCGTCCCGGCGAATGGTATCACCGGTATCGATGGGAATCACATCTCAGTGGTCCCGCACGGACTCTTTACGAAGTAGCAGCCCAGCTGGCTGCAGTCCCATTGAAAACTCTTGTCCGAGCGGTCACAATCATTGAGTTTAAGATCGCACAGCAAGATGAAGAGCGACAGAGCAGAGAGTACTTCGCTAGTCTGGGAACAGAAGGAATGGACACTGACGACAGCGATGAGGACCACACGTATGGAATGGAAGATTTTGAAGAAGACATGTACGCGGCGGAGTTCGAAGATATGGAGTATGATGAATTCATGTCCAATTCAAAGATGTGGTCGACCATCTAGAATTGGATGAGAAAGTCTGTTGTATCATATGCATGGCGTTGGGGCTTTGGGATCATGTATCTGGCGTTCACCCTTGTACAACCTGTTATCTCTAGTTCAATTATTTGATTTCCTGAGAGGTTACTGTGAATTATAGTTGTCTTTGTTTTCTGTATCGATATTTCCAGCTGTGACAATGATAGAATGACTTGCTTTCTTTGGTCAGGGAGTACATACCATTAAGATTAGAAGACAACCCTCATTTATTTTTAGTATGTAGAACCTCCCCATGGCTACAATACCTGACGTAGATAGATGCGCTGCCAAGTTATAATTGGCTGGGTCGGCCGGGGTTGCTTACATAATGTATTACGAAAGGGGGTAGCAACTAGGGCTTAGGGTACCCGGATCGGTCCACCTTTGCTAAGCGAGCGAAATCCTCAAATTGACAATCGACAGCTCCGCCTGGAACACAGCGACCGACAGCCGACAACAACGAAAACTCGCAACCAGTACGTTCAATACACCCTATGAAACAGCATATATGCACCGTTATGGACTCAGTGAGCTAACATCGTTTTTTCCGCGCCGTTTCAGTGCAGATGTAGGTCTTCCTGAACCCTCGAATATCATCGCGAACCACAATCCCGATCGCCGATACGACCCAAGCCTATGGAGGAATATGAATATGGACTAATACGGTGCGATATAGTTTCGTCAAGACCCTGACGGGTAAGACCATTACCCTCGATGTCGAGTCGAGCGACACCATCGACAACGTCAAGACCAAGATCCAGGATAAGGAGGGCATTCCCCCTGACCAGCAGCGCCTGATCTTCGCTGGCAAGCAGCTCGAGGATGGCCGCACCCTGAGCGACTACAACATCCAGAAGGTATGAACCAGAATTCAACCTAGAGTGATTTGAACCAGAAGTGGGGGCGTTATGGTATCTCGGGTTGGATCGGATCTTCAACATGTTCTTGTTCAAAGGACAACTCTGCCCACCTCGGATACGCAAAAGAAGGAATCGTCGCTTTACTTTGTGGTTCATGATTTGCGAAGTTATGGAACATTCGCTAACATGCGACATCAACTTTATAGGAGTCCACCCTTCACCTTGTCCTGCGTCTCCGTGGTGGTATCATTGAGCCTTCCCTCAAGGCCCTTGCCTCCAAGTTCAACTGCGAGAAGGCCATCTGCCGCAAGTGCTACGTACGTTTACCCCCGCCTTCTCTCCGCCTGCCCCCGATACTCGTGAAACCGCATCTCGTGGCAAGGCCATAAATTACGTTCACATATGTACTAACTCGGACCTTCTGCAGGCTCGTCTCCCTCCCCGTGCCACCAACTGCCGCAAGAAGAAGTGCGGACACACCAACCAGCTCCGCCCCAAGAAGAAGCTCAAATAGACGACTCGCTCCTCGGTCTTGTGCTCGGTGTGTTGTTGTGCAGATTTCAGAGGTGGGGATTGGCTGGACTGCTACATGGAGAGGATTACAAATGGCGTTAGATATGATGATAAAATCAATGCAGCCACAGTCATACTTTTTCTAGTTGGCTCCTCTCGACGACCAAGTTGCACTCCATGAAATGAAATGTGTAAAATTCAAAAAGTCGAATTGTTTCACATCTCCAGATTCCGTCTGCGGTAAATTCAGAGTACAATACATGCATGCGTTCAATAACACGACTAGAAAACTTGAGCTGCGACACCTGCTACCTGAGCAAGAATCTATGAAATGGCCAGTATCCCAAATGAAAGACATCGGTCGATCCTCCTCTTATGCCCGGAACATGCCTTTCTTGTCATCATCCTTATCATCATGGTCCTTGTCCTTATTCTTCTTTGAGACGGGGCTCCCGTGGCTAGTAGATATATCAGTTTGAGGTCAATTCGTTCGTCAGAAGGCCCAACTTACGCAAAGAAAAGCACCTTGATAGCAATAGCCAGTGCCGCATGAAGCACAACAACCAAGATCAAGAGGATCTTGCTAGCCTTGGCATCAGTAGCATTCAAGACCGGGTATAAGTTCCGCAGAAGGAAGAAGACAGTCCACGCAAAGCCAACGCCAACAAGCGCCCAGTTAAGCGCAGTCAACGGACTCCAGCTGACCAGTGCAACGGCAATCCAGACCAAATTGGAGTATCCATACAGGGCCCAGCACTCAATAAGGTCGGCCGTCGAGCTGCCAAACCAACGTAGCGCACCCCACAGGGCAATAGGCAAGATGCCCGTGTATCCATAAATCAGACCAGCCGCGCCCGATAGCAACGTGAAATCGTACTCAAAGTGCTTATCGTCATTGTTCGACAACCATTGTGAGATAGTGCCTGTCAAAAACAGGATAACCACCACCGTACTCGCGATCCAGATCGGCCCATACAGGTCTGGGTTGCCCTCTAGCACATCAAGGAAGTTGGAGCGCGGGTACAGCGTTGCCACACAGCGGCGAAATACCTCGTTCGTGTCGACGTCGAAAAATCGCTCGTAGTAATGCAGCGACCACCAGCTGTGCTTGGTCGGCGTACCGCCAGGGGACCGGTCACGGCGACGCGATGACCCGCCGCCCAGGAACGGGGCGGAGTCACCTTGAACTTTGGCGTTTCTTTGGTCACTCTCGAAGTCTGGGTTGTAGGATTACTCAGTTAGAGAGCTGGATTGGGCCGATTTGCTCGGGTAAACTCACTGGAGGGGTGGAATTCGAGGTCTTCTTGCAGGTCGGTATGGCCCAGGTCGCCCTGCTGATTTGTTAATTGAAATTATGTGTTTGTCATTCGAGTGCTATTACCTCTGCATCCACATCTACTACAACATCGTAGCCTCGGTTCGCCATGGTGGTTGGTTTTGAGATATGCTGTTGGAAGGGAGTTGTTAAGTGTACACATCAGCTTCCGCAGATAAAGCCACGCGCTCAAGCCACTACTGTGGGTACCACTACCCAGGTGTCATACACGAGTATCAGATACATATTATTTGTTATAATTGACTGAAGTTTCTATTCTATGTGAAACCTTTAGTTATGATCTTCAGAATATGGGTTTATTATGATTCTATCCTTTTTCCCTCTTCATTATCATACATACGCAACGGCACCAAGCATTCACGATATTTCAGTGCACATTCCGTGGAAAATTAGATCCACTGTTGGATTGCTCTTTGAACTCGACCAACACAGGCCCAAATCGAGGTATCAAATCCCTTTTTGCGGATGTAGAAAGATGCAGCTCCAACCAAGATAGCCAATGCCACAGAGCCCATGGAGTGACGGTGGTTCCACAGGAAATCCAGGGCTCTTTTCCTACGCTCTTCGCTCCGAATCTGTTGAGATTGTTTTCCAAACAAGTATATCGCTTCTTTGGTGGTGTACTTTCCATGTGGGTCTCGTGAAGTCTTGAGCACGCTGCACCAGGGAATATGTTTCCAGGCTCCAAGCGGCAAAGCTTCCGGAGGGTGATCCTCAAAGAGCTGTGTCGCATGCAGAATGTGCCCGTCCAAATCAAGTGGACATGGCAGCTTGGAAAGCGTGAAGTGAAGCATCTCAGGCTCGTTCGCTGGAATTTCCAGCAGCTCTTTCTTCCTGGACAGGATCATTGCTGCGAAAAGGTAGATTGCAACCACAGGTTCATGAGCCAATAGAAAGTCGAAGAGTCGTGATATGTTGCTGTACTCTTGAATGTCATGGGCGTATAGTGTCAGTGTAGCAGCGAGGGCAAAGAATGGTTCAATGTTGCCAAGGTGCCGTCTTAACTCAGGGTCTGCTGTCTCTATGATTGCAGGAATGAGATGGAGATGTTTCACGGCTGGAGATAGCGATGGAAGCATGTAGTCTCGTATGCGGAAAAGAGATATGTGAGCTACCGCTGGCACTGCTTGCTTCTCGCCCAGTACCAAAAGAAGGACTTGGACTATGTCATGATATCCTTGGAAATAGCAAAGCATGGGATATTCTCTTAGTACTTGAGTGATCAAATTGGATAGCTGTTTTTTCTTTTGCAACATTTCCTCCTCGGGAGCTAGAATCTGTTTAAGATCAAATCTCATAGTTCATAGGGACTTCTGGTAGCATACCTTTTGGGTAGTAGACAAAAGACCGGTTGACGTCAAGTTCTACCTGTTCCTCATCGGCATGTCGTAAAAGCTCAGTGTGTGGGACCGTATCAGATTGTTGCCTTTGTTCATCGCATCGTAACAAAACAGGCCCTATTCACCGATTAGGCAGGTCCATATGTATGTGCACCTTCTTTCAACCATAATGACTCACAAGCTATTCGTCTCAATTCATCTTCAAGTAGCCCGCCTTCGGATGTTGCGTGCACAGCTAATGCTTCCACATCGCGCACTGCACAGGCTTTGCGGATGGCTCTCGCCTTTTCTGCCCGAGCCAGCTGTTGTGCCGGTTCAAGCGCATTGTAGTCTTTAGAAGAATGTTCCGATGCAGATATATCCTCAGAGCTAGAATTGATCTCTTCTTTTCCGGTATCTTCCATCCTTTGTCTGCTAAGATATCGCCTGGCCAGGAGATTGAGCACCAAATATGCACCCAGAGAGAAAGAAAAAAGTTCCAGCTCAATTTGCTTCTCAATCTGAATGAAGAAAATCCACCTTTTAGATTCCGGATTTAGCTCAACAACATTGAGAGGCCGATCGGATATAGATCGACTAGAGCTTTCTTCACCGAGTAACGAAACGACGTGTTCAAACCAACGATTCACCCCCAAATATGTTAGAGAATAGCTTCCACCTTCGCAGCAGAATTTCTTTGAATCTGAACTGATGAATTTCTAGGCACGCAGACCCAAACGTCAACGGGTGTAAGTCTGAAGTCGAAGGCGGGCACCCGGAGTCCCACTTGACAGCCTTAGGCACCGATCGGCAGCCGCGACATGTTTTCGCCGATAACAACATTCGCCCTGTGCTAGGCTTAAGCACAACGCTCCGATCAAATAGCTTTGTGCTATTCATCGCGAGATTACAAACCTATAAAGCTGTGTGCTGTGCTACAAGCCCTTGAAATTCTGCGGTTTTAAGGTTGTGGTATCTCACTGACGGGCGGTGATTGCATAAATTCCGAAGTTGGCTTGGTCTTCGAGTTGTCTACCAGTGACAGTGCCAGCTCTGTGGTGAAGTTTTGCTTCCTGGAGCTCGAAAACGAATGAGGCTTGTGACAAATATTTGGATTGATTCGAGGGCTGTTGCTGCTATATAGCGCTCAGGCAAGCCGTAAGTCTCACATTGATATTTGTCCCTTATATGTCGGATGCCTCAATTAATTAAGATATCACAGGGCTTGTCTTGAACACACTTGAGTGTGAAATTATTCATAGCCACCTGCACTCTCTCCGGGTCGGGTTGTGCATCGGAAATTCATAGACAGCATCGCATGCAGTCGATGCATCAAGCGCATTGAGATATCCCACCCTCTGAAGTATGAAGAGAAGCAGAACTTGCAAATATCGAATGAAATTGCCCTGTTTTCTAAAAACAGAAAGTTGTAGGAAGCCTGGTGCAGTTCAATCCGATATTGGGGCTTGTTGCGCCTCAGGCCATTGCCTGGTCGGCTCTTGACATTTCCTATTGCCCAGTCCCTTTCCTCATTTCCTTACAACTTCGCCTTTTCAGCTTCTTGTTCCATCTGCTATCTCTCTCTCTGTCTTCAGGTGCATATCTCTCTACCCCCTTCAGGCCTTTGGCTTTTGAACCGTTTGCTCGTTTGCTCTAATCTGTTTGGGCATTCTTGTGAAACTGCTCCAACCAACACGATGCCTGGTGATCAGCACAAGACGTGTCGATCGCGTCTGGCTGGACTGCTTACCCAACCATTGATCCCCAGCCCTATCATCAAGTGGATTCTTCCAGCACGTCTTCGAGATAAGCATCACAATGATGTTGTTTTCATTGGAGAACGACGAATTCAAATCAAGGAAGCCCTGCCTAGTGGTCATCTTCAGGATGTTGTCGAAAAATCGGATATTGAAGGCTCGCTTATTGGGGCAAAAGTCATCAATGTAAGCACCCAGTTGCCTTGGGAAACTCAGGCTCCAACAAGTTCGATTGTCCACCCTTACGACAGAAACAAGCTACCTCCTCAAATCCTTTTTCTTGTTTTGGACTCAAATGAGCTCCTTTTCATGTACTGCTCAGAAATGGGAGATGGCCCATTTGTTTCCTACAATCGAGCTCTACCCCGCGATATCAACATAGCCGACAAATATGGCAGACATATCGCTGTCGACCCCAAGTAAGTATTAACCATCGGTAGCCTCAATTGAATTGACAAAAGCTTACACCATGATTAAGGTCGCGGGCGGTCGCAGTCAGCGCGTCACGTAACTTCTTTGGTGTTTTGTGGTTAAAATCTCCCGACGAACTCCAGATGCAAATGGCTCAGGGGAAGCTGAACCCACTTTCAAGTGTATGTGCTCACAGCTGTTTATCTATCATGTGTCAGGTATTAACACTGTCTTAACAGGAGAGTTTCTTCCAAGTGACTGGCGACATACTGTTCATGGAATTTCTGTACCCAAAAGACAACAATGATAAACGAGTCATTCTACTGCTTATCATCCACAATCGTGACACAACACGGTCTATGGTGTTTGAATGGGATGGAGTTAGTGTACTCAACCGCATGACTCCCAAACGCACCTCAACCATTCTGCCTCAGCAAGACCAGTTGCCTAGCATGGTCATCCCTTTGGCGAAAGAATCATCCTACCTCCTGGTCACAACAAACTCCATGGCAATGTACACGCCCAGTAGCTCGTCTCGTCCGATGCGTTACCCGCCGATCATTCCCGATGCCGAATCATCGGAGGCTGGACTGTGGACTCGCTGGGCCAGACCCTCGCGGAACTGGATGTACAGTCAGAGGTATGATGGCATCTTCCTCTGTCAAGAAAAAGGCTGGATCTATTATCTCGAGTTTGGCAACGATGGTGAACTTGAAACACAAACTTCTTTGGGTCAGCTCCACTGCGATGTTGATACAGCATTTGATATTCTTGATATGGGCCATGAAGGAGGTGACTTTATTTTGGCTGCTGGAAGTCAGGGTGATGGTGGGTTGTTTGTCCAGGAAGCACGAGATCACCCTAGGTGTGTTCAGCGATTCCTCAACTGGGCACCAGTGCCCGATGCTGTGGTCATTCCATCAGCGCCCCAGGACAGCCCCTTCAGACGTAATCTGAGTCGTCATCGCGATCGACTCTTTGTCTGCTCGACATCTGCTTCAGGCAATGGGGCTATCACCGAGCTTCGATATGGCATTGAGGCTCAGATTGGAGTTGCGGCTACATTGGGTGGATTTTCCAGCATACGTGATATGTGGGCTGTGTCACTCGGTACTAAGGATTCGATCTACCTAGTGGCCTCTGATCCGCTTTCCTCATTGCTTCTTCATACAACTCCAGATATGAGAGATGGCATTACTGCTCTTGAGGACGATACAGATTTGGAAGTACAACAGACCTTGGCAATGGACTGTACACCTTCCGGTGCCATTGTTCGGGTCACAGAAAGAGCTGTGCACTTTTTCGTCCCTGCCGATAACTCTCTCAACAGCTCTATTCAACATGATCCCCTTGTATCTGTCACGGCTGCTATTGTGGATGGCCCAAGTTCCACTGTGATCATGACTACAAGAACTAAAGAGGGGAATTTCCTCCATTTCTTTCGCATAATCACGACTGGCGCATGTGTCACTCTATCTAATCATGAGGCTCCATATCCGCTCCAAAAGGAGCCCATCTGTATCTCCCACCAGAATTGGGGGAAAGTCGGATTCATTTTTTTTGGGCACTAGCGATGGCACGGTACTATCATTTGAGGTTGACAACGAGAGTGGTGGAATCAGACAACACGCCGACACTCGTATATCAGTCACTTCTGGGGATGACATTTCCCTCGCGATTGAAAGCCTCGCTGTTGTCAGAACTCTTTCAGACGACAGAATGCACCCGTTCCTTTTCTGTGGACTGCGAAGTGGCATACTTGTTCCGTTTGAGATAGATACAGATACTGTCAATTTCCGCGGTGACCCTGTCTTCGGGTTCAAATGTGAGTCATCTTTAGTTCAAAATATTGTTCGCCTTATTAACCCGAAACCTTCTCTCCAGGTTTGAAACAAAGACTGCCACGCCGTTATGGGAAAACGTCAATTAAACTCAAATCCCATAATACATTTGCGTTGTTCATATGTGGAGATGATTTCTGGCGTGTGTCGTATGCCCCAGGTGGCAATGACTGTGACTATTTCCTCTCTCGTGTTTGGATTACAGATCAGAACTGCGTAAGTCACATCCCATCTTGTTCTTTTGAGCCATGTTTTAACATTGATGTCAGCCCGCATACTTTCCTACCAGATTAAATAGCTTTGCTCTTGTCGACGTAGGAGATCAAGAGTCTGGAATTATAAGTACATACTTGTTTTGTTTTGCAGATGGCCAGCTTCTGGTGTGCTCTCTGGATCAAGAAGCAAAGACCGTCCCCCGACGCATCGACATGCCCGGAAACCCCAGCAAGCTTACGTATTCCAGGCATCTTCGGAGTCTCATTGTCTCGTACTCCGTTGTCCAGAAAGGAAACCAAGCAAGGCCTCTCGATCTTTCCCGCACGGCATGCATCGAGTTTGTGGATCCAGACGCACAGGTTCCAGTAGTTCCTAACGATGTGGACATGGTTTCTCAAGGCCTTCTCCCTTGGAGACCACACGGAGTTTCTGGTGAGAAAATCACATGTATTCTGGACTGGATGCCATGCAAGGGTGGTAACGAATATCATCTTATCGCAATTGGGACTTCAGTCGACGTGCCTCATCAACCCAATAAACGCCAAGGTCGATTGATGCTCATACACGCGTCTCGGGATGTCAGCTCTCCTGGGCAGATCACCTGCATTGACAAGCACACGCAATGGTTTAAAGACCCAATCTATGCAATGGCCTCTTACTCCGATAGCGTGATTGTTGCATCTGGGAAAAGATTTTTCACGGTTACCTCACGGAATTCTCTAACAAAATGGAATCGAAATATCACTGCACTTCTTCCATCCCCAGCTGTCGCGATGACGGTGGCAGGAGACATGATCTACGTCACCAGTTCGAGACATTCCGTTTTGACCTACGTTATTGTAAACGGGGATATCCTGGCAAGCGGTTTCGATTCAGTCGCACGCGATGGTTTGTCTCACACTTTGATTCCCGGGTTTGGAATTGAACCGGATCACCTTTTAGTGAGTAGCAGAGGTGGAGCAGCCCGAATTTTCACCATGAAAACCCTCGACCCACCAGTTGACCTTGTGCCTCGTGCGGTGGCCAATCTTCCTGTCTCGTTAATCGAGGTTACTCAAGGCTGCAAGTCTCCAGCTTCGCTAGTGACCAATACCCCTTATTATGGCTTTGGCATCAATGGAACTGTCTATCGGCTCTTAGTCCTTCGTGCGAAGGAATGCCATCTTCTTCAACTTCTGCTCAACATCTGCCTTAGGGATGAGGCCATCTGTCCCTCTCTGTCCCGCAGACATCGCTACCTTGATGCAATCTCCCAGGTTGAAAACAGCAAGCATATCGATGGTACCATTCTGACTCGCCTTGTGAGTCGCGACTCGAAGTACCTGGATGAAGTTCTTAGGGCATGCGACAGGAAGCAGTTCAAGGACCTGACCCCTGAAACAGTGAAGATATTCATGAAGGCAATTGAGGAGACACTTGGAGCTGATGTCAACCACACCCAGGCTCTCTTCACATGGCTTCGGCGCTTGCTGCACATTGAACTTTAATCTCAAGAAGAGTCAACATGCAATGCAGTGTGGAAGAACAAGCTTGGAAGTACATAGCCCTGAAATATGTATGCCATTCGCGGATCGGATTAAAATGTCAGTGGTAATCTTTCAAGCTCATTTTATTGGTAGAATTGTAGATTTTCAATATAACCTTAGAAAGGGGGACAAAATACATCGATATATGGGGGAGTTCAACTGGTCCGCTGGTCGTGGCGATTTAGAGCCCATTGTTCCCCACCGGCCATGAATCTTCCCGAAATTCTTTTCCTTTCCCACACCCCTCCCTTAGGCCCACCTTACAGAGAGCTCTATCTCTCGCCTTTCATTCTGGGGATTGTCCTTTTTTTGACTTTTGTCATCCTCTCCCTTTTGAATACCTGTGGGTATCACTACACGCCAATAACCGGTTAACTCCGTTTGTGCGCTTTTCTCCGGTCACTCCAATCGGATCATCAACAAACTTCCAAGGGAAATCTATCACAATGGCACCAAAGAAGAAGGGTAACAAGAGACAGGAGGAGGACTGGGAGGCCGATCTCGGCGAGTCTGCTCCCACCGCGGCTCCTGTCGAGCAACCCCAAGAAGATGTCGACGAGGCCGCGCCGGTCGGTGGCCTGATGGCTGCTTTGAGGAAAAATAAGGCCAAGAAGGCTAAGAAGGGAAAGATGAATGATTTTGTCGAAGGTGAGGACGCCGAGGGTGCCGAGGCCAAGCCTGCCGACGACTTGGCTAGCAAGCAGCCTGAGGAAGGTAACTTCGACGATGATGATGTTTTCGCTGGAAAGAAGACCAAGCCCATCAAGGAGGTGGTTAAGCCCGCAGCGCAAGTGCCCGAGCCCGAGGGCGAGTTCCGAGTAAAGAGCAAAAAGGAGAAGGAGCGTGAGAAGAAGGAGAAAGAGAAGCAGCGCAAGAAGGAGCAGGTAGGTTTAGGAAATTCCTGCCGGGTGTCGAAGGCATCTACTGATATTTTTTTTTTCTCATCTATGTAGGCTGCCACAAAGAAGAAGCTCTCCCCTGCTCAAGAAAAGGCCGAGGCCAAGAAGGCTGCCGAAGCTGATGCCAAGAAGGATGCACCCGCTGCCGCACCCGCTGCAGAGACTGGTGGCAAGAAGAAAAAGCTTCCTCCCCACCTAGCAGCTCTTCAGAAGCAACAGGAACGTCTTCGACAGCAACGTGAGGAGGAGGAGCGCATTGCAGCCGAAGAGAAGGCCGCGGCCGCCAAACAGAAGCTTCTTGATGAAGAGGAAGAGAAGAAGCGTGCAGAGGCTCGTGAGCGTAAGAAGGAGAAGGAGCGCGAAAAGAAGGAGCAGCTACGCAGGGAAGGCAAGCTGCTTACCAAAGCTCAACGAGAGGCTAAGGAGCGCAATGAGTTGCGCATGCAGCAGATGATTGCTGCCGGTGGCAAGGTTGCTGGCTTAGAAGAGGGTGGTGAGAAGAAGGCACGCCCTGTATATGAAAACAAGAAGAAGAGAGCTGGCAAGAAGCAGGAGGAGGACCTTGAAGCTGCTGCCGCTCGAGCCCAGGCTCAGCGCGAGGCTGAAGATCGAAAGAGGGAGGCTGAGGAGAAAGCCAAGGCTGAGGCTGCCGCCGCCGCTGCTGCTCCTGCAGATGAGGACGCCATCGAAGACTGGGAGCAGGCTGCTGACGAGGATGTCAAGGACAGCTGGGATGCTGAATCGGATGAGGAAGAGAAGCCCGCTGAGGAAGCACCGGCTCAGAAGGAGGAGAAGGAGGAGGAAGGATCTGACTCTGACTCTGACTCCGACGAATCATCTGATGAAGATTCATCTGACGATGAGCAATCCGCCAACCAAAGGGCCATTCAGGCGAGAAAGGCCGAGGCTGCGGAGCGGAGAAAGGCCAAGCACGAGGAGGCTCTGGCGGCTCGTTCAAAGGATAATCTCCGATCCCCTATTTGCTGTATTCTTGGTCACGTCGATACTGGTAAGACCAAGCTGCTTGACAAGATCCGACAGACCAACGTGCAGGAGGGCGAAGCAGGTGGTATCACCCAGCAGATCGGTGCCACTTACTTCCCTGTCGATGCTTTGCGCACAAAGACTCAAGTTGTCAACAAGGACGGCAAATTCGAGTTCAAGGTCCCTGGTCTGTTGATCATCGATACTCCTGGTCACGAGTCCTTCTCCAATTTGCGATCAAGAGGTTCCTCCCTTTGCAACATTGCTATTCTCGTTGTTGATATCATGCACGGTCTCGAGCCCCAGACTCTCGAGTCTATGCGTTTGCTGCGTGACCGCAAGACTCCTTTCATTGTCGCGTTGAACAAGATTGATCGTCTTTACGGCTGGAAGAAGATTGACAACAATGGCTTCGAGGACAGTTTAGCTATGCAAAACAAGGGTGTTCAGAACGAATTCCGCACTCGTCTTGAGGCCACCAAGCTTGCTTTCGCCGAGCAAGGTTTCAACTCCGAGCTGTTCTTCGAGAACAAGTCTCTGTCTCGCAACGTTTCTCTCGTGCCGACCTCCGCCCACACTGGAGAGGGTGTTCCTGATATGCTGAAGCTCCTGACCAGCTTGAGCCAAGAGCGTATGACCAACTCCCTGATGTACTTGTCCGAGGTCGAATGTACAGTTCTGGAGGTCAAGGTCATTGAAGGTCTCGGTACGACCATTGACGTTATTCTGTCCAACGGTATCCTTCGCGAGGGTGATCGCATCGTAATGTGCGGTCTTAATGGTCCTATTACAACGAATATTCGTGCTCTTTTGACACCAGCACCGCTCAAGGAGCTGCGTTTGAAGTCTCAGTACGTTCACAACAAGGAAGTCAAGGCTGCTCTTGGTGTGAAGATTGCTGCCAACGACTTGGAGCACGCTATCGCTGGTTCTCGCATGATGGTCGTCGGCCCTGACGATGATGAGGAGGATCTTGAGGAGGAGGTCATGAGCGATCTGGAGAATCTGCTGAGCCGTGTCTCAACAGATCAGCGTGGTGTCACTGTCCAGGCTTCCACCCTGGGCTCTCTTGAAGCTCTTCTGGAGTTCCTCAAGGTTTCCAAGATTCCTGTTGCTAATATCTCCATCGGTCCCGTTTACAAACGTGATGTCATGATGGCCGGCACCATGCTTGAGAAGAGTAAAGAATATGCTGTCATGCTGTGCTTCGATGTCAAGGTCGACAAGGATGCAATGACCTATGCCAATGAAATCGGTGTCAAAATCTTCACTGCGGACATCATCTACCACTTGTTTGATAACTTCACTGAGCATATGGCTCAGATCACAGAACAGCGCAAGGAGGAGGCTAAGCTTCTTGCTATCTTCCCCTGTGTCATCAAGCCTGTTGCTGTCTTCAACAAGACCGACCCCATCGTCATCGGTGTTGATGTCATTGAAGGAAGTCTGCGTCTCCATACCCCTCTCGCTGCGGTCAGGACCAACGCCGCTGGTGTGAGGGAGATTGTCGATATTGGTAGAGTGTAAGTTATACCCCCCCCCTCATCTTTTTTTCTAGTTTCTAACACACATTCTTACAGCACATCCATTGAGCGCGATCACAAGGCCATTCCGGTCTGCAAAAGAGGTCAGCCCTCCGTTGCTGTCAAGGTCGAGGGCCCCAATCAGCCCATGTATGGTCGTCACCTCGAAGAGAAGGACCAGCTGATCTCGCACATCTCGCGTAAAAGTATCGACACCCTCAAGGAGTTCTACCGGTCTGAGGTCTCTATGGAGGAATGGGCTCTGGTTAAGAAGCTCAAGCCTGTTTTCGACATTCCTTGAATTCAATCCTAGGGCTTCCTTCCGGTGTGCAATTTCTGCAGATCAAGAATTCTCACCACCGGACCCATTCCAGACTTGCGATACCTATTCTCCAGCGAACTTAACGATCAAATGCCAGTGAGTGGCGAGCTTTGTTCTCCGTCGGCCCTCATGGCCTTCGGTTCCGTCTTAGCCAGCGTTGAGGAAATGAAACTCTGCTAGGCTATGAGAATTGCTATCGGAATACGGAAAAGTTATGCTATTTTGATTACGATTTGAACATACAATGAATGACCATGACTTGATGGATGAACAGGGAGAGAAGTCGCCTGTACATGATATAGGAAAAGCAAGGCCTGGTCGATACCAGATCTTTTGTTCCTTTTATAGTGAATTGAACTTATACTACTCAAAATTTTACATTAGTGAGTAAACATGCCGGCTGCAATTTGATGCTTATATCTTGGATTCACCGAAGCAATTCGACCAGTCTGACTAGTTTACAAACTGGGACGATCATGTCTTTTCATGGACAAGGCCAAATCCAAACGGTTGCTTCAGAATATCAGAAAGCATCATCCACCCGTCAATAGGTATCCTTTCCAATCTTTTGTAGTATGTACAATCCTTTTCCTACCACCGCACCCAGCATAGCTAGCACCTTCATCCCCACAAACGGCTATCAAGCACCCACTAAATGAGCATTACTCCAATATCCTAACTCAAAAATCATCCCCTTCCCACTTCTCAACCTTCCCCCATGTCTCTCCCAATCCAACCAACTACCCGGATAAACCCCAATATTAGCAGGGTCATATCCAGCCTGTATAGCCATCTGTGCCGCTGTCCTAGCCCGCACACCAGCCTTACAATAGAAGACCATCTGCGCAGGTTCGCCCTCGCTCTCCGCAGGATCAGGCTTAGCGAACCCGAACCGGGTCTCGAACTCGTCTGGGGTTAAGTACAATGCATCTGGCTGTGATGCCAGCGGGATGGACACTGCAGATGGAATGATACCTGTTCCTTGGAGTTCGGCGGGCTCACGCACGTCGATGAGGATTATGGGCTTGTGGGTTGGAGAGTTGGGGGATGAGGTTGGGAGGGCGGCATTGATCTGATTTAGTCTTTGTTAGTATCGCAACCACGGCAATACTTTGGTGGCTTTTTTTCTTATTGTATGATATTGGGGTTCAAGAAAGAAGTAATGGAGTGTTCGGTGCATACATCTTCGAAGCCCCATTCCTGGAGCTTGACTGGGCTAGTCTCATCGCTGTTCCAGCGTCTCTGCACTTGGCGGGGATTCTTGTTCGGGATTGACTTGGTTTGGAGACTGCATGATGGTGCCAAGTGACGGTTCTGAGAAGTAACCAGTCCTCTTGTTGGTGCGGAGATAGCTCGGTGCAAGGCCACGGCTGGTGATGCCGCACTGCGTGTCGGGATTCTGACTGCGGCGGAGGACAGCACGAAAGCAGATCGTTGGAACTTGAATGATAATTTTGAAGCCATTGTTTTGATTATAGAATTGAGTGTTCACAGGCGTGAGAGGTAGGAGTTATTACATCGCCGAACGTAACCTCGGGACGAGGGATAGTGATGTCAGTATCTGCCCCGCGTGACCGCTTGCTGGTTTAGGGATTTTCTTCAGACAGTCTTTGGAGCTATGTACAAGCTCTGCCGGAAAATATTGGGAATTTTGATCAGTATATATAGCTCAATTGCCTGTAATGTAGCTATGGGGGTTTTGGGGGAATCAAGAAATATTTTGATTGACTCCCACATAGATCTCATAGAGACAGCACAGATATATATAGTGAAGTATATTTTACGTGAATGAGATTTTCTGACTGGGGAAATCATGAGAAAACGACAAGAGACTTGGCCCATATCCTTGGACATGTGAGAAAACATATGGCAAGTTAGGTTTGTGAAAAGTTATGTTCATGTCATATTTATAAAGGTAAAATAAGAGGATTAATATTGTTCTAATATGCATGGCCCTAGGAGTAGTCACTCGAAAGAAAAGAAAAAAGAAACCCCCCACGATCCCTCACGGGCAACAGGGAATCATAATCGCAATGGAGGTTTCTTTGTGCAAGGGTATGAAAGGTCTCTCAGTGAGAAACATATGCTAAAGACTTTTCCTGTATTGAGCGTTCATCATGCATCAAAATCGAATGAGAAAGAAAGGTCCAGTGGACTACCCTATCCCCAGGACAGGAAGACATCGTGTCAAGGTAACCAAGCTTTCTCTGTCCTCTGTCCAGAGGATGGGGCTGGGTTCCAGCTTCGCTTTGTTGTTTTGTACAAAAAAGGGAGAATTTAAGCGCGGGGGCGGAACGTAAGAAGGCAGTCATCCTGGGATGCATTAGTAACTTGATCGTACCAAGAAGTAAGTTTGGGCATACCTTGGGGAAAATGGTGGCAAACACCTTGATATCCTCTGACTCGGGGGTAGGGGTGTGCTCCCAGTCCATCACCATACTGGCCTTTCCAATCATAGACATCAGAGAAAGCTGAGCGTAGGTCTGACCCAGGCAGTAGTGGGGACCTGTACCGAAAACCAGCCAGTTCTTGGTCTGCTGCTCAGCGGTACCGGTGATCCAGCGGTCTGGATCAAATGAGTCGGCATTAGGGTAAGCCTCCTCGTCGTGGCATGCGGGCCACACGGAGGGAATGATCATCGAGCCCTTGGCGACGGTGACAGTCTCGCTGATAGGGAAGTCCTTCTTGACCAGGTAGGGAACCATGATGACAGGGGGCGGTAGCGCAGGGTCTCCTTGACAACAGCGCGAGTGTAGGGCATGTTGTCAAGCATATCCATTGTGGCGGGGAGAGTGCGATCGCCGTTACGGATGTTCAGGTTCTCCTCACGGACCTTGTCCAGGATCTCAGGGCGGTCGGCCATCAGTTGGAACAACCAGGTGGAGGCGGCACTGGTAGCATCTTGGGAAGCGAACAGGAAGGTGAAGATAGTCTGGGCAATCTCATAGTCGGAGAATTCACGAAGAACCTGGCTAGGTTTTTCTGAAGAATCGACCTGGATTCCTTTCTCAATCTTCTCACGGTACGCGGCGGAATCCAACTGAGCCTTAACCCAGGCGTCCATGATACAAGAGATCTCACCACCAGCAGCCATGCGGGCCTTGGACTTGGCCGCACACTTGGTGAACTCCTCAAGCACCATATCGGCGGCCTTCTTGCCGTACCAGGTCTTAGTGTAAGGAAGGATGATAGGGAAGTTGACTAGCTCGAGGGCAGCAGTGATCAGATAGTAGTCATCGGCAATTTTCTGCACACCCTCATCCGAGATGTAGTAACCGACAAAGGTACGGCAAGACAGAGCACACATAAGCTCACGGAACTCGGACATCCAGGGGGTCGGGGTGAAGTTGGTGGCGGCGGACTTCTTGAGGAAGTGCTGGTTGTAGGAGTTGAATACCTCCTCGGCGCGGGGCAGATACATGGCCAGAGCCTGGCGAGTGAACAATCCGTTCAGACCCTTGCGGTAATCCACGTGGGCCTTGCCATCCAAGAAGACCCAGTTGGTCTTGCCGAGAAGCTTGTGCGCGGCATCCACAACACAGGGCTTGACATAGCCGGGCGAGTTGAAGATCTTACGGGACATATCACGAGACGAGGCAATCACGACGAACCTTTTGTAGAAGAACGTTAGAGAACGGATCCTAGGGAATTGAGTATATCTGGGAGCTTCTCACTTGTGGAAGACGGAAACACAGCTGAGGTCTCCACTGTCCCATTTGGCCTTGTATTCGGTGAATTTGGGGTTGACTGATTCAAGGAATGGGCCCATGAAGGGGATCTTGTACATGGGGCCAGTAATGGCACCCTTAAGGTAGTGGTACTTGACTGTAAATAGGGGTCTCAATTAGTTCCAAGACGCAATTTCAAAGGGCACACATATCGCATTGGCACTCACACTGATCATAGAGGACTGCAATGACCAAGAACGTCAGCAGGCCCTTCCAGATAGTGAAGCCATCCAGTATGGTGGCGACCAGGCCGGCCGGCGCGAAAAGTTGAGGCGAGACCGTCGCATCCGCCGATGGCGAGGCGAAGCTCCCATTGAGGTTGGCCATATTGACCATATTGGGAGTCCAGGTCTGATTTCACAAAATGAAGGAGAATGAATTTGAGAAGACTAAATAAAAAGGGAAAAAAGGCGAGTGGAGAGAGGGGAGAAAGAATTGACTGGGGCTCAGGGGCGGGAACGCCAATTACACGGAGGCCCGGATGCCCAGCATTATCTCAATATCAATGCATAAGGTGTAAGTCATATTTCAAAGATTCTGTTAGGTTGATTTTATTTTCTTTATTTTTATTGGGAGAACATTTGAAATTACTTTAGCCTATATCTATATCTACAGAGTACAACAGGGGGAGCTCACACTGTAATCTCTTCGAGCCCCAACATTAAATTTATTTTACATATATTCTGTGTCGAAAACTAATATTGCAAAGATTTCCCAAGGAAGTTCATACTAGAGAGTGTATGGAGTACTCTGTAGAGGGTTATACATATACTCCGTATTGTATAAGGGCATAGGTATCCTGAAATGCACGATTACTCAGCACGACGTGACCCGGCTAGAGAGTTCCCGAGATAGATTGATTGTCGCTGATTGGTCGTCAAAGCAAGGGTTGTGCTTATGCTTATGCTTACAACGGGCAATGACTATGTGGTACGTTGGAAATCGAAAATGGGTATTCATTGCACATCCATGTAAGGGTTCAACGACCACCAAAACCAAACCATCCGCGACGGCCTTTCGTCTCTTCCTCCACGGGGCTTTGGGCTTGTGCTTGTGGCTGAGTCGGAACCTTCTCTTGTTGACCCTCGCGTGGGTAATCAATATAGTTCCATGCCACATCGAGGAATAAGGGCTTCACGGGGATGGGCTGCATTTGAGGTGGGTACGGCACCAAATTATTAAGGTCCACCCCGGATCCTGCGAACTGTTGTAGTCGTTCCACCACTGGCCGCTGGCTCGACTGTGAGGCTTCTTCGGCAGTCACCTTCTCTAGAGTGACAAGTCCACGATACCGAGCAACCAAATCTCGCAGAGTTGATTGTAAGATACTTGATTGTACCTGAGAGACCTCAAGCTTTGGGACGCCTTCAGCATCTGCTGCTGACTGGGGAGAAGCGGAGGTAGCGAGAGTCAAGGCTTGGGAAAACAGTGCAAGAGCCTCCTTTGATTTCGAAAGCACCCCATGGGATCTTCCGATAGCAAGACATCTAAAGAAGAAAGAAAGTGATTAGTTACGAACCAGGGAGGATTGTGGTGAGAACCATACCTGAGAGCACGGAAGTAATGCCGCTTTGCCTCTAGATCCTGCACAAAGGCTGAGTCGGCTGCAACACCTGGAAGCTCGAGAATGAATTCCAAACTCTGGAGTGTCGAATCGTACAGGACGACACGCTCACGGAGCTTGTTCAGCTTCTTGCCATTTCCTGTGGTGTGTTTGGCAGTTTCCTTTCCATTCGTTGTGGGTTGCTGTTCTTCAAATGACAAACCGTCCCGTTCTCCACATAGCACCCGATTACGGCCGACTCGCCAGCCAACCAAAGTGTAATTAACTGCAGTTCGAGTGATTTGAAGTGCCTGCATTCTCTTATCGCTGGGATCAACACCCTCACTGGCCAGATCATCAATGGCAGATTTCGTCGCATCGACAGCATCCTGACTGGCGATAATCACGTTATCATATGCAGCGGCTTTCTCCTTGGCAGCGGCAGACTTTCCTGCACCTGCTAGCCAAGTAGTGAGGCGAGCCTCCGCGGCCGAGGCAGCAGCTAACGATTGAGAGATTGAAGCGTCGTCCAGTGGGACAGTTCGCGATCTCCAAGTGACAGACTGGGGCAATTCCTGCACTTCACCCTCTGCAGTTCGTCGAGTACCAGCTGCTTCTTCGGCAAGACAAGAGGGGTCGATCTTCTCAACTTCAGCGCGAATCTCGGAGTTCACTGGGAAGAATTCAATGGCCAGCGACGAGGTAGGCTTGGAGCGGGGGAGCTTCATCTGATAAGCCGCATATCGGAGACTTGGGTCAACAGTCCCCGAGAGCAGGTCCCGAAAAGCATCTTTCTTGACCCTTTGACCCAAGGCCGTATAAATCACTCTCGCAAGGGAGTAGTCTCGGAGACACTGTTCCCACCGCCGTTTTTCAAGCCACAGAGTACCGGAAATCATTGCCAAATAAGCCCGGGTCTCCAGGATATCCACATCACTCGCCCCAGAGAGCGCTTGCTCGTGGAGCAGCGAGATTAGATGCTGCGCATACCCAGTAGCTTTGTTGAGTCGAGAAATAACATGACGCCGAGCAGCACCAGAGATGGGCTTTGCGGAAGGATCTGCGGAATGGGTGGACTTCATGTGCATTGCTTGCGCCCAAGCTCGTTCGGAACTTAGAAGTAGAAGGTGGACATATCTGGTCTAGGTTAGAAGGCAGTCTAGTAGTTAAGAATGGAGATGTGGGTAGCATACGACACATTGCTTCCAACATTTTCAGCAGTCACAGCTGGCTTGGCAGTATACTTGCGGCCTTTGACAGTGGCCTGACCAAGCTTCTTGCGGAGTTTCTGCAGTTTTCTGGTTGTGTGCGCCCGGTAGGCATTGTAGTCTCCCACAAGGAGAGCCTCCTCCCTCTCTTTGAAGATAAATTCAGTCACTTCCATGATAATTTTCTCTTTCTTGTTCCTTTACTTGGGGCCCTTGTGATGAGACTGGGGGGACACGGTTGAAGTGGTGGGCTCAGCGAAGGCGGTGAAACCCCGGCAATTTCATGCACCTCCGAATCTTTTACGTTGTTTTCTCCAAGCTCATGGGACCTCGGATTTACCATTGCCTTTTTTGTTCATATCAAGGTGCCTGGACTTGATTGGCAATTCACATTGTGAACTTGTGTGCGAGCAATATTGTGTTCCGCAAGCCGACGAGTCCAGTTTTCCTTCCTTGGTACGAATGGCACCACCCAAAGACAACTTGCTCAATTGCTTGTCATACCCAGAACCAAGGACACTTTTCTGACACACGATTTATCTTGGTAGATGTTTTCAACCGAATAAAATACATACCGAGGAATAATAACGGCATCTTGCGGCTTCAAATTGCGATTTGGGGGGTGATGCTCGAACGTGCAACAGGATCTCTCGAGAACGCGGGACGACGTTTCCTTCGAGATTCCAATGGCATGGTCCAAAACCCACGCTGTCTGTCAGGTCATTTCTGGAAGCACACTGGCGCCAAAACAGATGCTCCTCAGTGGTTTATCGCGCTTTTGGAGGCGTCAGGTCAACGATCGTCCCCCGTTCTTAGCACTCGACACGAAAGCAGAGAATCAAGCGATGAGATAGGGCCATTGTTTGAATTCTTATATCCTCGGCACGCTCAAGCTTTGGGAGCTTCGCGTCTGTCTCGCCCCCATAACAGGACTGGATTTCAGAGGAGATCACACTTGGGCTTTTCAAGATCTTATGTTTCCATTTCAAGTCTTCGCCAAGCTGCATCAGCGGCTTCATACAGCCATGAAGGAGTATCCAAGCTGGCCCAGAGGCCTCAAGATCCGGAATCTCCCGATAAGGACGGGAAAGCGAGCGCGTCCCTTCAGGCTTTCCTTCAGAAGGATGGCAGCGAATTTGATAAAGCTTGGGTGCTGTACGTTGCAGCTGGATACCCGTCGAAACTCAAGCCTGCACTATGTGCTTATATGAGTAAATCGCCCAAAGAAAAGGAACGAAAACGAGCATGGGCACTCTTCAACGAAATTCCGCCTGAAGATCGTACTGAAACAGACTTCAACAACATTATAAGATCACAGCTTCTTTCGTTACCCGCTCAAAAGCCTCTTAATTTGCACATAATCTGCCAGCAAGCCATTTTCACACCATTTGCCCAAAATATCATTTCGCTAGGCTTGATGCACATGGTGGAAAACCGACAGTGGGTCAAAATTGCCATACTCTGGAAGTCCCTATTGGAGATTCCTGAAAACGAGCGACCACCATTGCATTCCTTACTAGATCGATTTGATCAATTTCACTTTCCTGGAAATTCCCTCTCCAGGCATCTCATTGCCCTAAAGTCGGCCTTGCCGAACGATTCTACCAATATCACTGCCGCAAACATGAATGCAAGGATGGATTTCGCTCGCCATCTGTTTGAGCGATTTGTCAAGTCTCATCACTTACTCAAACTCACACCGATCCCAACTGTACTTCCACTGTTGCGCACATACCATTCTCTGGGTCTTTTGGAAAACAAACACTATTTTGATGTGATAAGGGCCTTCCTCATTTCAAAGCAACGGTCTGAATTCGTCAAATGCATTCTTGTCTATCGCCAATTGCGATTGGACATACCGGATACAGAGGTAGACGCAAAGATGATTCGTGCTATCATTCAACGCTTGTTAGAATTCGGAATGACCGACAGCATGCCATACTTCTTGGATGAAGAGGCGCGCTTTGATGAAGATAAAAGACCAAGCATCCGCTCATACGATGACGCAATGGGTGCTTTTTCCAAGATTGGGGACGTCAAGACAGTCCAACGCCTGTTTGATAGATACCTAGCAGATCATGGCCACCCGAAGACCTCAAGATCGGTGACTCCCCTCCTTGCCGTTCATGCGCGGCTAGGTGATGTGGACGAGACACGGCGCCAATTTGATCGAATCCCTACGGAGTTTGGTATTCCGCTGAACACAATCTGCTGGAATATTCTGCTTCTGGCGTATGCTACGGCTGGGGATTTATCAGGTGCCCTGTCTACCTTCTCAGAAATGCGAGAAAACCGCGTACCTCCTGACTCGTACACATTTGGCACACTGATGGGGATTTTTGCCAAGCGAGGCGACGTCGAGGCTATCCGCCAATTGCTCAAAGAGGCGCAGACGAGCCAAGTAAGAATCACAAGGCCAATGCTTGATGCAGCTGTTCAGGCGTACTGCAAAAATGGGAAATTGAGTTATGCAGAAGAGCTTGTCGAGAGCAGCTGGGATATAGCGGTGGGAGGGTCTCCCTTGCGAATGTGGAATTTTCTTCTAATGCGGTATGCATTCAGGGTATCCAAGTTCTCCTTCCGACGCGTCCTTGACCGCATGGGACAGCTTGGGTTGAAACCGGATGACATGACTTATGCGGCTGTTATGCTTGCTTATGTGTATGCCATGCAAGTTGATCGTGCGCGAAGTACTCTCAAAAAGATGCACGAAGCTGGTTTTGAACCTACTGAGTACCATTACTCCATTCTTTTGCTTGGATATGTGAAGCATCGGAACCGCGATATGGTACACATCATTTCTCGTGAAATGCAGACACGCTTCGGTCGAGTCGGCATGGAGGGGAGCCTGTTAAACCTGAGAATGCAAATTGCGAGAGACGTGGAGAAGGCAAAAGATCTTCAAACGCCCGCCAAAGATATTATCTTGGAGAACGCAGAGACAACCCTTTCTAAATCAATCGCGCAGTTCAGTGCCAATCCATCGCCAGCCAACACTCGATTATCCGACACTCGATTGTCAACCCCATCAAACGGTTTCGCTATTGAGTCTTTCACTGCCACGCACTATCAACGGCTGGTCGACGCATATGGCATCCAAGGTGCTGCCGAGAAGGCACTTCAACTTTTCGCCCATTACATGCAACATAGACGAACTACGGGTTCGTCAAACGGCGATGAATTGGAGAACTTACCGATTGACTTCATCAAAGCCATTATGAATGTCTATCTCCAAACCAACAAGTACGAGAAAGTGGAAGAGTGCTGGAATAGTATTATGGCAAGTATAAGCAAGGAAGCTGGTACTTGTGACCTCGAAAAATTTCTCTCTGGGCGGTCCCCAACGCCAACTCTGCCAGCGCCAGCCGATTCTGCTCTCCCATCAATGCTCTCAATATCCACCACTCAAACAGAGAAGCCCAAAATTATTCATGCCCAACGCTTCATTTTGGACTTTCCACTTTCGCTTTACATGGAGTCCTTGGCTCGCCGAGACATGTACGAGAGAATACACCAAGTTGTAGCCGAGTTTCAGGAAACAGGCTTTGCATTGACTGGTTTCAACTGGTCAACCTACATTAGGATGCTTGCGACATCTGATAATTATCCTAACAATGTGGAAGCATTCCGACTGTTTGAAGAAAAATTCATTGCTCATTTCCCTGGTTGGTCGTGGTTCCTCAAGGGATACGGTGTGAGACCGATCAATGCTCCCGTGACAATCCTCCATCTTGAAGGTCGCCCGGGCATCACCAAACCCCGCAGGATGATGGGAAAACTGGCCCGAAAGCATTGGCGCAAAATCCAGCCTGATTACATGCACCCTCATTACCCTACCATGGTGCAACTAGCCAGCGCCCTCCAACGGCTCCGGCAAACAAGTATTACGGAGGGAAATGAGGACCTGGCGAATCTCTACGAAATTGCGCCAAAGACGGTTGATGCCCTTGCGACGATGCCATCGGTGCCGGACAAATATCAGGCTACAATCCTTCGCGGCAAAGAGGCAAAAAGGGATATCCTCCCACGCCCGGCTCACCTGTTCTCTGCGCGCTCTGGCGCTCTTGGTCCTGTGCTTGGCCCCCACAGAGCAAAAGAACGCAGTTTTGATGACGCAAGTCAGGAGCCCTTCGAGCTGCAGAAAGAGCAATACTATGAGCCCTCGGGCAACGAGTCCAGCCTTACTGGCTTGCTCTCCAGTGGACAGCTGGGAGACTTGGGCTCTTTGTCAGAGATCCTTCCTCGTGCAGACCGAATTGACCTGGAAACCAAGTTGCACGATTATTACAAAATGACAACAGAATGGAAGGAAAAAGCCGATAATTACAAGGAGCTTATCGCAGATGCGCGCAAAAATGATGATATCCTGCGCGCCGATGCCTACGAACGACGGTTGCGCAAGTTACAATCTACCGATATCAGGATGCCAACTCCCGAGCGGCAACTGTTTGACAAGGACAATCGGAAGTACAAGTTGGATACTCCAATACAGTCTCTCTTCAAGCCCATTTCTGGGCTCCATGTGAAACCCACTCGGACAGGAAGAGAGCGAGAGCGTGTGCGAAGGAGATATAAGGGACCCTGGACGCACAAGGAAGAACCGAGCAACGCTTCTTGATCAGCGTGCTCCATGTATAGTGTGGTTGTGTAATTTAGCTTGTACTCATATATCCGGATTTCGTTTTCTTTTACTTCACTATGTACAATACATCAGTTCTCCATCTTACATTGAACATCCCCGGTCATATTAATACTTAGTAGGCTCATCTGAACAGGGTTTGGGGTTCTTTCTCTTATTCTCCCCCCTCCCTTTTCTTCTCTTTCGATGTGTCTAATTTTCAACGAGAGGGGGAGAAAGGGGAAATGACCATGTTGACATTGAATGCGACATCAAGGACACAGGTCGTTGATGACTTTTCATCTTTGCAAACTTCCGGTTAGAGTACCTACATTTTGTCTGCAGCAAAGTGGAAAGAATGATATCGTGGTTGAACATGCATCCACACGCACTTCGCAGGTAGAAGATTTGTGCAGATGGATGTACGTACAGACGGTCAAGAACATTGTTGGGGCACAAGTAGCTTTACTGGAATGAAATATTAGGGCTACCAATATTTTACTGGTTGAATTATAGTTGAGATGAAAATTTCAATATTTTTGAATTGGAAAACGTGCTATGAAAACGGACAACCCACACACAGTGCCACATACCATCAACCAGAATGGAAGAGGACCTTTCAGACCTCCTCGACACCCACCAGGACCGACCGACCGAAGTCAGACGCCGAGACCAGGTCAAGATCATCACCACTCCCTAGACCGAAACACAGACACTGCGAACAGCACGCGTGACAGTCGAGGCGGGAGTAAAAAGGTTTCACTTTAGGGCACCGAGGACATGTAGTCATCAGCAAGGGTGGAGATTCTGTGGCTCTTTTAAAGAGTTTAGAAAGGGGACGTCTACTCTAAAGTGATTCTTTGAACTGTTGGAAAAAAAAGTCAGTCGAAAGTCCAAAATGTCAAAGTCCAGTTTGAAAACCCAGAAGGTTTCCAACTGTTTGGGGGGAGGAGAACGCACGTAGAGTCGCTTGAAGAAGAAGAAAAGGATCGGAGAGTTGGCTGCTTATATAGCCCAGAAAAAAATTATTCGCTGACTCAGCACGGCACGTGTTATCCATGGGACGCGCCTTTTTCGCGTGAACTTGGGAAGTTGCACGCGTTCCACTTTAGCAAATCGGGAAATTCCAATCAGCCCCTCGACTCCCTCCTTACCATCACACTATATCACATCACACATCATGGATGGTTTACAACTACGCGATGAGGCCGCGCAGGATCGCGTGCGTGCCGCAACTGAATTTCTCGACCCAAGTGAGTTTCATTGAAATACACATGGTGGTGCTTCGAGCTAATAAAGTTCTTTTTTTCAGATGATGCACGGGCACGCAGGTTCGCGGACCTCCAAGATCAATATGCTATATCATACATCTAACATACTGAAATAGTTATCGAGCGGATATTGTGGTTATGCTGAACAAGGGCGCGCGACGATTAGCAGTGCGTAAATCCATGAAATTCCCTACGGGGAGGTGGTGCTAATAATCTTGGACAGGTCAGCATCGATGAAATCAGAGCACACAACCGGGAGCTTGCCGATGGGTAAATCAAATCTTTATAACAAGTGGAATTGGGTTCACTAGCTAATGATTGTAGGCTGCTCTCTTCGCCGTTCGATTATACACAAGCCTTCGACGCAGCCTTGAAGGCGGTCGTCAAGACCCTACCCGGCCGACCACTTAAAGAAAGTTCGGATGAAGCGGTGTGTATTTGGTTTTTGATGATTCCTAGTAGAAATTGAATATCTAACGATATCAACAGAACTACTACTGCGCTTATGTCGGTGCATTCGGAGAATTCTCCTGCAAACCCCCGCACATTGGGCTCGCAACAATTGAACCACATGGTCTCGCTTGAGGGCATTGTCACAAAATGCTCTCTCGTGCGTCCCAAAATCGTCCAGAGTGTCCACTACGTCGAGAGGAAGGATCGTTTTGTTGCCAGAAAGTATCGTGATCAAACTATGGGTGCCAGCGGTGCCACCAGTCTGAATGTTTACCCACAAGAGGACGAAGAGAAGAATCCGGTGAGTCCAATCTGAAGAGTCTTACTCAAGTGTTCATATTAATGTAGAACTTCTAGCTTATCACCGAGTACGGTTACTCAACATATCTCGACCACCAGTCGATTTCTATCCAAGAAATGCCCGAGCGTGCCCCGGCAGGACAATTTGCCCCGAAGTGTCGATGTCATTTTGGACGACGATCTCGTCGACAGCGCCAAGCCTGGCGATAGAATTCAGCTTGTGGGTATCTACCGTACCCTCGGTAACGGAGGTAGTGGCTCATCAACGTTCCGCACTGTCGTCATGGCAAACAACATCATTCAGTTGTCGTCGAAGAGCGGTGGAGGTATTGCGGAGGCCGTGCTTACGGATACCGACATTCGAAACATCAATCAGATTGCCAAGAAGAGAAACGTGTTTGACTTGTTGTCTAAGTCCCTGGCTCCCAGTATTCACGGACATGATTACATCAAGAAAGCCATCCTCCTGATGCTCCTCGGTGGAATGGAGAAGAACTTGGATAACGGAACCCATCTTCGTGGAGATATTAACATCCTTATGGTTGGTGATCCGTCGACTGCGAAGTCCCAACTTCTTCGTTTCGTGTTGAATACGGCCCCACTGGCAATCGCTACCACCGGTCGAGGTTCGTCTGGTGTCGGTTTGACTGCTGCCGTTACGTCTGATAAAGAAACCGGCGAACGTCGACTAGAAGCCGGTGCCATGGTCCTCGGTGACCGTGGTGTGGTGTGTATTGATGAATTCGACAAAATGAGTGATGTCGATCGTGTCGCTATCCACGAAGTCATGGAACAACAGACCGTCACAATCGCCAAAGCTGGTATCCACACAAGCTTAAACGCTCGCTGCAGTGTTCTTGCAGCAGCCAACCCCATTTATGGCCAGTATGATCCCCACAAGGACCCGCATAAGAACATTGCTCTTCCCGACTCCTTGCTTTCTCGTTTCGATTTGCTATTTGTCGTGACCGATGATATTGAGGATTCCCATGACCGAATAATCTCAGAGCATGTTTTACGCATGCACCGCTACCGCCAGCCTGGCACCGAGGAGGGTGCACCCGTTCGGGAGCAGCTCAACCAAACACTAGGCGTGGGAGGCGAAGACCGTCAAGATGCCAACGCGCCAAGTGAGGTTTTCGAGAAGTTCAACGTCATGCTCCACGGTGGCATGGTCGACGCTGCCAATGCTGGCCGCCGCCGTGGCAAGCAAGTGGAAATTATTAGTATTCCCTTCATCAAGAAGTATATCCAATACGCTAAGAAGCGAATCATGCCCGTCTTGACTAAGGGTGCTGCCGACCACGTCATCGCCACATACTCTGCTCTGCGAAACGATGAGATCACTGGCAACAAGCGTCGCACATCGCCAATCACGCCCCGTACCCTGGAGACGCTGATTCGGTTGTCTACTGCACATGCCAAGGCCCGCCTGTCTAACCGAGTAGACGAGAAGGATGCAAAAAATGCCGAAGCTATCTTGCGCTTCGCCATGTTCAAGGAAGTGGTCGAGGACGAGCGCCGGAAGAGACGCAAGGTGACCACCTTCGACGATTCCTCTGACGATGACAGCGATGCTGAACTCGACGATAACTCCGATGATGACACCACCGTTCGCGGTACATCAACTGCCACACCGGGTAGACGCACTGGCACAGCACGCACCCGCGGTACTGGTACTGCAACACAGTCTAGTGTTCCAGTCCCAGATGAGGACGAAGACCCGGACAGTCTTTACACAGCCAGCCCTCGCGCTCAACGCTTGCGTTCGAGCCAGACAGGCCGCACCCAAACACAAACCGACTCTCAGATGTCGATGGCATCTTCGCAGCCAGCCTCCCAGCTCATCGAGTCTCAGACAGACTCGCAGTCCACTTCCCAAGACGTCCCTATCACCCCTGCCCGCATGACAGTCTTCCGACAGACTCTGGGCCCGCTCATGGGCAAGACCGTGTTCATAGGCAGTGATACAAGCAAAGTTGATGACTTGATCAATGCTGTTAATACTGCCATCCGGGAATCGCCCAAACTTGGTGCTTCGCACGTCTTCTCTCGTTCCGAGGCTATCCAGGCCTTGCGCGTCATGAACGATGACAATATCCTCATGTACCTCGAGGACGAAGAAGATGTGTACCGTGTTTAATCTATCTGGATTATATGGTACTGTCCATGCCTTTCTCCTGCATGTCAAAAATAGGTCGAGGGGAGAATGCTGGAACTGTCTGCGTCAATTTTTACGAGCATGCTTTTTTTGTCATTGCATTGGGATTGATATCATCACATATGTTTTTTTTTTGTGTCTTTGGCGTATGGAGTGGGTTTGAGTGGAAATATTAGTGGACTCAATACGAGAAATATGAATGAATACTCCATCTTGACTTGATCAGTACTTCAATGGTAGTCCCTGCTTAGCTCTTTTGTAATTGTAATGTCATGTGGTTTATTTGACAGGGTAAAGACGCAGTGAAATGCGGATTTTCCAAAAGAATCAGGTGCAACAGCATACATAGGCGAGGCACTCGGGCTTATCTATAGAACCAACGACACCACGCTCTAAGGCAGATGCATACACAACCAATGCAAGTTTCCGAATACAGCATTCTGACCAAGTGTTTGGTAAAGATGAGAGACAGAGGATAAAACAGGGTATAGAGACATGGACAGCATAAGCATGACCGACATTTCGTGCTAAGGTGCGGTGCATTATTACAATTCCGGAACAGAACTCGGTATAGCCTCCTCTTTATCTTTTTCAGCCATACCCACAGGCATCACAAAGTCGTCAGACGAGAACGACGGGGTCCGCACACCCTCTCTTATCTGCGCCTGCGTAAGAGGCGACAGACCCCGCCTCAGCGTCGAGCCCTTCCGTTTCCGCTGCTGCGGACTCGCGTCTTGCCCAGAGGCCGTACTTCCGCGGCGAGGCCGACTGGAAGTAGAAGAGCGGGATGGGGGACGGTCTTCGACGCTGATGTCGACGGGGGTGGTGCTGCGGGACGAGGTGCGGGAATGGGACTCGGAGCGAGTACTTCGGCGGGAGGAGGGACCACGCTCATGGTTGAATTTCGTGATAGAGGGGTAATGGCTATGGCCTATACGTTGTTTCAGATCCGGCTCCAGTGGGCGATGCAGGGTCCCTCGGCGCCGTTGCGAGGCGCGCCAGCCTAGCCCTAGTCGGTATAGCCAGCTTCCTTCTGTTTTGGCAAGGTTGCGGTCCTGCTCGCGCACTTTGAGGCGTAGCTGGGCACGTCTTTCATTTTCTTTTTCCCAGAAGTCTGTGCGATAATCGTCCCAGTTTTCGCGGAACTCGGGGGAAAAGGACTTGGGTAGCAGGAGGAGACGGATGTAGTCGCCTCCTGGGCTGAGATCTTCTTCTATCACGTTGGATTCATTTTCTCTCCCTGGGTAGAGCTGTTGATGGTGCTGCCGACCACCAATAGTTCGTTTATCGGAGGTATTCTGCTCCACCAAACGGTAGTTTCCATTAGGGGAGGGTAGGAATGGGGCGGAGAGTGGAAACAGGAATGAGACATACGACAATAGCTCCTGCCAAAAGGGGCCACGAATGACAATGATCTTGGTATTCATCACGCGTAGGCCACGATTGGAAACAGCGAGCCAGCGTCGAGGCCATCTAATTCCTCGTTCCCACTGCCCTGTACCCCAGACGAGCAGCGCGGTTACCACCCCGCCGAGCAGGGCGACTTTCTCTGCCATCTCTACTACCCAGTAGACAGAGCCACCGACTCCACGGCCATCTTCACGCGGACGAAGAAAAAGCGCATATGTAAAATGAGCAAGCCAAGCCGCTAGCAGAAGTAGAAAGAATGTGTTCTGGCGGCGACGTTCACGTAGGGCCAGATACTGGGCTCGCAGCGAGGTTTCGAGTATTAAGAGGTTCAAGTAGATCTGGGGCGGGGAGGAGGGCAGGTTTGCCAGCGGGTCTGGAGTCGAGGGGCGTAGTGGAGAGGAATCTGAAGAATGAGCTTGAGAGTTCAATGGCTCTTGGGCTGAGGCGCGAGCACCCGGTGTTGGGGCACCCTTGACCACCTGGTCTAAAGGTGAGGCCATAGTAAAAGAGAGTCCCAATAGAGTAGCAATATGAAAAGTTCAGCTGAAGTCAAGTCAAAACTGGCCGATCCGGCCTAGGGCGAGTCATCGCATGTGAAGAGGAGAGAGGAAGGCGGGAAGTTGAAAGGAAGCGAAGTTGGATCGACACCCGCTTGACTTGACATCTTCTCTACTTCAATTATGTTTCGGACTGTCCATTGCCCTTAGGGGATTTCAATCATATCTCTATTTTCAACTCTCTTCTATCGGATATTACCTCTTCAGTCCGGATCTACGCATATGCCAGCTTATCGGGGTTAAGCGGAGGATCCGTTCTGTCTCCGGTTTCCTTTCTTACACGCTTATGAGCGCCACATTCAACTTTTGCTAGCAGAAATATTTTGTCTCCCAACTTGTATGCGAACCGCAGGCATAGCTTCGCGACTTGCCCCTCCCTTTTCAGTCCCTAAATACCAGGCCAAATCTCGCTCAACCGTATTCGCCACCCTCCCTCGGGGGCGACAAGGACTGTCCTCAATGGCGTCAGAATCACTCAACTCGTCTCAAGAGGACATGCATGGGCGTCGTCACAGCGCAGGTGGGAACAATACTGAGAGGATCCCGGCAGCTCCATACGCGACCCAGGCTGCTGCTGGCGCTGCGGCAGCGCGCGCATTGTTCCCGTTGGGATACCGAGAAGGCTTCAGTCAATGGGTAAGCTACAGCCGAGAAGCCCCCATTGCCGTATGTCCGCTGATGATTTACTTTGTATAGTGGGCTCGTCTACCTGCAGCTGCTGCCGAACACAAAGTCCTCTCTTTTCTGCCTTACTTGCATCACCAGCCCCCCACCCACCTTCAGACTGGAAACACGGCGGAGCTTCCCGGTGGCACTACCCCAACGAGTCTCGAGAGTGCAGACCCAAACCAGCTGGGCGAAGTCACAACCAGCTCTCTTAATGACCCTTTTGGCCCTCGCCGATGGCGCTCCAGCATGGTAGAATTGAGCGGACACGACCGCGCGCTCAATGAGTTCTCGGTGGAGAGGATTGGCGAGGAAGCAGACCAGCATTTAGTCATGCTTCACGGCTACGGCGCCGGACTTGGCTTCTTCTATAAAAACTTTGAACCTCTTAGTCGGTTGAAGGGCTGGCAACTCCATGCCTTGGACATGCTAGGCATGGGTCGGAGTACTCGACCCTCGTTCAAAATCAAGGCAAAGGAAAGAGAAGACGCCATCAGGGAGGCCGAGGCTTGGTTTGTGGACGCCTTGGAAGAGTGGCGCATCAAACGCAAGATTGATCGTTTCACCTTGCTTGGACACAGTCTCGGCGGGTACATGGCGGTTGCCTATGCGCTCAAATACCCCGGCCATCTCAACAAGCTTATCCTAGCATCTCCAGTTGGCATCCCAGAGGACCCATACGCTGTCACTGCAGATGTGACAGAGCCTCCGGCATCCACAATGGCCAACGAGCTTACTCAAGACCAGCGAGATATTACTTCATCCACTGCCATTCCGGAGACAGTACCAAAGACAACTGACGGTAGCTTTATCACTGGGAGACAACCACCCCAGCCTGGCTCCGCCCCACCTCCACGACGCAATCTCCCCAAGTGGCTGTCGTATCTGTGGGATGCCAATATTTCCCCCTTCAGTCTGGTGCGGTGGGCTGGTCCTTTAGGCCCACGTCTCGTGTCGGGATGGACTTCTCGTCGATTCTCCCACCTACCAGCCGAGGAAGCTAAGGCACTCCACGACTATTCATACTCGATCTTCAGTCTTCGCGGCAGCGGCGAGTACGCGCTAGCATACATTCTTGCCCCCGGTGCTTTCGCCCGTAGTCCTCTGATCCACCGTGTTCACGGCCTCGGAAGACAAATTATTCAAAACACAAACGCCCTCCCTCATCCAGTTGCCGCTGCCACCACTCCATCAACGCCTTCTGATAATACGCCCGCCTCCACAGCCGCTCCTTCATCTGAATCTTTGGCACCCGCTCGGCGCGAGAAGGGTCTTCCCGTGGTATTCATGTATGGCGACCACGACTGGATGGATGTCTCAGGTGGCCATGCGGCTGCTGCTAGATTGGAAGAAGAAAAGCGCAAAGTTTTAGAAAATGCTAGCCCTGAGGATCAGCGTACCGACGAAGGTTCCTCTAAAGTGGTTGTTGTGAAGAAGGCTGGCCACCATTTGTATCTCGACGGCTGGGAAGAATTCAACAATATTGTGCTCACCGAGATGGAAGAGGTGAACCAGAGGGAGAGAAGTCGTCAGCCACGATGTGAATGATAGCGATGACTTCTTTCCCTTTGTTGTGAAAAATAATCATCAAATTTAGAGCCGGAGTGTGATTTTAAACCCTCGTTCCTCGTTTACTGTGGGTTTTTTTTCTTTTTTTTTTGCCCCTGGTGTCTGTCTCTCTCCCCACCTTTTCTGTGACTACAATCATGTACGGTACATATTGACTAGATAGACTTGGACAGAATCAATGGCGCTTGCCATGAATATTCCAGTCGGAGAAACAGCTTTCATGCCACTTTTTTTTGTATCATTTGTGCTCCTTACGCCTCTCAACCTCGAAAAGAGAAGAAGAAAGAAAACACCCGTCACCCAGCTCGATCTCCGGCAGCCAGCCCCCTAGAATTCGGCCCAGAGATACTTTGTCTCCGGCGCCTAGGGCTAGTGGGATAATGCGCCATCAAGCGCGCTAGCCCCACCGATGAAGCATCACGCTCTTCAGTCGACACACCAGCTCCGGGGGTAGTATAACCACTAGTACCGGGGCTAACTCTTCCAGAGAGAATATGGCTACCAGAGGACCCAGGCTGTCTCAAAGAAAAGTACCCACCCCCCGCCTCCGTTAGGGAAGCTCCCGCCACTACCGTTGCTCGCGAAGCTGTAGCCCGCTCCATCTCCAAGGGTGGAGAGATAGGAGCCCGTGAACGGTGCACCGCTAGCGGTGGAAGCACGCGGGAGAGCCCGCGACTGGGGATTAAAGTTTGAATCCAGTCGCCCATATGGCTGCGGCGTCATAAACGGGGCTGTGGGTCGTGCCGTGGACGACAACATTGACTGCCCGCTCTCCCTCGGATGAACAGCTGGATTGCCAGGCCCGGTTGATAGCGCCAGGGAGAGTCCCGTGCCCGTACGCCGGTCAGAAGTCATTAGCGAGGAAGTCGTAAGCGATCGGTGGTGGTGTCTTGGTTTGTCTTTTTGCTTCTCGGGGTAGATGCCCTGTGAGGCCGTTGCTCCCCTTAGCGATTGGAAATTGCTTCGGCCGTTGCGCCAGTCAGCACTTTCGTGCTGCGTGGGGCTGTTTAGGGTACTCCCAGCATGGACACTTGTGCATAGCGTAACAAGATGTGAGGGAAACTCAAGACGGCTGTTGAGAGAAAGCCAGGCTCGCTCATCTGCGTCGATGTCTGCGTCTGAATCGACATCGTCGGTACTATGTATCGAAGAGGACGAGATCGAGCTTGTGGGTTTCTCGTGAGGAGCACGTGAGCTGCGTGATTTGGATGCCCCATACGAGCGCCATCCACCTACGCCTTCAAAGTCTCGCCTTTCATCGCCGCTTATTGGCAGGCCGAAGATGGGTGGTGTAGATAAATGGTGGGCCTCAATCATACTCCGTGCATAAGAGTTCCTTTTGCGGTTTGCTGGGTCATCCAGACTGGTAACAATTGTCCAGGAATTAAGGAAATCATTTGTCTTTTGCGGATGTGTTGTCGTTTGGCTAGAGTTCCTTCTTGATCTACCAGCAGCTGGGGTTGTAGGTTCTGAGGCCGCGAATGTCAACAATGACGAGGTGGGTGAGGTCGGCACAGAGAAGAAATGCACGACCAATCCATAGGCCACCTCAACGTAGACCACTAATAGCCTGACTACCAGCGCAAAAAGCGCAGCCGAGATTGTAACCCATGCTGAGAGAATGAGTGGGATAGAGATGAGGGCTAGAATAGGCAGCGCGAGCAACGTTGATAGATAGGACCACATCGAAGAGTTAGTATCCCTAGGAAGGGGTGAAAATACCAGGATTCCATCATCAGAAGACCTTCGGCGTCTTAAAATGCAAGTCGCAGCACGAGAAACAACAAATTGCGGAGAAAGCATGTGATGAATGCCCCAGGCAGCGTAAACGCCAATTACATCACTTCGGGAACTTCAGCCCTGTATATCAAAAACCTCGAATCTAGCCCTGTCCTGTTTTAATTTTCATTGAATATCCCCAAAAAATATGCCAGAGAACGAGCCCTTTCCTTGGGATATTGGCGTCTATGATGCCCACTGCCACCCCACCGACACCCTAGCCTCATTGGCTGATATCCCGCAGATGAAAGCGACAACACTGACAATTATGGCCACACGTGGGGAAGATCAAGACCTCGTACAACAAACAGCCGTATCACTCTCAGCCAAAGCAAGCCAATCAAAAACAGACCGCGTCGTTCCCTGCTTCGGCTGGCACCCGTGGTTCTCACACCAGATCCTGGACGACACTACACAACCAGCGGCAGCAGAAAACTCAACCGAGCATAAGTCTGCTCACTACGCCGCTGTCCTAACGCCATCTCCAGCCGATGAGCAGCCATTCGTTGATTTACTTCCTGTTCCAAAGCCGCTCTCGGAACTCATCTCTGAAACTCGGAACCGCCTCCAACAGTTCCCGAATGCGCTGGTTGGTGAAGTCGGCTTGGACAAGTCATTCCGGCTTCCAAGCCCATGGAATCCAACAGACGTCAATAACCGAGATGAAAATCTTACCCCCGGCTCACGTGAGGGCCGGAGCCTGTCGAAGTACCGCGTCAGGCCGGAACACCAGCGCACCGTGTTAAAAGCGCAGCTACGGCTAGCGGGAGAAATGAACCGTGCCGTCTCGCTACACAGCGTGCAAGCTCATGGCGGGGTATTCGAGGTGCTCAAGGAGCTCTGGGCGGGGCATGAACGCGTTGTGCTATCGCGACGGAAGAGAGACAGGCAGCGGGACGCAGAAGGTGCTGTATCTGACGATGAAGATGATGATGAAGATAAGACGCCGGATGTATCTCAGTTCACCAATATACCCGACCTCAGTGGGAAATCACATCGGCCGTTTCCGCCTCGCATCTGCATGCACTCGTATACCGGTTCGGTCGAGCCCATTCGCCAATTCTTGCATCGGTCAAATCCGTCGGATGTTTATTTCTCTTTCTCTAAACTTATCAATTTTTCCGGTGCTGCCGAGAAGAAGGTTGGCGACGTTATCAGGGCTTTACCTGGTGACCGCATTCTTATTGAAAGTGATCTCCATGTTGCAGGTGCGCAGATGGATGAATTGCTGGAAGATGTGGCCCGACAAATTTGTCAACTACGTGGATGGGAGTTGCGACACGGTATCCAAGTGCTTGCGGATAATTGGCGACGGTTTGTGTTTGGCTAGGTATTGTGATTCATTTCTCTATTCCTGCATGGGTGAGCCTCGATTCAATTTCTGATTTCCTTTAGTATTCTTAAGCTGTGCAATTAGCGAAGATGCATATATGGCGCGATTCGGAACGCTTCCGTACGTACATCCATAAACGTTCCCTAGGTGATTGATTCGGGATACGAAAATGTCCTCAATGATTTTATCTGATATCACTATTTGCAATTATATGACAAGGTATATTTCTATCATTGTATGTGATCGTGCGTAACATGGTATCGTAGGCTGGGCCTGTATTTGTCTGTGATCTGACATGGTCTCTAAAATGTATCGTGTATTTGCGTGCCCTGGCATGACTCGGCTCGTCTCGTCGTCAAGGTAGAAAAGGTATGTGGGGGGCAGATCATGGAAGATGACAACTTTATAAGTCATCTACCAGAGTTAGCGAGTCAATGCTAACTATGTATCCATCCTCCATCGTGAATGAGATCTGCCATTGGGGCATCCTGCCAGTAGATCTGCCGCCATTCATCTTCAAGCTCAAGCAAACCTTCACCTCCAACCGGGGGAGGTAGGTCTATATCACCGAAGGCGAATAGCTGTCGCCAGTCCGGATAATCGCGAGCTGGCTCGATGGAATCCACTTGCATGCTGCTTGAGAAAGGATCATTCCTTTCCAGAGGGCCAACATTAAGCCGGAGAGGGGCAATCCAATTATTAAATTGGGAAGTATTGGGTTGTGGTGAGAGGGTCGTTTGAAGAGGGGTGGATTCTGGGGTGGGCACACCGAAGGAGAGTGGCCCAGGTGTGTGCATGGTAATTGATGGAACAGGAGAGGCAATGGGCATCTTGTGCGTATGAGCATCGCCAAACTGCTTCGGTCGTTCCGTGGTTGCCATTCGAAGATCCTCTTGCAGACGTTTGGAGTCCTCGAAAAGTCGTAGGATTGTGCCAGCGTGAACCCAGTATTGGGCCAGCTCGCGTAGTGAGTACGAGGCAGAATCGAAGCGGCGTAAGGCGTTGATGGCAAGAACTGGATTGGAAAAGCGGAGCTCCACTCGGACTTGGATCATGGCCGTGAAGAGAGTGTGGACGCCAGTGTACCAAAGGAACTTCAAGCGCTCATGCATCCTGAGCTCCTCAAATATTGAGGCTATGACCCCGGCAGCTGCACTGCAGATTTCTGCGTCGTGAGGGCCATAGTCATCGGAATAGGCCGAGGCTCTGGGATGAGGTCGATGCAGCAGAATGAGGAAGTTGTTGTAAGTCAAATGGAGCATGGCGGACCAAGGGTCCATATCAGATGCGCGTAGCCGAAGATTATCAGGAAGTTTCAGAGACCAGGTCGCCAGTGATCCGTCGGCTTCTTGAAGGACTGCCTTTCGCCGTTCTTCACTCGCACGAAGTCCGAATCGATCGCGGATGAGATACGAGATCATCGTACAAAGTTCGGTGAAATGCATCACGTATTCTGCTTGCACAAGAGGACCACAATTCTCGAAGTCGGCGGGCGTCAAAGGAGACACGTCGGAATCGTCCAAATTGCTAAAGTGAGACTTGATTAGTATTTGATGTTGGAAGTGGGCTATTTGGAATGACTTACATCGCTTGAGGTCGGCCATATGACAGGGAAATCAACACATCAAACTGGACCAAAATGAACCAAACTCTCCGCCACATCCGCCGATCGCGAGTCACGAAGCTACTGGAAACGGGATTACGGTGCATTCCAAGCCCCGTGGCGATACGTGCAGCGGCACCAACCCAAAAGTGAGCATCTGCAGCAACATCATCATCTGCTCTATCCGAGTGCCACGTTAAAAGAAGGGCCGCTTGAACAAGGATGTCGCGATTTCGCTCGATGCGATTGTCAAACAAATACTTGGTGCGGCGGAAGAATATTTCTTTAAGGGCGTCTCGCTCTGCTTTTGCACGAGAGACATGCGCTCCGACTAGCAAAATGGCCTGAAGAAGTAGAACTGGTGGGGGATCTGCAGGATCCCGATTGCGGTATTGCGTCATGAATAAATCTTCGTCGACGAGGGGATACCCCGGATTGACATATGTGAAATAAGCCTGGACTAATTCATCTGCGAGGGCCGGTTCTGGAAGTGTTAAAGCATCCATCAGAAGCTGATCATGACCCGTCTTCATCTGACGCCGTGGGATTTCGTTGCTCGCAAAATGGTATACATCGTCATCTTGTTCTCGTTGTTGTCGAATCAAGAATGACATGTTCGAAAGTTCATGTCCGACATAGAAGGCGCGCACGCCTCTTTGAATCTCTCTTCTGCCAGACTCCTCTTCATCTATCAATTTAACGAGATGTTGCTCCATCTCCGAGTGTGCCTCATGGGCATGCGCCATGTCGGGGCCGTGGCGGCCAAATGTCTCCGATCCCGTGCCTTGCTGGAATGCATGTTGCGGAAGGCCCCCAGATATTGGTGTAGCATGGCCGCTCTGGAATGCAGTTGGGAAACTTGGTGGTAGCGGTGTCCCCGCTGCAAGAGCAGGGTTTGAGGTGGATTCAGATGTGGGTAGAGGCCGAGATCGGATCGGAACGGGATCTAGGATTGAGCGTACTGCAAGACGCTTTTTCTTTTCGTGTATGCGACAGTCGACCTTTCCGGAGGCGCGACAATTAGTGCAGGGTGTCCCGACAGTACGGGCATCGCAGCGAACCTTGCGCCGGTGACAGTGGACACAAGCTGCGGAGCCTAAGAGTTTTTTATTGAGTCACCGGTCAGCAAGTCTGATCGGGCAAAAAATAACCGATAACCGAGAAATGAGAAAAAGAGACCACAAATCAAGATGGACAACGATCCAGACAGGGGGCACAAGCGCTTACCTTGTTTGCGCTTGCTCACCCCATCCACCGGGAGCGGCGAGGGGGCGTTATCGTTGACGGAGGACATGGCAGGAGTACCATTGACATCATTCGTCTAAATCGGCCACGATTCTGCATTATTCAAGTCACTAACAACAAGTCACTTCAAGGCATCATGGCGAACTCCGAAACGATAGCCGAGGATACAACCAAACTAAAGAAACAAAAAAAGTCGGGAAGTTGAGGGAACTGCGGGATCGGGCTGGAGACTCACGTGGATGCGGAGAAGGCGATTATGTAAGGACATACAAAATCGTATCACGAGGTCATATATTCCCTGGGAGTTGCATAGGATTTGATGCATTGTCTCGGTTAAAGATGTCTTCATCTTCTCTTACATTAAGACTGGGCTCTACTTTCTCTTTGGTAGGATATTGCTCATAATTTCGCTATCTTCATTCGAAATTTGCCCAGATGCTTATCTAGGATTTCTATCCATCTGTCTCTATAGATTCCTTTGAATCATAGGTTATTTACTCCGTACAATCTACCTCGCCAAGATTTCATATCAAGAATCTACGGAATATGTTGTATGTCCGGAGTACGGAGTATATGGTAGGAAGTTAGGGCCTAGTATTAAATTGGTATTGCGCTTAGAAGGAAAACTAATCTACCACACAAAACAGCCGTATCAACAAGCTATATGATGGTCCATTTTGCTGGGTGTAAAGAGTATGGAATATGTACAAAACACTGTCCTGAAGGTAGATATCCAATACTCAAGACCGACAGCGATGTGATGAACGCCCCGAAAGAACAACATAAGAAAATAACGAATTCAATACTCCGTACATTCTAATGTTATGCGATAGCCACTCCTCCAAGCTGCCTAAGGATTAGATGGAATCCCTTACAATGGTATATGCTTATATACACGCCACATCGAGTGGGTCCTGCCACATAATAGCGCGCCATCTACTCCGTACATATCCTTACTCGAACGGTAGAACTACGAGACTCGGCTTCAGTTCCTTATGACTTCATGATCTTTATTATTGACCGCCGTGACGAGATCTCAGGGACCGTAAGGAGCCAGCTAAGCGTGACTGTCACATCCAATCGGATTATGTACAGAGGGTTTAGCAATCAATAGATGGGTTTGCTTTTTACGCCGCACGGACTTTATGCCAACTCAATTCTTGGCTGAGATTTAATTTGGGAATCGACGTCTCAATAATTCGGAAATAACTCGATTGATAAGTGGCAATAGAGTACTCAGGAGTCAGTACCCCTTATCCCCTGTTTTCTCTAATCGTGAAGGAGAAATTTAGTCGACTCACGATAGGGCTGCCTCGCCTGAAGACTTAGGTATGTGGTATATGAAAAAGGTCCATACCTCAACTAAGCGTAAGCCCAGGGTTGTTCTCAAAAATGGGCCCTCAAGGCTGAATGAACGCCATATCGGGTTAACTCAGCTTCTTTTCCCTGGCCAATTACCCCTGAACAACACTCAGAGATCTACATAGGTAACTGAATCCGAGGATAGATACGTAGTATGAACGGGTACATACCTACAGTATACACAAGCGAGTGATTACGGCTTAATTAAACTGCTCTATTGAACCTGCGAATATCCCCTGCGTCATCCACCATGTTACGGCTGAAGTGTAATTGAAAATTCCATACCTCCCTGGTATAGGGCCGTAACATTTGAATGTATCATAATATCCATTAAAATTTCGGTTCTCACCTTTATTTTATGTGTGTACAGCGTCAAAAGTCTTCAGCCCAAAAGATATGAGGCCGTCTATCCTGTTTTGTTTTGTCGGGCTAGGTGCTGCTTTACATCTTCTTCCACCTCGTCCGACGAAGATATTTGAGCTCACTCTAACTTGGGGTACCGAGGCGCCCGATGGGGTTGAGCGTCAACAAGCCTTGATTAATGGCCAATTCCCTGGCCCCCCTCTCATCTTTGACGAGGGCGATAATGTGGAGGTGACAGTGAACAATCTCTTGCCATTTAACACCACCATGCATTGGCATGGCATTGAGTGAGTCTTATTGAGAGCTGAACTGGCCTACCACTCATACCAGAAATTACTAGGCAACAAGGAACATCATGGTCAGATGGTGTACCAGGAGTGTCGCAAAGGCTTATTGCCCCTGGCGGAAAATTCGTTTCCAAATTCACTGCTACCCAATACGGAACATACTGGTAAGTGAATCCTCCTAGTAGTTAGTGCGCATCTGTTTACATTTTGAAGGTATCATTCGCATTGCGCAGGGCAAATAATGGATGGCCTATATGGGCCGATTTTTATCAGGTTTGCTCATACCTATCCGAATCAAAACCCTACATATTCACGCAGCCGACTGAATGACTATCATCTAGGCCACGAGAACCCGCTGCCAATTTGGCTAGTATGATATCAAATGACACACGGGCACATTTTCAAATCAACAATGCTATTCGCGACCCCGAATTGCTGATGATTTCCGATTGGTTTCACAATACATCAGACGAGCTCCGGGATATTGCAGTTTCTGCAAACCTTGATACATTGTGAGCTTAACAGAGGCATTGTGAGAAAATGGGCTTATAACGTTCTAGATGTGCGGATTCTATATTGATCAATGGCAAAGGTAGAGTGCGCTGCGTCGACTCTGCCTATTTGACCACCCTGACTCCTGCCCCATTGGTCCCTCTGCTCCAGGGCAAGAACTACACAGACAAAGGGTATGTGATAATTTTCAGAGTGCTGGTCAGGAAGCTGACATTGAGTTCAACACAAGGTGTCTTCCAGTTCAAAACACCTATGCTCAAACAACATTCTCTCAGCACAATTACACTGCAATCCCACCTTCAATGTTTGATGAATGCAGTGCGACGGAGTCTATAGAGGAAGTGGTTAGAGTGGATCCCCGGAAAGGTTGGGTAAGCCTCAATCTCATCGGCTCGGCATCGATCTCCGTCCCAACAGGTATGCTGTAATTCGCCAAATTTCAAGCGGAGCCTGTTCGCTAATGGAGACAGTCTCTATAAATAATCATTCTCTTTGGGTATACGAAGTCGATGGTCGATATATTGTACCTACCAAAGTTGATGTATGGTGCTATAACTGCCCGATGAGTACTCCGCGAAGTTATGAACATTGCTCTGACCAGGAGTTTCTTTCCAGGCATTGACACTTAGTAACGGTGCTCGCTACTCCGTTCTGGTTCAACTCAATAACACGCCAGGTAACTACCTGATTACAGCAGCCAATGCAGGACTGAATCAAAAGATTGCCGGGTACGGCGCTTTCTCCTATGTCAACGGTGACCCCTCCGTTGTGGGTAAACCATCAATCGACTATGCTGGAAACAACATGAGTGCAGAAGTTGTTGTCTTTGACGAAAATAAGATTAAGCCACTCATCCCGAGTCGGCCTAGAGAGGAAGCCGATCAAACATACGTGCTCACTATTGGCCGCATTGAAAAGGCTTGGAAATGGTCTCTCAATGGGCAGCATTCCTATGGTCTGTCTTTGGAGTCAGAGAAGCCGATGTTATGGGATCCCCTGTCATATGCAAACAGTGACCTGGTGATGGCTACGAAAAACGATACCTGGGTAGACATTGTTTTCGCGGTGCCTGGCAACGCATCAACTCTCCAACCAGGTCATCCGATTCATAAGCACTCCAACATGGTTTATGTTCTAGTGAGTTGTTTTCAGCACGCCCCTTGAGCCTACCTCGCATTCATTGCATGGAAACTGATTTTCATGTCCAAGGGTGCCGGCATGGGCGAGTTCAAGTGGACTTCTGTCGCAGAGGCTCAACGGGAGATCCCAGAGATGTTTAACCTGGTTGACCCTCCAATGAGAGGTATGATACAGAGCTTTCCTTGTAATTGCTCTAGGATTGGAAATTAACGGATGGGATAGATACCTTCACAACGCTTCCTGCCTTGCTAAGCCCAAGCTGGTTAGCAGTCCGCTATTATGGTAGGCCTTCCTATCGCTTTCTGTTTCACTCTCTCCCCCCCTTCTCTCTTTGTTTTTCGAAGAAAAAAAGACTAACATGTATCATAGTACAAAATCCTGGGGTAAGACATCAATCCATGTATAAAACCTCTCACAGTTTCGACTAACCAACCAGGCCTTCTTCCTCCACTGCCATATCGATCCACACCTCACTGGAGGAATGGCGTAAGTTGCCGGCATCTTGATACTAGCACTATACAACGCGTATTAACCGGGCATACAGACTCGCAATATTGGACGGGATAGATGCGTGGCCTAGAATTCCTGAACAGTATGGCCCAAAAGGCCATTGGGGGAAAGCCACCTGACCAAATGACAGCATGACGGATGATTGTGATTGATACAAATGGGGGTAAGTAATTCTGAGCTCAGTTTCATATGGGCTCCATATGAGAAATGGCACTTCCCGGAACACATGTGTGGACAAACGAGCATTTAGCCTAGTGTCTATGAGAACATTTAACGCACTGCCACTTGGATCTCGTTCTATCCTCGAATGGCTAATTGACCTCAAGCTACTGGGATACGATGACTCTCTATTTTGTTTTCATTTTATTTAATATTCTTCCATGACAATGATCCGACAAAAGTATGTATATCAAGACTAGTTTTGAACAGCCTTGTTCAGTCTGACTTGTCCTTCCAAACCTGCCTTCATCATCATACCGAAGATCTCAAGGTCTTTCCTGGCATCCGCTGAGGTGGTTTTAGCTGGCTTACCCTCAACAACAAATGCATAAAGCTCCTTCATTTCTAAAGTATAGGCATCCTCATAGGTCTTCCGAACCACAGAATCGCGGAATGAGCCATCTTCCAACTTCTCACGAATGTGCATAGTGGTAGGCAAGCCCTTAACGTAAGGTGAGTCAAAGCAGACCTTGACAGTCTTGTTCCCACCAAAGACCTCGATCGACGCATCGAAACGGGGGACATTGTCAATTCCAGACTCATAGGACACAGCAAAGGAAGGATATTGAAAGAGGGCACTGGAGATCAAAAAATCAACATAAAGCCTCAACCAACATATAATTTACAACTTACCTCCAGAACGGTGGTCCGTTCGCAGAGCACAAAGAAGCACCAAGCACAGCCGTCGGCATACCGAGAGCTTCTCTCATGGCACTAAGATCATGCGACCCAAGACTCCCCAAATTCCTCCACTGAGCAACAGTATCGGACGTCACCGGAATCCCCAATTCTCTCGTCAAACCCTGTACAAGGAACTCATCCGTCCTGCGGGACAATTCCTTCGAATCCTCCGCTCTGTAATCCGAGAAAACCTTGGGAAACGTGCCAGACTGACCAACAAAGTCCGAGTTCGGACCAACAATATCTCGCACGCGCGCATAGCATACTTGATCAAGGCTTCCTATCTCCTTGACGGCGTCGATGAATCCACTCGCATACCGTCGCATATATCCCACCATCACCTTCCCGGATGTTTGCTTCTCGAGCTCTATGAGCTGGTCTGCATCTTGCAGTGAAAGAGCCATGGGTTTCTCGATGAAGACAACTTTGTCGTGCTTCAGGCCTAATAGCGCGTGCGGAACGTGGAAGGCGTCGCTGTTGGCTATCATCACGATATCCACGTCCGGAGAGGCGCAGAGCTCCTCTGCCTTGCGGGTTGTCTTTGGAGTGCCTCCAATGACCTTTTTGGCACAGTGTTCTAGAGCATTGTCGGAGACATCACAGAGGTAGGTGACTTGGAAGTAATCCGACAGGAACCCAAGCGTTGGGATATGGGCAACTTGGGTGATTTCGCCACATCTGAGTTGAACATTAGTATAAATTGTACAGGGATCTTGGGCAATGGGCTTCTTACCCAATTATTCCCACACGAAGGATCTTGTTGCTGCTCATCTTGAATGCGTGCGGTGATTTCCAGCTTCTCCAATGACGTAATAGTTAGAGAAACTCAAGGTTCTGAGGGTAGAAAACTGATTCTGGCAAAATTCCACGATGCAATATATTCCGTGCAGGTGAACAGTAAGTATATCAGGTTGTTAAACCGGCTGGACCTTGATTTAGACCAGGTAAATTCCAAGATTACATCGGAGCGCTGCTGCCCCGCGGTGGAACAGCTATGGAGCCCCGCTGGACTTCGGTCTCAGGCGCCTTTGCATTTGCGGCTTGGCTGAATATCAGTACATATCAACATGAAGATCCTGCAAAATAAGACATCTAGGGGAGAATATTGCATTTACTCAACATTGGAATGTACAGATTATAGACCTAGTCTTGGTCCTGCACCTCACACTGTCGTAGATACAGATGTCCTTGTTCCGCCTATAGTTCGCCGCAAAACTCCGAAATCAAAAACAACCCGATAAACGTCCTAATCTCCGAAAATCAAACGAAAAAAAGCTATGCCGTTAAACCCCTCTAGATACTCCCGCAAACACATCGATCGGCCGAGAGACCGTTGCAGATGAACACCAAACAAGGAAGCAGAAGACGCCTTTATTTACGCTTTGATTGAATCTGCCATGTCAGTGGTATCGAGGACATGCGTCCTGTATCGAAATCGGGTATCCTCTGCCAACTCCTTCACATCGTACCTTGGTATGATTCGCCGCCCGCACCGTTGTGAGGCTGACCGACCATAGAGGGGTAGCCGTAGGCGGAGGCGTCTTGCTCGGAGGGGTCAAGGTTGGGGTTCATCATGGGGTTTGCACCTTCGGCATCGGCGAAGCCTGTGGGACGAGCTGGACCAGATCCACCGGGGCCGCCAACGGGCCCCCCAGCTCCATAGCCAGCGCTTGGGGGTCTTTGGTTTTCGCCACGGGCAGATTGAGTCTGGTGTTCAAGTTAGTATGTTAAAGCTAATAACTGCTCGAGGCTCAGTCTGAGCATCCCGAGAAAGAATCCTAGGTTTCGTTCTGGGGTTCAGGTGAATCTACCTCGCGATACTTGGACAGGTAGATCTTGAGGGCTTCGGCATAGTTCTCAAATCCAAGCGATGTCATGGCGAACAGGATGTCTTCACCGTTGACTGTCTTGCGCTTCTCCTGTTGGCATTTCTCCGAGGCTGGGCCGATTAGTATATCTCATCACTTGAAGCAAGAACCAGACTCACCTTCACTTGTAATGAATGAGATGAACTCGCTCACACATTCCTGCATGCATTCCTTGGCTTCTTTGGCAATCTTCGCATTTTCAGGCAGAGCCAACTTCATAATACGAGCCACTAAATGAGATCATGTTAACCTGAGATGTATTTTGCGCGATCTTATTATAATGAGGGGTAACAAGAGAAGAAGTGGATATCTGAGCTTTGCGACCGATCAAAAGAGGACAAGACAGATTCGACGAGAATGAACAGAACCGGAACTTTGTACAAGAGAGTATAGACCACCAAAAAATGTGGGGAAAACAAAAGGCAAGGTACGCGCAAATCGGAACAAAAGACCAAATGCAAGATGCGACTTACCATTTGCAATCGGAAGCCACCGATCTTGCTCCTTCACCTCAAACTCGCCCTGGTGCCCCTGCACGTCGTGATGGTCCTTGTCCATGTGCTCTTGTTCTTCTCCCGATTGCGCTTCGGGATCAAGTTCAGGGTCCTTCGAAGGAGAGTTCGACATGGTTATGAGTGGTTTGGAATACGTAGTGGATCCTCGGCTTGGGCGTCAATGCTTGTGTTTCGCGTGTTCTGCTGTCAGACCACGTCAGATCACATCTCCGTTTCAGGCGCAGAATCGCCAAAAGTAGACAGGGTTGTATACGAACACTTTCACAGCCTTATGGCGTCAGCCCAGGGGAGTTGGTGATAATGCAGGGTAGCTCTGTTGCATGCGACGCGCGCAATGGCACCAATTAGCCTCGTGTCTCGGAAATGGGGGCACCTGTTTGGATAGTTTGACTTCGGTATAAGACGCGATCACATACCCGTACCAACACCAAATATGCGCCTCAAAAAGTCGGGGCGGGAATTTGGACCAGTGAAGCTGAGAGATGCCAACGCGCAGTGACCGCAGTGACCGCCGTGGCCGCAGGGACCTCGGGAAATGTGGGTCAGATTGGGGAAAGCCCAACTTTCCAAGTCGGTCTAGATATGGGAGTTCGATGTATTGTATTCAATATTGTACTCTGATTCGCCTCTGCTCTAAAGTGAAGCTGTTTTGGAGTATTCTGTCAATTGGCGAACCAGAAGTCCTGATAGACCTTTGGTCACGTCACTTTGAATCAACTTTTGGACACAAAATAGTATCAGGAAGACAAAGCACTGAAAGGGCACCGTCTCCAGGATAGCCCTGGAAGCAATATATACATGTGTACATGTGGCTTTCAAAATACCCTCGTACCCTTGATTACTTTTTCTTTTCGTATTTATCAGGTATTTACCCAAAATATCTCAATCAAATCAATCAGATCAAACTACTATTCAAAAACGTGACCCATCAACGTAATGCGAAGCTCTGGTTCAAAATATATTCAGCGGTGGGAATCTTATTTCGCATTCATATCTAGAAGGTAGGTTCTTCAGGCCCAACATAATATCATGCCTTGGTCATTTGGTGCCAAGTCAGGCATCATGGCTTGCATCTTCAAGCATGCGTCAATACCTAGATTGAGGCACATAGGCATGTCTAATTTTGAACAAGTCTTAAAGTGACCAGATTGAAGACTTAAATTAGGCGGCACCCACAGCTTTCAAGTTACCTCAGGCTGATATATGCAATCTTAAGGCTCTCCCATCTTATGACATTACTGGAGCCCGAGAACCCCAGCTGAAACATAAATGATCCAGAACTTATATATTTTTTTACTATGATCAGGAGCTCATGTTGCAAGTTTGACACCAAAGCACAAATCAACGCTGCATTATGTCTAGTCTTTTGCCGTTCCCAGTAACGCCGGTGCGCTTGCACTCAGATAGCACCACCCGGGAACACGTAAATCGAAAGTATACAGAGAAAAGGGATGCCACTAAGGTTGCACAACCTGGATATTGTTCTTCTTCTGCAGATGGGAAATGAAAGTCAGTGCTGCCCGTATCAAGTTCCTAGGATATAGTTTCAGGCTGAGCAACAGCCATGAAATAGATGCGCTTACCTTCCAGGTATCCAATTCAGCCTGCTTTGCTTTATACTGCTTGAGCATGTCCTCGATTACTTGCTTCAACCCATCTGAGTTGGTCTTGAGTGTAGGAAGGACATCTTTGACAGTGCGCTCAACTAAAACACCATTCACCATGCGGAAACATTTGCGGTCTGCGGCAAGAGGGTCGAGGGTTTCAATCACAAGTCTAAAAAAAGATAAATGTTAGCATTATTCATATTGTTGGTTACTGGGTGTGCTCATAGGATAGCCCCCGATTCAACCCCAACAAGATCCCACTATACTGGGACAGCGCATAACCTTGGTAGTGACTCACTTGTGCTCTTCTGCTTCCTGCTCAATATCACCAATCTTTTGTGCTAATTGCTGGAGGGTGTTCTTGAAGTTGGTGTATTGGTACTGAAGCTCTGATTTGAGGGGTTCACATCAGCTTTCGTGAATTCCCAGGGCCAGGAGGGACAATGGAATAAGCATACCCTGCTGCTTCTTGGGGTCAATCTGTTTCTGGCTAGACATGATGGCGGTTTAACACGGTGTGGTCGGCACGAGGAAGCTCGAGAAATTGAGATGACGATGCGGGGCGATTGCTTTTTGGTGTTGGCGGAGGCCACTACTATAGAACTTTTGATGGGATCTCACACCCCCTAGAGAGTTAGATTTTAGCTTTGAATTCTACTCATATCTTGTAAAATCATCAAGTAGTTTCTAGAATATTTGAATTATTTATTGATTTCATTCCGTACTGCCAATTATGTGCTCTTCATCCAGTAAGCCAAATCCCACGTGACTGATATCACAGTTTGCAATGTTTGATTGCGATAGCGAGGCGGCTTGACTCCACTGCCCTCTTCTGCAATATAAATATAGGACGACATAACTGATTCGAGTTGTCAAAACTGTTGAAAGGCTATCCTTATTAAACAGAAGCTAAGGCCTGCTGACATTTTCCGTTTGGAAGACTACCTACGAAAGTAGAAACTGGACCACCAGGGCGGTGTCTCTTTTTCTGGCAATAAAAGGCGGTCGGGTCGCGCTAGCCAATAGATAGGAAAGAGGTTCGACTTGGGCGGTACTCTCTTCTTGATAAACTCAACTTCACGCAGACCAGACCAGGTCGTACATTGAGAATAACCTAAGCCTCAACCTCGGCTGACAAGCCCGGCCGAACGACATGTCTCGCAACGATATGGGCCCTCCGGCCAAAAAGCACAAGGGCTTTGGACATTTACCTCCAGGCCTACGCGACGCAAAACGGAAGGATATTGACAACTGGGAGACCAATCGAATGCTCACCTCTGGTGTAGCACAACGACGAGACCATGAGGGTGACTTCATGCCCGAAGATGAAGAGGCGACTCGAGTGCATTTGCTCGTCCACGATCTCCGGCCGCCTTTCCTGGATGGCCGCACGATCTTCACGAGGCAGCTGGACCCAATCTCCGCTGTTCGGGATCCGCAGAGTGACATGGCGGTATTCAGTCGCAAAGGAAGCAGAGTTGTGAATGAGCGCCGAATGCAGCGTGAACGACAAAAGCAAGCACAGGAGGCAACAAATATGGCCGGCACAGCCCTCGGAAACTTCATGGGCGTCAAAGACGACGATGGTGACAGCGCAGTCGCTATGCCTGTCGAGGAAACCTACAAAGGAGGAGGAAACAAATTTGCCAAACATATGAAGAAAAGCGGTGGCGGCAGCGCTTTCAGCAGCAGTAAGACCATGCGCGAACAGAGAGAATATCTCCCCGCCTTTGCGGTGCGCGAAGATCTTATGAGGGTCATCCGGGATAACCAAGTGGTGGTTGTAGTTGGAGAGACTGGATCTGGGAAGACCACCCAATTGACCCAATTCTTACACGAAGAGGGCTACTCTAAGTCCGGTATGATCGGATGCACGCAGCCTCGTCGGGTGGCTGCCATGAGTGTTGCGAAGCGTGTCAGTGAGGAGATGGAGGTTGAACTCGGTGGACTCGTTGGATATGCTATCCGTTTCGAAGATTGTACGAGTGATGAGACGGTGATCAAATGTGAGTTTTCCTGTCCGATTTGGTGTGATCATACAGCTAATTTATATACTAGACATGACGGATGGCGTATTACTACGAGAATGTCTCACTCAAAATGATCTTGACAAATACTCGTGTATCATTATGGATGAGGCACATGAACGGTCTCTAAATACTGACGTCTTGATGGGTCTTCTCATAAAAGTTCTGGCCCGGCGCAGGGATCTGAAATTGATCGTGACCTCAGCAACAATGAACTCCGACCGATTTGCACGCTTCTTTGGCGGTGCCGCAGAATTCGTCATTCCTGGCAGAACATTCCCAGTCGATCTTCACTATTCGCGCACACCTTGTGAGGACTACGTTGATAGCGCGGTCAAGCAGGTTTTGGCCATTCATGTATCCCAGGGCGCTGGTGATATTCTTGTCTTCATGACTGGACAAGAAGATATCGAGGCAACCTGCGAACTGATCGAAGAACGGCTCAAGCAGCTGAATGATCCGCCGAAACTAAGCGTCTTACCAATTTACAGTTCATTGCCGGCCGAGCAACAGGCAAAGATCTTTGAGAAGGCCGCTCCGGGCGTGCGCAAAGTAGTCGTGGCTACGAACATCGCCGAGACAAGTTTGACGGTCGACGGTATCATGTTCGTTGTGGATGCAGGCTACACAAAGTTGAAGGTGTATCAACCGCGTGTGGGTATGGATTCTCTCCAGATAACCCCGATTTCTCAAGCCAATGCAAATCAGCGATCTGGACGTGCCGGACGGACTGGGCCGGGCAAGGCCTATCGTCTATACACGGAGACAGCCTACAAAAATGAGCTTTACATTCAAACGATCCCTGAGATTCAGCGAACCAGTCTTTCTAACACCATCCTTTTATTGAAATCTCTGAACGTGAAGGATCTTCTGGACTTTGACTTCATGGATCCTCCCCCACAAGAAACAATCACCACTTCTCTTTTCGAGCTTTGGTCCCTGGGTGCTCTGGACAACCTGGGCGGTCTCACACCTCTAGGACGTCGCATGACACCATTCCCCATGGATCCTCCTCTTGCCAAGCTCATAATAATGGCATCCGACGAATATGAGTGCAGCGACGAGATGACAACCATCGTTGCAATGCTTTCGGTTCCAGGTGTCTTTCATCGTCCTAAAGAGCGACAGGAGGAAGCCGATTCAGCTCGCGAGAAATTTGTCGTTCCAGAATCCGACCACTTGACCCTTCTCCATGTTTACAATCAATGGAAAACAAATGGTCAGTCCGATGCCTGGTGCGCCAAGCACTTTTTGAACGCAAGGACCCTTCGCCGCGCCCAGGATGTACGCGAACAACTTATCGACATCATGACTAAACAAAAGATGCCCGTCATCAGTTGCGGCACAGATTGGGACACCATTCGCAAGTGCATATGTTCCGGCTACTACCATCAAGCCGCACGACAGAAGGGCATGGGCGAGTACATCAACCTCCGCACCAGCGTCACCATGGCACTCCATCCGACAAGTGCCCTCTTCGGTCTCGGCTATGTGCCCGAATTTGTCGTCTACCACGAGTTGATGCTGACCTCCAAGGAATTCATGTCCGTTGTGACAGCGGTTGACCCTCACGTAAGCTATCACTCCCCATTTGCGCCTGTATGTCACCTAGTAATTAACCAACTCTTGTCTTAGTGGCTCGCCGAACTCGGTGGTGTATTCTACTCCGTCAAAGAGAAAGGCTACTCGCAGCGCGACCGCCGCGTGACCGAAATCGAGTTCAATAAGCGCATGGAGATTGAAGAGCAGATGGCGGCTGACCGTGAACGCGATGCTGCTGAGAAATTGCGTGAGCAGGAACGTAACACCTCCGCCCGCCGCAGAACGGAAGTCGAGGTTGGTGGAAAGACCGCTGTGCGTAAACCTTTAGTCAAGCCAGGGCGCAAGGTCGGTGGTTTGACTGCTTCTTCATCTTCTTCCTCGCGGCCTGGAGCCAGTGGTGGAGGGGGAAGCAGTGTGGTGAAGAGGCCTACGGGCCCTCGGAGACCTGGACGTGCATTCTAGCCTTGTGGTGAAACATAAATGCGTTGGGAACTTGAGTGCCCTGTTTGTACAACATCATTTCGTCTTTGAGATCCATCTACATGGATTTGTTCTGCTCAATCGATACCCGCTATTGCGTTCTCATCCATCCCATCTCTGAGTATGGTCTGCTCTACAACAGGGCTACCTCCGAACTAGAGTGATATGAATCGCCTATTCATGTCCAAGTGAATCTTGTGTAAGTAGATATGTCAAGTATGAACAATGTTTTTTTCAACTTCGATTAAATACGAAGTATAGGGAACCAGAACAAGGATTGGCTAAAAAATAGTTCCAATGCGGAAGGATATCTAAGAGACCGCATTCCCCACTCAATCTGGAAATCGAAACGAACCAACCCCAGACAGAAAACAGAATGAGCCAGCATTTTATTGAACGGAGGCTTCGAGGGCCGAGCACAGCTCAGTTGATAAAGTTGATGCAGAAAAAGTGTAGGATCAAGCTTCCAAAGATGTAATCGGCAAAGGCCCTAGAATTAAAGATCAGCATATGCATTTGTAGCCTTGGGAAACAATCGTGACATCGGATATCACCACAAAAAGACAAGAAACTCACCTCTCATGCGAAGTACCTGTCCCCTGCTCTTCACCCTCATCTGCAAAGCGCGCATTCTTCCCCTTAGAGCTCGGCTTCGATCCAGAACCAGTGCCGCTGTCGCTAGTTTGCATGCGTAGACTCGCTGTAAGAACAAATTGACCAACAGCAGCACTGAAGCCACTAAGGAAGGCATTGAAGGGCTATATTGAGGGGAAAGTAGTTAGTTATTGGTCTATAGATTTCCAATAGCAAGTCACAGGCGCCGTGTAAACAAGACAAGGCCAGTAAAATAGAGGGGTTTAAGCAAAAGTACTTGAACACAATTTGCCAGCCAGAGCTTATACTTACGTAGTTTCCAGCTAGAACGCAATACACGAACTGCAATCCACCAACAAGAACCAAGAACGCCATGAAGGCATCTAGGAGGAGTGTCCGTTGCGGCGTTGTGGACGCATACTGCTGCCAGACATGGCCAGCAATTTGAGCAGCTGAAGCATTGGTCTGGAGGGTATTTGGGCCAGAGGAGAGTTTTGGTGTTGTGAGCGCGGGCGTGGGCGTGGAGGGTGCCGCGGAGGTAGTTGAGGCCGCGTGGCGCTTGGGAGCCATGGTTAGGGGATTTGAGGGATCGGTGATCTTTGGGAATATGTGATCAGTGGTGGATAGATTTGCGGAGCCCAATAGAAATTTACTGGAAATTTGGACGGTGGTTTCGAGGACAATGGCAGAGTGGATGTGGTGGTTGATGCCAGCTTGGAGCTTGTTATCACTGTAGTCACGTGGTGGAGTAGATCCCGATTTGGAAGTATATAAGCAAGTGAGAAAGAACATTCTATTTGTTTGATGGTCTAATGTGAGAAACATTGGCTGAGAGATTAATGTAGTATTATTTCTCCTTTTTCAAAATTGTATTGAAGGTTGGATATACAGTATTGCCACGACACAGCGTCGGCAAAATAATGCACAAGAGAGGAGAGCACAATAACAGTGAGGGGAGGGGGATATCATCCAGTAACGAACGCTATAAATCATCATATCATCAATAGCTAAAGCCTCAGGTGACAAAGTAAGCACCATTACGAAGAGGCTAAGCAAACCATTCAGCAAAATTAGTTGCGTTGATTGGCTGGGAATCGGCTTTTTCAATATCCATCTGGAAATCACGCAGGACTTGGTCCCATTCCTCCCAGCTGAGCTGAGCGGCATCTGGAAAAAAAGTCTGATTCAAGAATGGATTGCTCGTGGCTGTAGTGTAGGGCAGGCTTGCGGACAAGCTTGGTGCTGAGATATTATTCTGGGCCAGCGGAGCATCAAATATATCATTTGATGTAGCCAGGATGTCTGTACCAGGGAACATGTTTCGGAAAGCATCCAACGGTCCATTGCTGAGGTCAATATTGTGGTCGGCATCAAATATAATTGGTGCTGTTGGGCCTGGTGGATTTGGCGAGGGCGAATTCAGCATCCCCATTGGCATGTGAATCTGAGGAAGGGCGTTATTATGGCGGATGCTTCGAATGGGCTCCGTTGTGGTGGGCACAGGCCCAAAAGTGGACAGCAATTCTTGCTTCTGCTCGGACCGGGTGGCAGCGGCTCTTTTCATCAAGGCAGCGAGCGGCCGCCACAGCATGCCCTTCTTATGTGTGGCCTGGGCGGCCCATTCCGCGTAGATCACACTGACTGCGCTCCAAGCTCGATCTGTAATAGGGCAAATTGGTCGGACGCATATTTCAGACAGAACGAATGCGATTCCGTGCCATTGCATATTGGTCCGAAACAGCCAACCCCATTTAGCGGTCTTGGGATCAGCTTCAAGCAAGTGACCAAACTCGAGAACCTCAATTGCAGTCAGAAACAAGCTCTCTCGAGTTGCCTGTGACACATTATTTCCGCGGTTTTTTCGGGTCATTGGGTGATGGAGGATCAACCATAACTTAGCAAGAATCAGACGCCCAACCGTGGCGGTGCACCACTGCGCGGGGATGTTCATATCACAGTGCCTGATATACCGTTGCTCACATCGATCACTTATAATCTGAATCATTCGTCCGGCACGATCTACAGGCGGTAGACTGTGAGGTAAACGAGTCCGGGCCGCAGGACAGACATAATTCGCTCTTCGCAAGGCGCTCGTGATTTCACAGCGAATGAGGCAGAATGTAACATCCGTGAAGCCTTCTCGCTCTTCCGGGGGTGTCTGCATGTCGGGCAACAGGTCATCGTCATTGACATTTAACGGCAGCCGAGTATCATACATGCTCTCGTGAATGAGTGGGTCCGTTCCATGGTCTTCAGATGAGCGGACATCCAACAGTGAGATATGCCACCACAATCGACGCCGCATCTCCGTTTCAAACGGTTTCAGGGCAAAATTTGTCCCATCCCGGTGCAAGCCCAAGCTCTGAGAAAGGCGTAATACGATCGATGTCATAGACCACACAAACTTGCTATCATCTTCTCGTCGCACGCAGACCAAGAATAAAACAGCGGCTTGCAGAAGGATTAAGCTTTGTGTATTCAAGAACCCAGCTTTCGCCAATGCTTGCTCTGTAGCAAATCTGTACCGCTTGACGGCTGTGGGTCGGTCTTCGCCGAACTGGAACAGACACTCATCCGGCTTCATACTGATGATGCTGCAGAGATACATAGCAAATACCAGTGCCTCTGAATTTTTGTCCAGGGTATCCGGATTACGTGCTGCCTCTGCAAACAGCTTTTTGGCGGTTGGTCTGTGTACAATGGTGATCAGAGGGGCCACATTTTCCCGATATTTTTCCCAAAGTATTGAAACTTTGAACATGGGGGGATGAAACTCTCGAAGGGACTGTGAAAGTGAGTAGAATCCAAAAAGGAAACCGTCATGGGAGCCCGAGTTGGAGGACTCTGGTGAAGGTGCATCATCTTCTTCTGACGATGAATGATCAAGAATATCCTGCAGTTCCTCGATCTAAGATATGTTAGTACTAAGAAGATTAATAGCACCAAAGAAATCAAGGATATCTACCTCGTCTCCAAGACTAGCCCAGAGCCGATTACTGACATATCGGCTCCGGCCTTCATCAATAACTAACCGCCCAAATTCATTCTCAAACTTATTGGGAGCAAGTTTCTTCGGATCCGATTCTTCGAAGGGACAGGCACCCTTGTCAGCCTGGTTCTGTGACTCAGTCGAAACAGAAGTGGGCGCAGTGGGTTCGCTCCGAAGGGTCGAAGATCCAGTTGTAGAAGACGGCGCCTGAGTTGGTGTCACTGCGCCTTCTGCATTACCACTACCCCTTAGATGATCAATGACACCTTCCAAGCGACGTAACCGCGAAAGCAGCTCCGCGTCCGGTGGACGCTTTGATTTTCGCGGGGCACGGCCAGGAGGGGGAAAGGTGCAGTCGATGCCAGATTTGGTACAATTCGAACAAGGGGACCTCTTGTTGCACCGAACTTTGCGGCGGCGACAGGTCACACAGCTGCGAGAGGCTGAGCTCGGGGGTTCCGTAGCCACATGGTGAGGAGCGGTCAAATTCGTAGGCAGCGTGGTATTCGGAGAATTATTGACAGGATTGAGATTCAGCTCTGGAGAAGATGAAGGGAACGACATAGTACTGAGACAAGGAAGTTGGGTCTTTCTACATTCTTTGAAGCCCAGTTTTGTTTCTATAGCAAAGAACTGGCAAAAGAAAAATTCAAGATTATAATCGCATATGCATCAAAGTTTCAGGTTGGTTTCTGAGGTTAGTAATCTTGTCAGCTCTGGCCCCACTCCCGAGGTCGCGTCCGCGAGTTGTACAATATATTTCCAAATTTTAGGTATCTTTTGTATGATGCGCACATACAAAAGGGACATACACAGGAGCAATGATGTATTAAATGTACCTTGCACAATTTGAATGGGCCATATGAAAAACACCTAAATCTGGGAAACTGTCTGGTGCTAAAATATAGAGGTATACTAACACTAATCGGCGATCGCTGCCTTATATAAAAGGTTGGGCGGACTTGGCTTGGGGCATTCTGTTCAATATTACCACTCAAACAACGTTTCTCAATTACTTGCAACATCGATAACATTTGTCTCTTGATCTGTCCACTTCAAGTGCTCAACTAGCCAAGTCAATTAGCAAAATAGGTTCAGAATTGTGGTAAACAAAGCTCGTGAACGGGCATTCAGCTGATCCCTTTCAATCGCAATCTGTTTCTCTGCCGTTCTAATGTCCTGCTTGATCTATACTTATTACTTTTGTTTTCTTAGCCCCTTCTATGCCGTAGATTTGCCCCCCTTCGTTGACGACCTAAGTATGGATAGGTAAAGGTCACCCCTTGATATGTCTGAACCTGCAGCCGCAAGTGGGATGGCAGACTTGGGCACTCCTAGCCATCCATTGGCTCTACGGGCTGTATCCGCACAATTGTTCTCGCTTGCCTCGGTGTTGCCTACGGAATGGACTCGATCACATGCAGAAGAGTTAGATAAATATATGTTTAGCCTTATATGTAACGCCGCTACTATCACATCTAGCTCAAATATCCCAATGCTAGATATATGCAAAAAGTCATATATGTAAGAAATTCACGCGGTAATCTACTCATGATTCGCCTATGTGGGCACGAATGAGTGTAGAGATGTGTATAGGTAAGTTGTTACCGCTTGTGCCTCAAACAGAGCGGTTGGATTTGCGCCTAGAAAGAATCAGTCAAACATCTATGTGAAATATGATGTGTAGTTGTAGAACTTACGCTGCAGGCTCCCAAATCCTGGTCCGTTCATTGAAGATATAACTAAAACGAGTTAGTCAACCAACCTAGCATCCACAATATGAAACAACTGAAGACTAACCCGTAGAAGCGTGTTCGGGTGAGTGCCCTTGGGCCATACTCTTCTTCGAGAATATATGTATAGGCGTATGGGATTTTGACCGGAACACCCTCAAAGAAACTGTCACGCAGCGGGAATATATCGCTCTCCTATGTCGCCCGTTAGCGAGAATAGGCAAACAGCACCAGAAAATAACCCACATCGTAGTTATGTTTATCCTTGCACATTAACGCTTCCGGGCGACCATTCAGCCGCCTAGCCTCATCCTTGCGGACAGCAGTAATATCAATGAAAAGGCCAGACGACATATCAATCCAGCGTGCATCAATCTTGTTCAAAGTGTCTCTCTCCGATTTGACGATATAATTGGGATTGACCTCGAGCATGTACGAACGGCCACCATTGACGTGAGGAAGGTCGAAATAATGCTCGGTCATGTTATAGTAATCTGCTAAGAAATGAATTGTTGACTCCGAGACCTGCACATCTAGATCGTCGTCCCACGGGAAGAGCTACATAACTGGTCAGATGGGTTGTATCGCCGTATAGTTCGGGACATCCATTGTCCTACCTTCTGGTTCCACCACCAGGCTAAGAGAGTCCCATGCATGATCCACGTCTCTGCACCAATTGCGTTCATTGTTGTGAAATATGTCTGGATTAGATCCGAGAGATATGGAATCACTGGGAGACTGACATTGGTGTATCTATGGAGCGTTAGCACATTGGGGTGGAGGAAAGAATGAGCGAGCGTACCGGTCGTCATAGTGATGATAGAGACTGATTATTGTGGGTTAGTTTCAATCATGTCTCTACCCACAAGAAGGGAGATGTTTGACATACTCTGATTCATCTGTGCAGTTTACGCGAGTTAAATAAGATCTAATGAGAGCTTTATGGTTCTGGGGCTTTAAAGACCAGGGTGTGGGGTTGTAGATCATGATCGACGGAAGAATTGCACTTACGAAAGTATTTCTCCTTCGGTATCTGACGTTCACTTTTATATTCTTTTGTTACATTCTTTCGGACACTCATAAAATTTGGGTTTGTGATTCCGCAGACACCAGAAATCGCGGTCGCCAAAAGGAGTCCATAGAGCCACAAGACTCCGATGGTTGGAGAACGCATTCTGTAATGAATATTCACAAATTGCGACACGTTATGCTTCGGGTATCAATATATATAAAGGTACTTGAAATGTGCAAGAACAGATCCGAGCCGAGCCGTGTAGTCTTTTCCGAAGGAGATGATGTTAAGGGTCATGCCGGAGAAGGTAGGTTATATTCTAGAATAAAAGACTGTACAAGAGAGGAAAATGAAAGAAGAGGGTGTAGAACGTGAAAGGATCGAAGGGCTGGTTAGGACGAAGAAATCAAAAATGAGTTGTCAGGAAACATAATGACCTGTAGCCAGTAAATCTTGGGACTTCGAATCTCCACCGGAAACCATGAAATTCCCACCAGGTATGATTGGCGGGAGTCGTAAGCCCTTCGGAAGGCATTGGGAAAGTTCGGGATAAAAACATCACAGAGTGTATCCATGGATCGAATCGGCAGAGTCTGCAATGTGTTCCGCTACAAAGCTCGCCCCACACAATGAGCTTGTCTTGAATCGTGGGAAATCTTGGCAAATTGCTGTGTCGAACGCAAAGCCCACCCTGATATGCCTCATGGCTGACGTGGACGTGCAACCCTCTAACGCGATATCCGCTGGTGTTCTCTATCCGAAACTCCGGGGGTTAGCTGTTCTGAACATAACGTGGCGTCCAGAAAATGACCAAGGCATACGCGGCCTCCCCTATAGCATCACTTAAGTTGGTTGACTGTTGTCCGACCCGCACAATTGATGGATATAAGGTTGAGCATGGTTCGTTCTGGTCCAAAAAATCTCCCTCGCCAGTTATTTCGGCCGAGCTTTGGTCTGGAGCACGATCCATCAAGGGCACCGGCTGTGCGTCAAATTCGTGGAGTAGATCCAAAAGAACTCCAACTTGTCCCCAGCAATGATCTCCAATTTTGCTCCGAAATATACGTTGTAACAGCGCAAAAGACCTATCATCTGTGTTTTAGAGGGAGGTTAGATCCCCAACTGATCAACAGCGAATCGTGGCCCATTTTGAAACCTTAAATGCCGATATTCGACCTGAGTGGAATCTGACCAATCATGCCAGAGTGCGCACGAATCAAGCCTTTCTGCTGTGCACTGGTCGCTCCTTGAAGAAATCCCAAGCCCGAGCCTCAACTCCACTCGGCGACTCTTCACGCTTGTGGCCATAGCAGGAAAGTATTGAAAATCAAGTGTGCCTTGAAAAAAACCGGTTCGATTCCTTCAAGTTATAGGTAGTGCTGACTACCGACGTCGACTATGAGCGGACCCGGTGTCTTTTCTAGCCGTAGCGTGCGACCGGGAAGAGTTGAATCGGTCCTTTTCACGACACCATATAGAATGTCTACTGGTAGTAGAATGGAAGCCGACTAGAAGTAATGAAAGTATGAGGGGTCCCTCCAATATCACTGGACCGTCCTTGAAAGTGGAATTATTGGATACGAGCGCCTTAGGTCACAAATGGTGCGCCAGGCCACGATACTGGGAGGGAGATAGGTGCTTCGTCTCCTTTCCTTCTTGTCATTGCTGCTTAACGTTCAAGGCAGGCACTTCTAGAGCCATGACAGCATGTTGGTTTATAAGGGCAAAACAAAAAAAAAACTACCGTCACAAGCCTAGGAGAATGAAGCACCGTGGATTATTTTAGTGGAAAGAAGCAAGCTGGTCACAAAAGCAGCGCTAACGGTGTTCTCGTGATCGTGCCCGTCTAGATCACACAGAGGTGGACACAAGGGATCCAATTAGTTCACAAGTTATTAACTAGTTAGCAGAGGAACCGCATAAGTTTCCTCAATGGACCAGCATTAATATAGGTATCGATTGACTGATTGATCTCTTGGAAATCACATCCAACAGTTTGAAATCTACATCCCGCCCTAGCACATGTTAAACAACACCTCTGCTCGAATGTTCCATAGGGCCCACTTGTCCGGCATACCGAGAAAATCAGCTTGTCTCAAAGGATACTAGTCGATTTCACTGTCACATTCTTATAGGTGGGTGTTGGTTAGCTCATCCACTTGATATGTGGCAGTGCGAAGTGTTTGTACAATATAGGTCAATAATGCCGTTGAGCCAATAACAATATTTGTAGCTCTTGAGATTTACTATGGAGGGTATTCAAAAAACTAGTTTATACCAGATACTCTCTGGTAAGTGAGCTATCCCGATCAGACTACCTCAATAACACCTGTTCTTTGGGTTTAGCACACGGTGTTACTTCGCTGAAACAATGGGGGGATTCGGACAATTGGCCGGCGATATGCATGAATGTCACTTTCTGATGAAGACCCCTACACTCCATACAATATACTTCAAAGAAAACCACAAACTATATTTGTGCCTCGAAGGTGTGAACTCATACCATTTTATTTCTCTCACTATTCCACAAATAGGAAGCTATAGCGAGAATAAAGGGCGCATGAACTGATTGGTCAATCGGCCGTAGCTGTCGGGCACTTTCGATGGACCAATGGACTGCCAACGTACTGCCAATGCTAACGGACTCAGAATCAAGGCTTTTCAGTGGAGATCAAGTGACATCAATGATTCGCCATGTTTAGCTTTATGTTTTCAATATTGATCACAGTCAGTTATGTAATTTGGTACCTTTGTGGACTGGTGCCTACTTCAGGTGCCTAGGCTGAAAGTATGGATATTAATACGGTAGATCACTCTTATATTACCCCATGTATGTACATACCGATACCGGATTTTTGATTTTACGGGTGCCGCTTTATGGGATGCACTGGGGACTGTCTGGAAATGCTGTGGGCTGGGTCCCTGACTCCCAGGGTCCACCGAGCTAATCGACCCCGACGCTTTGGTGCGGCCCAGCAGGTTTAAATTAGGTATCGTTTTGTGGCCTAGACAACATACACACAAAATATTCTTAGACAATGTAGTCATAGCATGGATTTTCTCAACCGTCATACCGGTCAAGGATAACAGTAATAGAATATGATATGATAGCAGCTCAATAATCATTAATACTTGGATTAATCTTAGATATATAATGTGGGAGCAATGAATATCTATTCATAGATTTCATATGGAAACATGGCACATTCTGCAACCCACATCCTTAACCCTTCTACCTAGAGACTATCTGGTGATCGAGGAGCCTCGACCAGAGGTTCCACCCGTGATTTAATGCACCTAAGAAAAGCTCCAGCAAGTGCCCCCAAACTAAATAGGGCCACTCGGTTTTCCCATGCACTATAACCGTGCTCGTCCAGCCATAGCATCTTAATCAGACCCGTTTCGATAGCCTCGCGGATAAGTAGGTATATTATAGCTCAAAACTCGAGCTATCCAAGGGCTAGAGTTCTATACTCCTTATCTTCTAGCTCCTCGCATTAGGCCCGTGACTCATCATCATTTTGCTCCTAATCGGGATTGGAGGAAATCTCTATCACTATCAATACCTATAAAGTCCATAACACCTAGGAATTGGACGAGAACTTATCGCTAGCATTCCGGGCTTCTGTCGTCGAAGGTGTAGCGCGTATTGTCGTCGAGACATCGATCACAAGTGACCTCAGCCTCGGCCCTCATGGCTTTATACTTCTCGTTCAGGTCCTCATCGTAGCAAATACGAAGCCAGACTGTCTGCATATTACCTTGTTGATTTTTATGGACGTTCCGCTCATGGATTGATTGGTGAATGCTGAGAATTTGGATTTGCTTTTTTGTTAATTCTGGCGAGCTTATCCCAGCAAGAACTGAATACGCTCGAACATAATAGCTCTAACCAAGGCTAGTAAAAGGTCGAGGAAATAGATAAGCGGGGGAACCAGGCATGTCGATCAATAAGCTGTGTTTCCACACTAGTCGTTCCCACTACTGGGCGTTTTCCTTTTCCCCCTCGGCCCAATAATCCTGCTTGGCATTAGTTGAGGTAGGAGTGCTCATGTGAGATGAGCATACTATGATATGGTAATCAAATGCAAAGGTACCGTATTGGCCCAATTGGGCATCCTCTTCAAGTTCTTCTGGCATTGTAAAAAGCTGGCCAGTTAGGAGACTGGCTGGTAGGGTCTGAACAAAAATGTGTCTCAAGGTGAATGGGGCTGTGGTGTGGAAGAATGGGCAAAGGAGTGGCATCCGTGTCGGGGTATTGGCCGTACGGAATTTCCTTGACGGACGAGGTCGATCTATGGGTTGAACACTGTGCTATCTTGGACCGCTTGTCTTGGCGGTTATTTGGGTAATTATTCCTAGGTAAATTTTCTTCCCTCTTCGTCGATTGGCTCTACAGCATGCTGTTGATCTCAGGGTCTATTAAGCTATGGACTGATGAAATTAGAGTACGGAGTACAGATATCCAACAGCAAGATGTCTTGGTTGATGCTTTACCTTTCACTCTCTAACAATAAGCGCGAATGCTCAAGATACAGTTTTTGGAGGGCGTTCTCCCTGCTAGTAACTGCGGGCTGATAATGTAAGACTTATACGGAGTGGCTCTGCTAATAAAGACCGTAAGCTGTGGCGTTAGCACCTCGGGTTACCGAAATAGGAAGCCAATCAATGCCTTACAAACCAGGCCACAATATATCCTAATCAGATTCCCGGGCCGAGTCCAAAAGCAGCAAGGGGCTAACCACAATAGAACCTCTCGGCCTAAATTCCACAGGTAAGATTACAATAGTCCGTAGAGCTCTATGTATTTTATTGATCTGTTTAGCATGGAGGATTCTTACCCTCTCCACTTCTCCAGGGCTTCTAGCCTTTTCAGCGTCTTTGCATCTTTTTGCTTTAAGCTTTGATTTTCTAATTTTCACATGATAACAAACTCCTCTGATTCACATACCCTGGGATCTCTAGCAAAATCTATCGGATACTTTTTTTTTTGTTTGTTCATGTCAGTTCCCCCATTGCACGATTTTCACTCGATACAATGACTCGAAATACACAGTAACCATTACTCGGGCGTACCATTGAGGCCGCATAATTTATGGGAATCAACCTCTCATTCCCTGATTGTTTCTGGAGTGTGTGTATGTGAACATGTCAGGGACCTCTTCTACATCCCAAGGCGAATCAAGCACCCTTCAAGGATCAGCCCAGCAGTTAAATAGATCCTGCGAGTCATGCCGAAGTCTCAAAGTCCGCTGTCTCCCCAGCCCATCTACGCCTAATCAGTGCCAGCGATGCGCTAAAGGCAAGCGATCCTGCGTTTTCGTGGCGCCGCAGAGGCGGCGACCTCGAAAGCGAACGGATTCGCGCGTCGCCCAGCTTGAGAAGGAAATGCGGATGATGCGTTCGCTGTTGAAAAATCGTATCCCTGAAGAAGAAGAAGAAGATCCGGAATCTGGCGATGACAGCGACGTGGAAGATGTCCAGGATCATGAATCGGCCGATCTGGAAAGCAATCTGGCCTTGCGGGACCATTCGGCTCATTCGTCCGAGGATGTCCGGTATATGGACTATTCCCCTGAATTGCTAAATACCCCGCATCCTGGCGCGCATGATAGTGGCTTTTCGGCGCCGCCAACTTTCGCAGGCATGCCAGCTGGCTTTGAGATGAAGGAGAGGTTTCCTCCGGCGGACGACGTGATTGATCGGGGGATTATCTCCCTTGAATATGCGGAGCAATTGGTGGCGTATTTCATTCACGAACTTGCATTCTTATTTCCACTGGTCATCTTGCCTTCGAACACCAATGCGGCTCAACTGCGAAAAGCAAAGCCAATCCTCTTTCTGTCTGTGATTGCCGCGACCTCCATATCAGTTGATGCTGGCCTGGCAGCTGTGCTGAACCGTGAGATGGTCCGCCTCTATTCAGAGCGGTTCTTCATCGAAGGCGAAAAGTCACTAGAGTTAGTGCAAGCGCTGCTGCTGATGATCATATTTTATCTCCCACCCGCCTCACCATTGAAGCTGCAGCTTTATCAGTACACGCACATTGCTTCAACGATGGCACTAGAGATTGGGTTAGCCAACAAACGTCGTGTTTCAAAAAAGTCCAATCGCAAGAGCGGCAAGCAGGAGCCGCATGACGAGCTGTTAGCTGAGCAGGCGAGAGCAGTCCTCGGTTGCTACCATCTCGGCTCGAGTGTTGCGATGAAAACCCGACGCCCAAATCTGCTCCAATTCAATGACTGGATGAGCGAATGTCTCAAACACCTAGAAAACTCGCCGCATCAAATGGATAAACATGTGGCGATGTGGTTCGAGCTCCAACGTATAACCGATGAAGCAATGTCTTCGTTCGGTCTGGATGACACCAGTACTACCTCGCCCCTAACCGAGTCGCGAGTCCAAGCTGTCCTGCGCTGGTTCGACAAGCGGCTCGAAACGTGGAAGAAAAACATTCCATCAGAATTGCTCACCGGTAAGAAACCCCAATCCTCTCGCTTTGCGCGTCCAAAAGCCACCCAGAACTAACTGACTCCATCAAAATAGTTCCCATGATCCTCGAATACCGCTCCACGGCACTAGCAATGTATGAACTCGGCGTAGGAGAAGGCTACCGCGACCCGGACTCACTAAAGCGACGATATTTCACCCTTCCGGCACCCGACGAAGAAAGCAACAGCGGCAGCGAACCACCGGACGCCACCCTCAGCGCAATCCGCATCGACATCAACATGAAATGGATGAACGCCGCACAACAGCTGCTAGATGCCGTGCTGACCTGCAACACGGACACGATGCGTAAACTCCCGAATCTCATGTATACCCGGTTCGCGATGGCCGTGACCTCCCTACTGAAAATCCACTTCTCTGTGCGAACTGGGGCTCTCGGGGAAGTCATAACGCCACAGACCGTGAACGTGGCCTTCTACCTCGACGCCTTATCCAGCAAACTAAGCGAGGCAAGTGGTGGGGGCAAGTACAACATCCCCAGTCGGTGGTACAATGTTGTGGGCGTTAAGGGTCGGGATTGGTATGAGCGGTTGGAGAGGCGGTATGGTGGAGCGATGGACGCTGGGTCCCGTGTTGTATCGGTGAGTCCATCGACCGGCACTGCGGAATCAATCTCGGGTCCAGCGTCACACTCTGGCCAAGGTCAAAATCCAAACCCAGACGCACACTTGGGCCAAGCCACATCAACAATGGACTCTTTCCCCGTCCCTATGCCACCGATGCAGCCAGCGATAGACACCATGCGCGATGGGTACGTACCGATGAATGGTACAGGCATGTGGGCCATGGATAGCGGACATAATCCGCATTTCTACCCCATGGGCACGGCGGGGTATCAGCCTTCTGTGTCGCATCCGCCGGCGTTACCGCCTCATTTTTCGTATGAGCCGCAGAGGATGCCGGCTGGTGGTGCTGGACAGCATATGGCTAGGGCGGGGATGGAATTGGATGGCTGGCTTCCTGATGGGAGTATTTTTGGGATGCGGCCTTTGCCTGAGTTTTGAGAAGAACAGAAACCTAGAACGGACCTCTGGGTGCCTATATGAGCCATGTAATGGCATATATCATAGGCATGAGCTGTATATACTTAGGAGCTTGTTATAATTTGAACGGGATATCCGGTTGTCGTATGATGTAGCAGGAATCATGCTATACTCACCAATATATGAGAACAGGATCCAAAATAATATCCAAAAAAAGATCCACCAAGGTAGGTAGAGCTCAGAATACTCCGTGCACAAATCTGATAGATGGATCATCAGAAGTATAGAACCTGGAAAGCAACAGACATCCCATCAGCACCGAACAAAATCCACAAGATCAGACGAAAAGAGAAGAAAAAAAGGAGCAGGAAACAGACCCCTACAATGAGGTAGTATTGCTTAACCAACAGATATTAACCCACTCCATTTAGCTAGAGACAAACACCAAAGTGCCGTCGGAGGCTCGGGAGGATCGGAACTTCCGCGATGGAACCGTCGGGGACCTTTGATCATCAAAGATATATTGAACATGGGTCTGCTGTGGATTATTCGGGGTCTTGGCCATTCCTTTCTGGGCTACGGAGTATGTTGTGTGCTGTACTCCGTCCGGAGCATAGACATAATATTTGATTTGGCGTGTGTCTAGTATCCTGATCCCATCATATTGAGCCGACATCCCGATCCCGAGTTTGATGCGGAGAGAGCATAGGCCCGGAGGCTTCTTGGATTGACTTGTCAATACATACGGAGCACATCGTTGTTGTGGTTCGTGTCATATCTTGTTTCTCGCTATCTATAGTGCTGTCTACTGCCTGGTATGGGTAATCCGAATAAGCAGACATTTGTCATATGTAATAATGCATAGGCAAATCGTTAATCATAAATTTTGTAAATAGTCTCAGTCAGGAAAACAGGCGCATCATTTCATTGCATAGATAAAACATGGGATATCAAAAAGCCAACCGAAACCAGGGACTTGGGCTACCTGGTCTAACCAACTCCTTGCCAAAATCAATGAACCCGAAACCAAAGAAAACGTTTAAATGTAAAGCAATGTAAGTCACAGAATCGAAAACGCCTCCAACGCATCCATAAACCCAGCAATAGCTCCAATCCCCACCAATCCTCTCGTAGCATTACGAGTCAACGCCTTGTGTCTATCCTTTGCTTCTTCGCGCGAGGAACGACGTGATCGTGACGACGGGGACCGTTCATCCGAGCGAGGCGGCGAGGGTCGGAAGCTGGACTCGGGGGATGAGGAGGAAAGCGGGTATGCGGAGGAATAGTGGCGGGGTTGGAGTTTGTTGTTGCTGTTGGGGACATTTCCGTATGCCTGATTTCGGGCCCAGGGAGGCTCAAAGTGGACTTGGTTTGGCGATGAGCCTCTGGGAGAAGGGTTGGTATTGGGGATGGTGATGGCTGGCTTGCTGGGTTGGTTCGTGTTTATTGGAATGGATCGGGGCGCTGTAGCGTAGTCTTGGTTTGAGTAGTATTTGTATGGCTGGGGGGACCTGGCTGTGGCTGTGAAGGCAGTGGTAGAGGACGGGGTAGAGCATGGCTCGGGGGTGGGAAGCTGCCGCTTGGGTATGCCGGGACTCTGCTTTCGGGATTGCTGTAGGTTGGAGGATATCGGGATGAGAGGCTGTTGGAATGGAAACGGCCTTGCATGGGGATGGTGCTGTGTGTGGGCCGAAGAGTATCGGACCTTTGCTCCCCCTCATCACTTGAGTCGATGACTTTTGAGTCACTGCGAAGGGTATCTCGATGTTTGGGATATTCATCGGGCTCTGATTCGCTTTCTACGTGAGCCTGGTAGCTAGAATACTTCCGGCGTAGCTCTGCTGCATGCTGTCGGGCCTCCTGTGAATGAGGGTCTCTCCAGTTCACTGTTGATCCTTCGAGATAGTAACCGTAACCTCGGCCGTCGTTATTATCAAAATCTAGCTCTTCAGTATCATTTTCGGTGTCCGAAGAGACGTAGACTCGAGGTTGGACTTGCTTGTTGGATATGTCCAAGCCTTTGCCAGCGTGGCGTAGTTTGGAAGGGTCAATGAAAGGAACCCAGAGCGAAAGCAGCCGATTCAAAGTGCTCTCAGATAGCTGCACCATATCCTTCGGGGATCTTTCCATGTCACTCAGTCCCACGTCGCTGTCTCCAAAAGTAATGATGGGCAGTTTTGTCGGATCCGAGCGTGCCATATTGGACGAGTAATTGGAACTAATCCTTTGGTTTGTTGGGTCATTGGTGGCATCCAAAGTCTCCTGTTCCACAAGATCCCACAAGCGGTCGAGGCGCTTAACAGACCAATATCGGACGATGATCATGTTTTGAGATTCCGCTTTCTCCTGGGCAATGGCATCGTCGGCGGTGGATGTAAGGGAATCGGTATCAATCCCATCATCAACATTAGATTTGACGACGTTCCCAAGCTGCAGAGTTTGTAGCATCACGATCAAGCTAAGCTTGAGAGATTCCAACTGGGCTAGCAGATAAGTGACATGCTGCTTCCGGAAGCACCATTTGAGTCTTTCCTGTAGTGGAATTCTCATAAGATCATTGTCTTTATCAGTTGCCTTCAGCTTGTCCAGCATGTGTTCGATTTCAATGAAGATCATCTGGCCTTGTCCGGCAATCTCCCATGCCTTTTCTGCTGCCTCTGGAGACTGGTCTACATCGGTACCCTCGATAGTCTGCCCAACATGCTTGAGGGTCAGAGCGAAAAGCGAGATTCCTTTGGCGATGCTGTGAATTTCCAGTCTTGACTGGGCTAGTTGACAAGCGGCAGCATTCAAGAGAAGTGAGAGCCGAAACCCTGCGCCAGCGATCTTAACAATGGAAGCCTGTGAGCCTGTAGATATAGAGAAGGGAGCTCATTAGTAGAATTTCTCAACGTCTCAAAGAGAAAGGCATACCTTGTGCCATGATAAAGCGGTGTTTCAGATCATACCTACAGATCAAAGGCAAAGTGGATTTCCCAAGTCAGAGATCATAAACTCCAAGCTACTCTGCCAAGGACTAGAGAGCCGCAACCTTCTACATGTCAAGTATCAAGTGACTCACGTCTGACATATGCACGAACGGGGCTTGTCTGTTTGTCCCATCCCGATTCATGGCGTCATCATCTATGCTTTCTCGACTTCTCGTTGGTTTATGAAGATGGGCGGAGTCGATCTTATGCTTTTTCTTGTTATCATCCTGAAGTCCTGAGCAAAAGTACCCCGGGCACTGCCCCGGCGATCAACACCTTCCGCTCGGCTTTTCGCCTTGAACTTACTTATCAAGGCTCACCTCGCCCGTATCAAAAGGGTAGGCTCTCTATCAGGGACTTTCAGATGTCGGTGAAAGACCCCCCGTTACCCGGGTTTTCTCACCAGGCGAAGCATGGTGGCAATGACCTCGTATTAGGAGGAATCGGGATAATGGAAGGCAGGCTAAGTAGTAAGATTTGGTCTCTCCGATTCAGGAGCTGTTTATGCTTTACATAAAAAATAAATTGAGACACACATGGTATGGGGTACGGAGTAAACATGCAGCTATTCCGAAGTGGATACAAGCACTTAGATGTGAAACGTTCGTATATGGAATGAAGAGCACTCCGTAGAGAATGTCAGTATCCAAAAGCATGTATATTCAAAGTTTCTATGTATATATGTATCTACTGTTTTCATTCAGACGTGTTTGTTTAGGGACCCGATGGGTGTATTTCCGCTTTCGGTCCCTCAACAGTTCGTTTTGCGAGCTGCCTAACCTCCACAAATCTTCCAAGTATCTCTCTACAATAATCATTTAATTCTTTACAAAGCTTGATCCAAATCCTTTGTTGTGGCTTTTCTGTGTTGGTTAATTGAGCTCTCGCCGTATTCTCCGCCCCTCCTTTTTCGTGTGGCACACCGTCATCTACGGAGATTGCCTAACACTGTCCGATGACCATCTAGTGGCCCACCATCGGACGTGGGAACTCGTGATAAGGAAAATTCACCCAGATAAGAGCTCAAAAGCTCAATACAACAATTGTGAGACCGAATGGGTGAGCTCCCGAAGCTATTGCGAAGGAACGCGAGGACGCAAGGGACTGGGATCCGATACACCTTGGGGCCCCTAGGAGCCTCCAGTCCATGAAATCATGACCGCAACCTCAAGTGTCAACGTAGACACCTCCGATTCTCCTATACCCTCTCCTTCGAACGCTCCCCATTCGTCCCAGCACCCCCAATCGACAAAGGGCGATTCCCCCACAAACCAGAATGAAAAAGAGACAACGAGCCCACCGCCCCAATCAGTAGCATCCGAACCTGCTGCAGGGTCTGCCAAACAAGATCCCCCCGCACCAGATGAAGTAGATGATTTTGGTCTTCCTATTCGAGCACGCCGACCCAACCCCACACCCCGCGAGACCCCTGAAGAAGGGAATGCCAGCCAAGACGTTCAGAATGTGGATGTGAGCTCGACGGACCATAATGATGCCGTGGAAAGGATTAAGGAATCAGAGTTGTCACAGGACATGCTGAAATCCGGGGCCCCCCAGCCAGCCAATTCAAATAATACGGAAGAGCGAGGCAAGGCCGCAGAGGCCCAGGCAGGAGCCCAGGACACTTCTCCTGCACCTCCGGAGTATTCACCGACTACTGATGCTCTTCCTCACCCTCGGGTCTCAACTTCGAAGCAAAGACCCGCCCAGGTGTCGGAATGGTCGCACCAGCGCCTCGCCCAACCCGATGCACATCACCCCGAGAGTGAAGAATCGGAAGAAGAGCCCGATGAATGGAAAACAATGCCCGCACTCGGAGAATTCGACTACTATGATGATTGTGGGAGACTCATTGCTCGTGGCGCCAAAGAAGAAAGCGACGAGGCTGTATACCAAGGATTGGGAGGAGCAGGGAGGGGATATACTCGGGTGCAGCTCGACGATGATGCCCAGTCTGCGACAAGTCTAGACGATGATACAAGCTACCTGTTCCGAGAGGCAGGCGGAAACTCTGCTGGTCTAGTCGGCGAGGAACTGCGAGATACCATCAGCCAGCTCCAGGCGACCAAAGACCTTCTTAACGAGACTCAAAAGATCGCGTATGTGGGGGTTGTCAGGTTGGCAATCCATAATATGAATCATGATCTGGCGTCGATCGCCACAACCAAATCCACGCGCAAGACCATGCAAAAAGCCTCGGATTCCATGCGAAAATGGGGTCAGGCGATCATGGGACGAGTATATGTTCATATGGATATCAATTCTGCTGAGCAGATTATGATTGAGCAGCTCGCGGAGCATGGGGTTCAACCAGAAGATCTGGTGCCACCCCTCATGCAGAATGCGCGAGTCAAAAATCCTATGGCAGAGAGTGAACCAAAAACCTCTACATCCAGTCGGAAATTGGACTCTCCATCTAGGATCTCTACAGAGAGGGACTCATCCGAACTAGACCCCCCTCCACCATACGAGGCCCACGAGACCGAGGAGCCCCCGGAGGTCAAAATGCCTTCTGAGATGCCAACCTCCGATCGCATAAATATCGATCTCCGCTGGACTGTCCTCTGTGACCTCTTCCTTGTGCTCATCGCAAATTCAGCGTACGACGCTCGGTCGCGAACTCTTTTGGAAAGGGTCGGCGCAGCTTTGGATGTGACATGGCTACAGATCTCACGCTTCGAAAAGCGAGTCACAGACTCCCTCGAAATGCAAGAACAAGCCGAGAAAGAGAATTGGGATGAGTCAGACCACATGGAGAAGCGCCGCAAGATGGCCTTGAAGCGTAAATATATGATCATGGGTTTAGCGACGGTTGGCGGTGGACTGGTCATTGGCCTTTCCGCTGGACTGTTGGCGCCCGTCATCGGAGCTGGTCTTGCGGCTGGATTTACTACAGTGGGTATCTCTGGAACCGGTGCGTTTCTGGGAGGAGCAGGCGGCACAGCTCTGATCGCTTCTAGTGCTACTCTAGGCGGAAGCACCATTGGAATGAGAGCTTCGCAGCGGCGTATGGGTGCCGTTCAAACCTTTGAATATCGACCTCTTCATAATAACAAGAAGGTTAACCTGATTGTGACGGTCTCTGGCTGGATGACTGGCAAGGTTGATGATGTTCGTCTACCTTTCAGTACTGTCGATCCGATTATGGGCGATATTTATTCTGTGCTATGGGAGCCTGAGATGCTTCGAAGCATGGGTGACACTATCAATATTCTAGCAACAGAGGTAAGCCTTTTCAGTTTTGTGGTGATTCTCAATAGACTAACTGTTTCTTTAGGCATTGACACAAGGTTTGCAACAAGTACTAGGTAGCACCGTGCTAATGGCGCTGATGGCATCCTTGCAACTACCACTTGTGCTCACTAAACTAGCATACTTAATTGACAACCCCTGGATCGTTTCGTTGGCGCGTGCCAACTCAGCCGGCCTCGTTATGGCCGATTCCTTGCGAGAACGGAACCTTGGCAACCGGCCTATTACATTGCTAGGTTTCTCTCTCGGCGCGCGAGTCATCTTTTCTTGTTTGAAAGAGCTAGCCGAAAAGGGCGCCCACGGTCTGATCCAGAATGTATATCTATTTGGCTCACCTGTTGTGGCGAACAAAGATGAATACCTCAAGGCTCGCAGTGTGGTGTCTGGGCGATTTGTGAATGGCTATGCCACGAATGATTGGATCCTGGGCTACTTATTCCGGGCAACAAGTGGTGGCATCATGAGAGTCGCCGGCCTCGCAGCTGTCGAAGGTATACCAGGCATTGAGAACTTTGATATTACCTCGCTTGTAAATGGCCATATGGATTACCGTACGGCCATGCCTCGAATTCTGAGGGAAGTCGGTTGGGAGGTTCTTGACGATGAGTTTGCAGAAATCGAGGATCCCGACCCAGATAATCACGCTGAACGACAGCGCGAGCTAATTCGCGAGATTGATGAAGCTCGCCGAGAAGCAGAGGCGAAGCCAGAGAAGAAGCGCTTCGGCCTGTTCAAGCGAGGCAAGATGGCCGAAAAGAAGAAATGGGAAACTTATGATGTCGACAAAAAAGCCGTTCCTCGCGATTCAAACGAGACGACCGAAAGCACACCCGGCACCGTCCTCTTTGACATCGAGGCGATCCGAGCCGAGTTGCACTCCGAGGCGATCGAAGTCAAAGAATTGGAGTCGACGATGCCCTTAATGAAGCTAGACCTGAACGCTCCTTCAGAGCCACCCGCCCAACCCTCTCCTCCTATCTCCAAGAGGCCAAAGACCCCTGAACTTCCAGCTGTCGCTCGAACTTCCTCACTACCCCCGCAAACATCGGGGCAGTATTCTCCTCGCGGGCATAATGAATTTTCTCCCGCGCCGAGGCACGAAGATATGGAAATGACCTTTGATACATCCTTCCATGAATCCCCACGATCCCAAAAAGACGACCTTCGCTCTCGTCCAGAGTTGAGAACTGCCTCTACAATGCCAACGATTGGTACCAGCGCCCTCGGAGCCATGGCTATGGAGCCCAATGCCTGGGCGGACCATGATCAGGGACATCGGGATGGCAATATCTCAATGACTTTCGAGTAATGTCAGCTTTGGAGTTCTGAGTTCCTCCCGTCTTGCTTTTCTTCTCTCTCTTTATATCTTTCTTCGATTCGGTTTCTGAGACTTAATGAGGCGCATGCCTTGCACGGGCGTGTTTGGCTTGCCTATGATCTGATTGTGTATATGCCCATCCATCTATGTACAGAGGCAGCCCTAGCTTTTACAACTATCATCTACTATACTATCCTAAGTTACACGCAAGCAGATTAGCCCAACCGGCTTCTTTGTCCTTTTTTCCGTAGTGCCCTCAAATATTTTTTCAACAAATCAACAAAGACAGTGGAAGTTTCTAGAAAGAGATATGTATATACAGTCATGGGCGAACAAGGATTACATGGAGCAGTCTTGTTAAAGAGGTGTTCCCGGAGACATATAAAACCGCCTGGTGTAGCAATCGCGTAGCACGCGTTTCCCCTCAGTATGTACGGTGGATGATAGCAGCACATTGGACAACATTAGGACTGAAATCCGATTGGTTCAGTAGACCGACTCATTTACCGCTTTACTCGCCGCCTCTCGATCTGATACCATTGGAGTACGTACCTTCTTATGTATCTTTCCTAAAGGTCTTTCAGGTGTCTTTTAGTTGTCTTTTTCTGGATAAGCCTGCTTTGTAGGTGTCATTCCAAAAGAGGTTTTTTCGTGATTTTTGGGATATAATTTTCGGGTCTCTGTTTCATGGAAGTATCTGTTTCCTTCTTAGTGTGATGGCTGGTAGGATGATTGGAAATTGATAGCCGCGAATCGTAGAATGATGGCAAAAAGTCACAATTCCATCAAATCAATTTTTCAATATATAGCATAGGATATTTGGAGTATTACAATATATCTAAACATCTACGGAGTACATTCTTTGTACTCAAATGATTTTCTGCCGGATGGAAACCAGCACAGAAGCCGGTTCAACCAATCAAATGCTCCTTGTCCGATATGCCGTTATCCTCCGCCGTAGCCAGGTGTCCGCATTGTCTCAGCTTCTCGAAAGCACGTTCTTTGTTTCGAATACCGAAAACCCAACCGACGCCGCTTCAGCATTTCACCTCGAACTGGGCCATAGATATCTTCGTGTGTGGAGAGCTGAAACCGCGAGACAACGCGTCGCCCCATCTCGAGCACGAATTTCCTCCCAGTCTAAGCAACGCGCTTCTCATGAACACGGACGAGATTCCTTTACCTCCAAGCTTTCAGACGCTCCATTGTTGCCGTCATTTGACAATTGGCAATTGAAATAATCCCCCACCACCGTGCACTATGGTAGCTCAGCCCAAGCCCAATTCCAGCTATGCGTCCAATCACATGACGAGGAGGAATGCTCCCCCGGGCATCTTTTGTCTAATTTCAATAAACCTGAGCTTGAAGATGTCAAGATTGACGTCGCGACAATCAAAAACGAGCCTGCTCAGACCAGTGTCGAGACAAAGCTGGAGATTAATACAGACGCCGAGCCTTTAAGCTCCGATGAAGAGGAATCAAAGAGCTCCAAACCAGATGATGCTCAGCATATCATTGAGAAAAGACCAGATGTTGACACATATCCCGAACCTTTGCGCTCCGACGACGAAGTCGAAGACCCCATGCCAGACATCGCTCAACCTAGCATCGAGAACAAGTTACAGATTGAATCAGATACCGAATCTCTCAGCTCCGCGCCTCTTAGTTCTCCTCCTCTTAGCTCCGATGAAGAGGAAGCGGAAGACTCAAAATCTAGCGCTGTTCAATCTAGCTTTAAGAAACTGCCAGATATCGACACCGATGCTGATCCTCTAAGCTCTGATGAAGAAGAGCAAGCTAGCGACAGCGATGCTTTCCCACTTCGTAAAGGGGTGAACTATGCGACTACAACTCTAGAAGAGAAGATTGCGGAAGGAAACAATGGGGCATACAATAGTTCACAAAGTCATAATGGATACTCTCGCAAAGGCGCTTTTACGCGAACCTCCAGCGCTATGATGGGCTCTGATGATGAGGGACCATTATTCTCCTCTGGATCCACGCAAAGCTACAAGCGGCGGAGGGCAACCAAATATGTGTCCAAGGCCAACTATTTCAACAGGCCCTCTTTTGCCCCACGGTCGGCCGAGAAAGAGAAAGAGCCATCGCCAGTCGAAGAAGCCCCCAAAGAGCCTGAGGAGACCTTTATAATGCCCAAGGACGTCGAAAATTCGAGTTTCAGAGAACCTCGTGGTGGGGGAGAGTTGAACTCCAGTTTCTTGGACGGCCCATACACAGCCGAGGAATGTGCAGCAATGTTACTTGACGATGATTCTCCACTCTCGTCCCCAACCTCTTCCACTTGCGAGGAAATGCAAATGTCGCAGGCCAAAGAATCCGCAGCGAAAGAGAACCGCCAACCATCACCGCCCCGTCCAGCCCTGTGCCCGATGTGCCACAAGGAAGTGGATTGGGCTTCGCTAGAATTGTTTAAATCACAACCGAAGCAACGTATTCGTGAACAGATGATGTTCTGTGAATCTCACAAACTGCGCAGTGCGATGGACTTGTGGCGTGAGCGAGGGTACCCAAAAATTGACTGGGATGGATTTGAAGAGCGTGTTCAGAGCTATTTCCCAGAACTTGAAAAACTGCTTGTCCCTGGTGCTTTCTCTTATTACCGAAACATTCTCGGTACCTCCGCCTCTTTCGCCCCTGGGAAAGCGAGAAACTTCCGTGTGAGAGCGGGTGATGACGAGAGGCTTAATACGATGACTTGTGGTTATTATGGCACCATGGGTGCAACCAAAATGTATGTGGTATATACTTCCTGCTTGGCTTATATACGCTAACATATGTGTTCAATCTAGACTAGAGACCATCATCCGTCGTTTTTCTGTGGTTGTTCGTCGTCTGGCGACAACAGATGAACTTATCAAGACGGCAGGCGTAGCTGGCTACACACAGTCTGTTCTTGTGCCTGAGCTGGCTGTCCTCATGGTCAAGGATGACATGAAAGTCAACGACGAAGATGCCCGTCGGATCATGAGAGAGAGTATGGAGATTGGTGACAGAGTCAATCCAGATCTCAATGTTGTCCCGGTATCGGATGACGTCGATTCATGATTGTGCGCTTAGTCCGTTACGTCTTATACCATGGGCGCTATTTTTTTTAGCTCATTTCTGACTGTGACATGTGTTTATCGCTTTTTGCTCCCCAATTCAAGGGTTATGCAGTTCTCTCATCTTGAGCGATTGTATATAGATAGCCATTATGATACCACTCATGTTTTGTCTTATATTTACTGGAATATTATCTTCATTCTTCATCAAAGATTCAACCAGCGCATTCAACCAGCGCATTCAACCAGCGCATACTCATTAGTTGAAAAGAAAATCGAGCAACTTGCACAGATAGATGTAGTCGATCAATATTCCCAAAACGGCAATTTGATGACGGGCTGGTCCGTGAGGGGTAGCTTTGTCAGCCGATAAGGTGATCGATGATACAATCCATGGGTGCGGAGAACCTTGGACGCTGACTCTTTCACTCACAAAATGAGGGAGAAAGACATGCGATTCTCAGAGACCACACCTCTGTTGGAGGTCAATGTCGCTCCTCCGCGGCATAGATATCCCCACCATGCTGTTCGTCGAGCGTGTACTATTTCCTTAGCAGCCCTGCTTTCTGTGGCGACAATTCTATTCTTCCTTCCCATCGCCATTCTGCCTCGAGAGCATGGCTCCATTTGGTCCTATCTCCCTGGAGCTCACCCCATCCCCCACGATGCGTGGCCGGACAGTTATGGACTGCCTTATGACCAGCTACAGCAGATCCTCCTCAATGTGCCTTCCGCAGAAAAGGCCCGAGAGTGGAGCAAATACTACACTGCCGGACCACATTTGGGAGGAAAGAACCTGTCTCAGGCGCTCTGGACTATGGAAAAATGGAAGGAATTTGGGGTGGAGGATACCGGGCTCGCGGCATATGATATTTACATCAACTACCCGCTCGATCACCGCCTCGCCCTTTTGAAAACGTCTGGTGACAAGTCTGAAGTGACTTTCGAAGCTACACTCGAGGAGGATGTTCTCGAAGAGGATCCCACCTCCGGTTTAGCAGACCGTGTCCCAGTGTTCCATGGCTATTCTGCCAGCGGCAATGTGACCGCACAGTATGTGTATGTCAATTTTGGCACGTATAGAGACTTTGAGGATCTCGTCAATGCCAATATCACCTTGGAGGGCAAGATTGCCATTGCTAAATACGGTATGAACTTCCGTGGTTTGAAGGTCAAGCGTGCACAGGAGCTTGGAATGGTTGGCGTAGTTATCTACAGTGATCCGCAGGAAGATGGTGAAATTACCGAGGAAAATGGCTATGAAGCCTATCCTAATGGACCGGCACGGAATCCCAGTGCTATCCAGAGAGGTAGCACTCAATTCCTCAGTAAGGAGCTCCTTCTAAAATAATAGCGTTGCAAAGCTAACTTGAACAAGGCATCCTTCCTGGTGATCCCACAACCCCGGGATACGCATCTAAACCTGGGTGCGAACGACAAGATCCGCACAACTCCATCCCTTCAATTCCATCTTTGCCTGTCTCATACAAGGAGGCTCTCCCATTCTTGAAGGCGCTTAATGGTCACGGCCCCAAAGCGTCGGAGTTTAACGAGTTTTGGCAGGGAGGTGGCCTCGGCTATAAGGGTGTGGAGTACAATATCGGACCATCCCCCGAGGATGTGGTGATTAACCTCCACAACCTCCAGGAGTATGTGACCACCCCACTGTGGAATGTCATCGGTACCATCAAAGGTCATATCCCCGATGAAGTCGTTATTCTCGGTAACCACCGTGACGCATGGATTGCGGGTGGTGCAGGAGATCCTAACAGTGGATCCGCTGCTTTGAATGAAGTCGTCCGCAGCTTCGGCGAGGCCCTCAAGGCTGGATGGAAGCCATTGCGCACTGTTGTCTTTGCCAGCTGGGACGGTGAAGAGTACGGTCTTCTTGGCTCCACCGAGTGGGTGGAAGAATACCTCCCATGGCTCTCCAAGGCCAACATCGCCTATCTCAATGTCGATGTGGCTGCAGCAGGCACCAACTTCGAACCTCGAGCCAGTCCCTTGCTGAACAAGGTCATCCACGACGTCACCGCTCTGGTGCAGTCGCCTAACCAGACCGTGCGGGGCCAGACAATCCGCGATGTTTGGAATGGCAAGATTGCGACGATGGGCAGCGGTAGTGACTTTACTGCCTTCCAAGATTTCGCCGGTGTCGCCAGTCTTGACTTTGGCTTTGGTCGTGGTAAAAATGATCCGGTCTACCACTACCACTCAAATTACGACAGCTTTGCATGGATGGAAAAGTACGGTGACAAGGACTTCCTCTACCACCAAGCTTGCACAAAGCTCTGGGCTTTAGCAGCGGCACAATTGGTGGAGTCCCCCATCCTTGCGCTTAACGCCACCGATTATTCTCTTGGCCTTGGATCCTACCTGGACCACATCAAGCCTGCGGCGGACAATCTTCCGGAGAAGACCCACTTCGATTTCGCACCTCTGGATAGTGCCATTCTTGAATTCCAGGAATCAGCAAAGGCTTTCGATGCCCGTGCTGCCGATCTGAAGTCTCACCTCGGTGATGACGTACCTTGGTACCACTGGTGGAAGAAGGTGAGACTTTGGTTCCAGATTCGCGTTGTCAATGCGAAGTACAAGGGCATTGAGCGGGCTTTCTTGTATCAGCCCGGTCTGGATGGCCGTGAATGGTTCAAACACGTCGTCTTCGCCCCAGGCATTTGGACTGGTTACTCGGGAGCCACCTATCCTGGACTAGTGGAGAGTCTTGAGGCCGGAGACGTGGAGAATGCCGAGGTATGTGTCTATTGACGGACCCTCTCTGCTTTTGGTACGATTGCTAACTCATGTTTTTTTAGAAATGGAGCTCCATCATCCAGGAACGCATTGGTGCTGCGACCAAGTTGCTGCAATAAATGGCTGGTAAGTAGAGACTATTTTGCCTCAGCATGATCAAGTGTTGGACATATAGCACAATTGGCCTTGATTTTACACAGTTAGATCGATATGAACAAATTACATGAGTACGAGTCAAACCCGGGCCCACCTAAACAGTTCCCAAAACATAACCTACAAGAGTAGACACCCGCTTATGCGGCCTCATGGTGTTCTTCTTACTGGGCTCCTAAGTGGGTCTTTTCGGCGGTCTTCTCAGTAGGCCTCTCAGCTACTCTTCTCAAACATCTTCAAGATCCCCTTTCCAGTTTTATAGATAGACGGCAGAACAAAGCGAAAAGAAGCATACTTCATGATAGAGACTCTATGTATAACTTTTGAAAATTCCCTAGTTCCAGCATTCCAAGGGTTTAATTATGCGTGCACATTTACCCCAGACTTCGTCATCTGACTAATCAATTGCATGACCGAGCTTCATCTGTGTAACTTACATCTCTCCTAATCTCACCCTCTGACTCTCGACTCATAACCCTCGATACTCCCAGAAAAAAAGAGACAACCTGTCCTAATCCTACAAGATGGTATGTTCACAGCTCCTACATCCCTGACTCCAATCCAATCTACCACCACAATCAAGCCATGATCTCCAACCCCAAATCCAAACAACCACCACCAACAGTCCACCAACACCCCTCCTGATATCCCTACTCCCAATCCAACTCAAAACTAACAAACCCAGTCCTCACCAACAACCTCTGCTCTAGCCCTCTCCCTCCTCACAAGTCTGGGCGGCATAATCGGCTACACACGGACCGGATCGTTACCCTCAATCATCGCCGGCGTCTCCGTCGGTCTCGTCTACCTCCTCGCATTCCTGCGTCTGCGCGCCGGTCAATTTTACGGCGAGGAGCTGGGTCTTCTGGCCTCGGTCGTACTGGGTGGGAGCTCGGTGCCGCGTGTGATCAAGACGGGTGGAAAGCCCGTTCCGGTGGTTTTGTCAGTGCTGGCTACTTATGGACTTTTTATCTTTGGGTCTGCGTTTAAGGCGAAGAAGGCGTGAGTATTAGAAACAGAATTGGACAAACAGCCCAGTCTAGTGACACTGCTATGTCAATTGACTCTCTATCACATTTACGTATTGGCTCGGTTTGGTTAGATGTTGCGTATATCGGTGCTACTGTACGGGTACGAGGTACAGATAGGATCATGGAAATCAAACATACATTGGTAGATAACGAAAAGCGCATGAGATTCCAGGTCAAAACGCCCGATATGGATTTCCTACCTCCAGTGAAACGCTAAAAACTTACATCGACCGTAGATGGCATCATTTTCGCCGTCTAGGCATTCACATCAAACAGATTCCTCCGGGCCAGGGTTAAGCCTCCAGTGGGGGGTCAGGAGGGAGGATCAAAGGGCAAGGCACGTACTGTACGTAGGCTCGATGTAACTTTCGCGAACCAATAACTCAGACTTGAGCCTCCCTTCCCTGAACGAGCGACTCAAGGGAGCCTCCCAATTCTTTCTTTCTTTTGGGTTTTTGTTGGTTTTTTTTGGGGGGTTTTCGATTTTCTCCTTCAATGTCTTTCAAAATGTCTTTTCATCTCGCAGTATCGAACTTGAACAGCATCGACGTTTCCTGGAGTTGTCGGGAGAGATAGTGGGACGGGGGAGGACTCGCCAGACTAGGGTTTGGAATCAGGGCCACTGATGACAACCAAAGATCCAGCCAGGAAAATGCTCATGTGTAACTAGAAGTTTTGATGTGTCGACTTAGCTGGATTCCGTAACTCCATCACTTGCAAATGCAGCAGGAAAAAAACAAAGCAGAACTTAATGTGCCGGATCGATCACCGTGTCGGATTCTTGAATAGCACCCACGATTGCGTTGGCAGGGACCTCGCCGAGTGCGATTTGCGGGCTTTGATCTGGGACGTATGCATATCGAGGTAGTTTCGCCATCTTCTCCTCGGGACTGAACGTATCGTCATTGTAAATCATTCGGATCGCGGGCTTAGTCTTTTCTTTCTTGGGTTTGCTGCCACCCTCTGCCTGGGAGGCGACGTCATTGGCTGCGCCTGAAATCTGATTGTCAACAGGTGTGGAGACATGCTCGGCTGATTGGACGCTGTCTCCATTAGAGTAACCCGAAGCTGCGGGGGTGGGGGGCACGTGTCCCATGTGCATCTTTTGCATTTCATGCGCGTTGACTGAAGGTACACCAAAAGCAGGACGCTGGGGGAGGTTGGACGCGGCTGGTAGGCCCATAAATCTGTTATCGGATGGTGGAGGTTGTTGCTGGGGGTAAGGAGGGGCCCCATAGGAGACTGGTGGCTGCGCAGGAAGTCCGGTGGGGAATGGCGAGGGGTAACCGGAAGGAGTGTAAGGCGAGGCACCAGGAAGTTGCTGTCCACCAACCGGGGAGTAGCTTGAATAGACAGGACTACCAGTCTGCGAGAAATGAGGTGTCACAGCTGCGGGGGGCCCGCCGTAGGGCTGAGGATAAGAGTATTGCTGAGCGGCTGCAATCTGAGGCGATTGTGCCTAGTAATAATTGTTAGTTCCTGGATCACTTGACATTGCAAAGCAGGATACTACTCACGTATACACCAGATGTTGGCGTGGACTGAACAGCACTCGAGGGTGTCACATCGCCGCTGCTACCTCCGGCAAGCGCCTCCGCACGTCTGGCCTTGTGTTCAGCCAGTCGCTTCTTGAGATCTGAAACAGGCTCAAGCTTAGGCTTTTTCGTTGGTTGGCCGCCAGAAGAGGCGCCAGTAGGGGGGTTGCCCGTCGCATGTTGGCGATCCAGCTCTGCCTGCTGGAATTGTGAAGCAACACGCTGCTGGTGGGCCTTGAGAACGTCCGCGGGGATACCCTCCATGCCAAAGATTTCGACATCGACACCCATGCGATTCGGTAGCGCATTGTGGACCTGGGTCAATTGCTCTTTATGGACCTGGCTCAGGTGCACAGATAGACCTAGCGGCACAACTCATCAGTTTTTGTATTCAGATTATCTAGATAAAATGGTACTTACCTCCCGCAGTATTCAGCCTACGATTGCAGTTGTCGCATTTGAAATGCTTTGCTTTCTGATGAGAAATGAGAATCTTCAGGTCGTCAAAGTCACGTTCGCAGTAGTAGCACCATGGGCGATCAAGGAGCTCCTCGAGAGAGGGACCGCGTCTTTTTTGCCCATTGTGACGTTGCTAGATACACAGAGCGATTCGAAACAGGTAAAGATGTGTGGGGTTGGAAAGCAGGGGAGGTTGGCTCGAGAGTGTGTCGCAGATCCGGGAGCTCGCCATGATGGATAAGGCCAAGGCTGGATCACGTGGGTCACACGTGACTGGCTCCGGATGAAGTGTACAGTTGTGCGCGAATGAACTCTGGAGCACATTGAAGGGGCTTAGGTTCTTTTGTTGCCCTCGATCTTTGTATTTGGGAAACCGTTTACACTTTCTACCTTCTTCACCAAATTTTTCTGCCTTTCTTTCCCATCTTGAGGCCATGGCCACGTTTTGTGAGAGAACAGTCCATACTGGGGGAAAATGATCATTATTTCTGAACCATAATGCTGAGGCTGTATTTACAATGCTACACATTCGGTGCGGTTCGACGTCAGGTTATTGGAAGACTACTCTTCTTGAAAGAAATTCGAGTATAGAATGCACAGTGCAAAGTGCAACCTTAAAAACTAGTTTTGTAGAAGCTAAGAATTACAGATGGAAAAGAACTTTTTTACAACATGAATTTGAGCCTTAAAATACATATACCGGTGCCCCGGCAGTGTCTGGCACCGCCAGGGCACCAGCAACTTCATAATAATAATGTATCTGATCATCGCGTTCCCGGCCCAGTCCCCAGGGAGGTCCGAGACCATAGGGAACCACCTCCACCCCGGTTTATCGATCGCGGGCTCGGCCCAGTCACATGGAGGGCCGACCACCAAGCAGGATAAACCAGGGCGGAGATTACCTGCGGTCCCATTCCGAGCCCTGGGGCGGGCCGGGAAACAGCGAATGATCAGTTGGTGTCGAGGCAATCCCCAGTTCCCTCTCTCTCTCACTTCTGAAAAAAAAGTGAAATGAACCTGAAGTAAGATGATAGCTCAAGTGAGAGAGAGGGGACCCGAGGATTGCCTCGACGAGGTGGCCCGCCCTCAATGGCGTGGGCCCCCGGGGTTATGACCCGGAAGGGGGCCCATCCCGTGGTACTGGACGTACGGGAATGGGGCGTACTGGGGCGGCATAGGTTGCCCCAGTTGCGCCATAGGCGCAGCAGCAGCGGCGGCGAAAGGGTTCACTGGGCCGGGGCCGTAGTGAGACACCACCCCCATAGGGGGAGGGTCGGAGGCATGGGCTGCTGCTGCTGCGCCTGGACGGTTGCCATTGAGGGCAGGCCGGTGGGCCCCTTGGGGGCGAGGTTGCCGGCAAGCGGTGCCAGCGAGGGCGACCGCTTGCGGCGGCCGGGACCAGTGGGCTTGGGGACCTCGTCGGCGGAGCCGTCGACGGTCCGGTCCTGCTCGATTTGGGCCTTGGATCGCTTTGGGTTGCGGATCCGTCCTTCTCGGTTGAATCGGTCCCAGTGATCGAGCATCGCCTTGGTTCTCTTGGGGTTCTTCGAATTGGCGATCTTCTGCCGCCTGGCCTCCTCAATCGCCTCGGCAGAGAGAGCCTCCTTCTTGGCCGATGTCGGAGCCGACTCGGCAGGGCTTGCGGTGGCCTTCGGCTCGACAGCCGGGAAGGAGGTCTCTGCTGGAGGGAGTGACGAGGAGGCCAGGCTGCTAGCGCCACGTCGACCCCTGCCTCGGGATGAGGGTTGGGTTGGGGCAGGGGTGACTTCGAAGGTGGCCCGAGAGGAACCAAGGCGACCAAGCCCACGGCCGCGTCCGCGGCCACGGCCCCGGCCAGGGCCTTTGCGTGAGTTAGTATCGGAGTGAGTTGATTCAGCGACAACTGTTTTGCCACCGCGGCCTCGAGTGCGCCGCTTTGCGGGATGGTTGTCTTCGTCGGTTTCATCACCGTCCACACTCTCATTTTGAGTCTCTTCTGTATCGGTCGTTTTGGGTGGTACTTCGACCTCTGCAGCCTTGCGTTTCCGTGTGACTTTTGGCACAAGTGGCTCACGTCGGGGTTCATACATCTGAGCGTGATATTCAAGACCATGTTTCTTCATGGTTGCCCATCCATCAGGGTTAAGATCACCAGTTTCTTTGTCCTTGGCAATCATCTTTCTGGCTTGCGCGGCAGTTGGGACAAAGCCTCCCTGCACGAATGGATCCTGCTGTGTGCGGATGGGCACAAGTGGCGTGTTACCAGGGAAATAATTGTGTTTGTAACCATAGAGCATTGCCTCTTTCTTTTCCTCAAAGTCAAGTTTGTCCTCATTGACACGGGCCAAAGGGGCTCCACCCTTTTTCTTGTGACCCTGCATTTGATGTCGCTTTGTTTGATATGAGGGTTCATCTCGCTTGTGTCGGTGCGCCTTAAGGTAAAGGTCGTCGAGGGCCAGGTATTCATCTTGAAATGCTTTCAAAGCAAAGGCGGCGGTCTGTGTGAGTGCATAAAGTTCTTCAGGTGTGTATTTTTCGGGACTACGGAGCATGTTGACGAGTTCGTCAAGTTCTTGGGTCTGTACTTCGAGGAATTGACCTTTTTCAACTTTGGCCTTCTTGTATGGTAGAGGGTGAGAAGCTGGTTCAGGAGCATCGCGTTTCCTGGTTTTGGAGGGGTCATGGAAAGCATTGTCCCAAGTAGATTCACACTTGGCAGCTTCCTGTTCGTAGTTGGGGGAGAATTTGTTGGCATCATGGACTTTCCAGAAGCGTTCAAGGCGCTTTTTGACATCTGGTCGTCGCCATTGGGCTTCGCGGAGACGATATTCCTCGGGATATCCAGTACGCGGGTTGGAAAGCCAGTCCAGAAGGTCACGCTTTGGTTCTGGCATATAACTGACATTGACTGGGGTTGCGGTTGGCTGGGTACCATGTGTATCTTCAGTAATCAATTCTACTGCGATCTCTTCGCCTTCTTCATCCTGAGCTTCGACATCTTCAGGATTGATAGCTTGAGCTATGGGTTCGTCTTGTTCAATGGCGTCGTCATCTTGGAGATCGCCATTCTCATCGTAAGTGTCATCGGCACCATCGTCGGCGCCATCATACCCAGAAAAGTTGATAGATTTCGGGTGAACTTCGTTGATATGATCATTCAGAACATCATCTTCGGAGATGCCTGCATCATTCGGAAGCATCAAAAGCTTCCCACACCAGTCACACTTAAGCCGTCGAGGCATGGGCTCCGGTGACTGAGAAATTTGGGTAGAAGTAGATTGAGGACGGAAGGGTTCAGAGAATTGACGACGCAGCGGGGAGTCCTGGCTGTCACCAACATCCGAAGAAGGATTGTCTCCATCCAGATCGGCCCTTGGGATGGGGGCCATTTTGGTGGAATTGGAGAGAGAAAAAAAAGAACAAGAGGGGTATTTGTGTTTTAATAAACAAGAAAGAAAAGAAGAAGAAAAAAACACGGGTCTCGAAATGGAGAATGAATGATGTCAAAAAAGAATCTGTATAGATGGTCAGCGTTGGTTCGCTTGCGGGTGCCAAGACGCCAGTAAATCGCAGCGCAATTCCGCGGTTTCGAAGGCCAAGGCACAAGGCATGGACCAGCGTGAACACAAGAATCGCGATACATCATAGACCCAGTAAACGCGACATGTGACATGCAACAAGAAAAGCATGAAACATAAGACACGGTCGGGCAAAAATGCATGGATCAAGATCTGACCGGGAAGTACGGCGAAACTGTGGCATACAAGAAAAAAGTGGAACAAGACGCGCCACTTACCATGAGATGTTTGAAGTCGAGTTTGAATCCTTGTAGATAGGAGACACGAGTCACAGCCAATGACTGCTGGCTGTTAGTAAGTTCTGCAAAGAAGGGTGCAGCGTAGGCATGAGTGGCTGCCAGGGATGTGTACTTACTATCCGACTGGGGAAGGCTGGGTGACTGTCCACTTATTGGGACACAACGCGAAGTGGGATGAGAGAAGATGAAGAGGGGTGGACTTTAAGAGACGGATGAAATAGAGAAGATGTCAAAAGGAAAAACGCCGCAAACTTGTGTTTGGCGCGCAGATCTTGCGTCGCCGGGTAGTATGAAGAAAAAAATGAACTTCGCCGACGCGACACCGCGCAAAGAAGAAGAGACGAAAACAAAGGCAGTAGATGGAGTGAGATTACAGTGCAGAATGATTACAGGAGAAGAAAATAAATCAGAAGGGGAAATGGGATAAGGATGATGAAGTTGAGAAGAGATTGAGGTTGAGAGAGAGATAGATTTGTAGTTTCTCATAGGCAGTGGAAACCCCGTCCTGGCCCGACCAATCAGAGGCCTCTCATCTACTAGCCACATTGGACGACATTGAGGAAAGGGGGTTTTGGATTTCGATTGATCACCATTGAGCAATGATTCTATTGATTCTTTGCATTGTATTCATATTTCATTGTCTTTTGTCTTATTCAGGAATTGTCACCTACTGTATCTTGTACCCTGCCATTGTAGACGTCACATGATACTTTACAGTTGAACGATAGCGTGTCTCTTTAATAGTTAGCTATTATGGCAGGTAGCTGAGGGCTAGAGTAAGTCTGGGGAGACCCAGAGGGATTGAGTTACATGCGCCTACTTCCGTGAGCAGTCACATAAGTTCGACTTTATCCATACTCGACGAGCAAGTCCTGGGCAAGTAACACGAGACCGAACGTTAGCTATCTGTAGAATATTCAGAGGGTATCCAGATAGTATATATCTGCCCATGGATACTGCCCCTGGTTCCTCCGTACATAGTTTCTGTGCCTTGGTCCACGGGAAACGAGAAGTTGACACCCCAGCCCAGCTAGGATACATAAAACAAAAATATATTGTCAATTCTTATTGTTCCCTGTCTACTTGTACTGGCTACAACGTAAGAAAAAAAAAATACAAGATCAGTTCTGCTGGCATATGGACTTCCCTCGACAATTGTCTCGTATCCGCATATCAAGTCACAGGTAGAGGCAATGGGCATTCCAAACTCAACCCAGCGATGGATATCAAAGCAACATCTTCATCCTAAGCTCCCATAGCCTATATTACCAGGTACGATAATATGCTGGTAGAAAAGAACCATCGTAGCGGCTACCTCACCATTAGCAAGAATAGCCGCTCACATCTCGTTCGCCTAACGATAGATTTCAGCTTCCCGGAGCTTGCTAGGCATAGCACCCCTGCCATGTAATATCACAGCTATCATCAAGATGATAATAATATGAATGGGGTAGTTAGACACGATGGACAGCCTCGTTCATCGTGGACCCATCCTATACTCCCTCTCCACCTGTAGATTTATCTCAATGTGTTAAAAACTTGTTTTTTTGATCTTTAACCTGACAATTAAGTATTGATTACAATTCTGACATATATTAAACTCTGATTAATCATAGCACAATGGAAATATAAAATGGAGATATATAAATGAGTCCCGCTCCACCGCTTGCCACGTCTTGGCGTCCACAGCTCGAGAAAGCCTGGATAGAAAAGTAAAATGCAAAATTGACGTATAATTCACCCGTAGTGCTTTATCACGGTATTATGTATTATTGTTGTGGAATACCTCTCTTATGGTTCTCCCCTCGCCTCCCATTTTGACCTCCGGGTGTGACCGAGAGGAAAAAAAACAAAATAAAAACAAAGCCCCCTCCCGGGTTCGAACCGGGGACCTCATCATGACACATTGTTATACGAGTGATGCGCACTACCACTGTGCTAAAGGGGCTGCATATGTTTATTTCGGAAACATCATGTATCATGTATGGAGTTAAAACTAGCATTTTTAGTCAAATATGGGACACCAGAGCCCAGGGTTAGAAATGCATATTCGTATTTTGTATCCATAATTCTTTTTTTATTTTTTTATATTACGGCTCTGTAAGCATAAGCTACATCCCCTTCTAATTATTTGCCCTCTAAACGGGCTACATGACAGTGATTAAAACGGTAGCCGAAAAGGCCCTAGGAACTATAAAGTCCACGAGTGGGTCTCGAGGCCCATTTTTTCCTAGACCCGTGAAAATGCCGAGGTCACTCACTCTATAGGTCTCTTCAGTAGAGCCATATTATAGGAATAATCCTTGTAATGCCAAACATGACAAGTTAGAAGAAAAACATGTCAAACGAGACTCGAAAAGAGTAGTAAATATCAAGAATTGCAAGCATAATGGCAGTTACATATAACGTGACACAAAGTGCCTGGAAAAATACGATTTACTGCAGGGTCTTTATACATCACACATAAGAATTGAAGCAATGTTGCGCCATAACAGTGGATATGATAGATAAATCTCCAATTCTGTTTGATTTGTACCCCTTAAGCGCCAAATGTGCTTGACATGCATGATGTTAAGCGCCTGCAGAGCTATCACTAAGATCTGTACTTCGAAAGGTTCGGTTGATTCAAAACTTCCCCATCAAGTGCAATATGTTGCTTGTTTGTACATCTAGATACGAGAAATGAACACAGTTACTTGAGAATTATAGCTCAAATTGAAGCTCGTTGAAGCTGCTAATTTGCCAAATTTCGTGCCATTCACGTCGAGCTTTGTCTACGCCCTCGCAATCAGATTTAAGATATAACCCAGCACCCTACCCAATATTTAAGTCCCCATTTATTTACTTCAACCAGGCTTGAGGCCTTGAGACAGCAGCTGTGGCTTGCTCAAGAGTCCCCCTAGAGAAAATCTCACCGTCTGGAACAGACTTATGATGCGGCCGCCTCAATTTAACATCTTTTCTTCGAACTCAACCTACCCAAAGAATGATGTTGATCATATGGCAATCAGAAAACATGGTCGGCTTTATTTATGGCACTTTCTCCATAATATATTTGAAGTATATGGGACATGTATTATTCAATTTCGTCTAAGCTATATTCCGCATTTCTTGAGTCACCTGCGACTCATTTTCTAGCATGGCTCGTCAAATTTGGAATCATTGATATCTAATTCTGCTTTCCGCTGGGGATACTGAAGAAGACACCCGGGACACCAGGAGCAGGAGCTCGGTCCACACGGTAGAAGCCCTTGCGATCGAACTGCAGAATGTCGCCAGCACTGACCTCGGAGACATTACAATCGGCCAGACCACTCACACGGAACTCTGTGTTGAAGTTGAGAAAATCCTCCAGGGTATCTTCCTTACTCAGCGAGTCCTTCGTGATCAGGTAGTCAAAGTCAACCAGCTCGACGGGCACCAGAGTTTGGCCCTCCGTAGACAGCCAGGTCACCTTTTTCTCAGTTTTCTTCACGTCGCCGGCCGTATGCAGCTCTAACTCTAGGTGTTTCACTTTACCGGTAGAATCATCGGTGAAGACTTCGCGCACAATTGCATTACCCCAGTTCATTAGTGTAATCTCCTCGTCCTGGTTGAAAGTTTTGGCATCAACCTGCTCTAGAACAATAGAAGTGGAGAAAGCAACCATTTTGCCGCCGAGGGCGTTATTTTTGACATGCTTTTGGCGCGTCTCCGTATATGGGGTAATTGGACCTCCAATAACAGTCGCCTTAACAATGTCCTCGGTTTCAATGACTGTATGGCGAGGCGAAACTTGGTCGATATACTTCTTGTTGGTGGCCCAGATCAAGCCCCAGTCAAATAGGGTCACATTCTTAGACGGACCCTGTTTGAGGATAAATTCGCGAAGAGCTGGGATAGTCATACCACGACGGAGCATACCACGAATAGTAGGGAAACGAGGGTCTAGAATGGTCATTAGTATTGTATTAAGATATAAAGCCAGAGAAAACGAAACACTTACCATCCCACCCCCATACGACTCCTCTTTCAACGAGTGTAGTCAGCTTACGCTTAGACAACAGGGTACGGATGAAGTTCATGCGAGAAAATTCCCAGACCTGCACAGCACGTAGGTTCAGAGTATCGAGCATCCACTGGTACTGCGGGCTGCGGTCTCTATATTCGCTGGTTCTCAGAGCATGGGTAACACCCTCCATCGAGTCGACGATGGGACAAGCAAAGTCGTACGTAGGATAGATATTCCAGGTGTTGCCTGTACGGTGATGGGTAGAAGGATTGCATCGGTAGATTACAGGATCGCGTAGGCATTTGTTATTGTCATCGATGGAGATCTTAGCACGGATGCACCACCGTAGACCCTCGGGAGTGCCCTTCTTCATATCCTCTAAATGAGCCAAGGACTCCTGGGGAGAGAGGTTACGACGCTTGCTAGGAATGCCGTCCCAACGCTGTTTATTAATGGTCTCCTTGTCAGTGTCATCGGCATAAGCCTTTCCAATTTCGATGATCTGAAGACAATAGTCATAGAGTTGATCAAAGTAGTCACTGGTATAGCTGACAATGTCGGGCTGAATGCCTGTTTATACATGTTAGTACTTCCGAGTTCGAGACACAAGAGGGACAGACCCATCAATGCAAGATCCTCCACAATGACATCTTGAAACTCCTGCTTTTCCTTCGACGGGTTGGTGTCGTCGAATCTAGAAATTGAGTAAGCATCTTCCGTTATCAATTCATACCAGATAAACCAACCGAAGTATAAGAGTACCGCTATATTTCTCGTCTATTGAAAAATAGCCGTCAGTAAAGAGTCATTTCCGCACGTGGGACCTAGAACGCACGGGCGAAATAATCGTTCTAGAATTCTGAGGTTAGCCTGGGAGTCACCAAGAAAAAGGTAGGAAACAAACCAAAAGAGCGGCTTTAGCATGTCCGATATGAAGGTATCCACTACAGATTAAGTTAGTAAATTAATGTAGCAGTAATAAGGCGAATTTTCGTACGAGGGCTCTGGTGGAAACCTGGTAACAACGCCACTCTCGGTATTCTATAATTTTTCACATGATTAGCCATGAATATGACGAATTTGTCTCATTCAAATGCCTACCTTCAGGGCAACATTGTAGCTGGCACCCTCTCTGGATCTAGCAAGCCTCGTCTCGCGAGAAGCAGCATTCAAAGATTCAACAGCCGATGTGGCCCAAGGGCACAGCTCCTCGACGAATCTATACCAGCGGGTCAGATTGACGAAAGCACCTCTCTTGATAGTAGCGGCAGCGACACGGTTTCCGCGAAGCGCCCCCAAAGTGCAATGTCCGGTGTCGAAAGAGAATAGCCCGACAGGAAGGACCGAGGGAGAAGGTAAGTATTGAGACGCTTTATCGACCTATTAGTCTAGTTTAACAATGCGTATAGATTCTTCTAACCTGGAGGACCGGGTCGAGGGACTTGAAGTCCAAGGTGTCAAAGGAATTCAATTGAGATATCCATTCATTTTCCTAGATGCAGCATTCATGTTAGAGCTTGATAAATCATGAATATTTGAGGCTGTGGTAGCTCACCACCTTGGCCTCCTTGCCCACAAGGAAAGGAAACTGTCCACACAGTGCCTGGATGATAGGAATCGTGCCAGTAACAGTCTTGTCGCCTGCCTGGAACTGGATGATTGGCTTCTCACCCTCAGTAATTTGGGCAGTGTCCTCCAAGCTGATATTAATGATTGGAGATCTAAGCGGTGGTTAGTTTGTACCTAAATGCTCAAGTTCCTATCTATGGAACTCGGGACCGCTCGAGGAGCTACTAACGGACGGGCCTCATTGATGGAAAACGCAATTAAAACCACGGGCAGTAGCGCAGCCTGGCTGGCGCGAGTGGCCACGAAAAGATTGAATTGGGTCATGGTGTACTGTGTGTGTAAAACTGAAAAGGGGTGAGAAATGGGAGGGGTAGTAGGTCCAGGGGTATCCGGCGCAAATGAGTCACTAAGCTGTTCCAAGCTTGCACTGCCTTAAATACTCACACTTTGCAACTAAATAGTTACTTTGGATCAGCTCTCCATTCAGGAAGAGCAGTGGAGACTGCAGATTGTGGCTCAATACACGGTGTCTCACCAGGCATTCTCAGAAAGCGCGGCCCAGACAAACTTGAGTATAGTTCATTTACTTCATTATATGGGGCCTGCCAATTGAAACTAGGATTTGACTGCCTTGCAGGATTTGCCATGCTATGAAACATACGTGCTCTGTTGTCTACGTCTACTTATTCTTTCCAAAAAAACTGGGTAGCCATATTGGAAGCCTACTTCTCGCAACGTAGATTTGGATCCTGCATGCAATGGTCATTCTTTTATAAAATGTCCCCGTTCCGAATTCTGAAGAATGATATCACTTTGGTAAGCCCAAGCCCAAGCTACATAGGCTCGTCGGGCGGCCACTTTGGAAGCATCACAGAACATAGACCCATATCCGAACACTCGATCTTCATATCATCACCATCGAGGTCAAGTTTCCATGCCTTTGCAACTCGGCTATCTGGCCGATATTTGACACGAGAGTGCCATTGCAACGTACTCACGCTGGTATTGTTCCGAAGCAAAAGAGTGAACCGGCAATAGCACTCCATACGAAATACCATCTGTTTCAAACGGGGCATACGTTGTGTTGCATAACCCAGCGATATGAGAAGTCGGTGAAATTGTTCTTCATCCATCACTGATGTTCCGCCCCATCTCCGTTCAGCATCGCAGATCCGGTCATTCCACTTGTCACTCTCTATTTCGGCTCGATATTCCGGGGTGTGATTGGAAGCCCATTTCCCTAGTTGATTGTGTTGCTTTTAGTGGCTATAGAAATACCGATGGAAAGACGGATACTGCTTACCAGAAGGAAGCCAGGGTGGCACATCCATCAATTCCATTATTTCCAAACAAGGCCAATGCAAGGAGCCTAGAATAGGTCGGGCTGTTCCATCCAAAGGGCACAGAAAGTCAAATGGAAGAGTGGTCCTGTTCAACTTCAATTCCCGAAGGTGAGTACTGAGATCTCGCAAATTGATAGTCATGCTATCAGTCCCCGAAGGGATGACATTGAGTGCAGGCATACTATGCTTCCACGGGCCGTCCTCCGAGGCCCTGTAGTGGAACACCCTTAGGCTACGAGGAATATTTCCGAGTAAGGAAGACAATGCTATCTAGTTGTTAGTAAGATATGCCTAGGGAAAATGGTGTGAGAGAATGACATGGCTTACATGCTCGACGTCCTTGTATATACGGTAAGTAATCTGGACGGATCCATTCGTTGAGATCCAGCTCCAGTTCAGAGATGGTTGGACAGTGTTGGATAATAGTCTCCACTGCCCCAGTCCAGATTTGATGATGCCGGTTTCTGTCGAGGTCGATGTTCAAGAAAGAGAGCTTGTCAATACACGGAACGTGCGCTAGATATAGCTTGTGCATATTGTTGACGAAACACGCCCGATATGGTGGGACCGACAAATTATTTCCGGCTGCACCAGCGGTATAACTGTACCAAACATCTGGTTCCATTGTAGGCCATCTTTCATGTCGAGATCCGCGAAGCCCTAAAAGCAATCTGAGACGGCAACTCTGGTCCCAGGAGTGAAGCATTTGGAAAAGGTCAAACATGGCTGTTTGGAAAGCGAAATCATTGGCCTGCCTTAATTGGTTGCCTGTACTATAATAGCTCGAGGTTTTACCTGTGGTCCAATCTAATAGCTTGCAGGGAATGATAATATTGTACTCCAGAGTTCGGACCCAGTTCCGCCTTATGACACGACTGCCGGATGTGAGTTTTTGAAAAAGTGTCAGAGACATTCCACGTTGCCCCTTGTCTTCATGATAACCGTCACTATATAGGGTAAGGTTGGCAAATAACAAGGGCTCAAGGGCTGCCTGCCAATATCGACACACATAAGTGCATGGGACCAAGGGAGCTCCGTCAATTTGCAGGAATTTTGCGATTTCGTATAACAGTTCCAAGGGCAGGGTGTCCGCCATTATGCGGAGGGGCCCAGAGCATAACACCGAAGAGTTGGTTGGTCTTTCAATTAAGGAAGAAAGCAATTGGAGAAGAGCAAGCAAGCCAAATCAAAGAATGAAACAAAAGGGAGTTATTAAGAGAAGACAGTGTACTTTATAATTCAACGCTTGGCGGCACGTTCCTAGATGTATCACATTCAGAGCAGAATGTGATACATCACTACGAGTATCAGGCTAGAGGACCTCTCATCGCGTCTAATTATCGGACCAGATAGCCTCAATATTGATACGTATACTAATCTCTTAACAAAAATAGCAATAGCTCTCCCAAGCTAGTCTATTTCCAGTCTATTTTGCTGCCAGGCTTGTGACACCTATAGCTCAGTGCAGGTGGTTCTTCTCGCCAACATCTAGAGCCACCAAAAAGCGACTGACACAATTGTAAGCCGCAATCGTAGCGGTGATCTCAACAACCTCCCGTTCATCAAAGCACCCCTTCAGCTCTGCAAAAACCTCATCAGGCACCGAAACTGTCTTGGTCATAGCATCGGTATACTTCAACACGGCCTTCTGATCAGCAGTCAAGACAGACGACGCAGCCTCACTCGAGAAGTTTGCCTGAGCATCTCCAATAAATTTCAATGCCTCTGCACTCAATCCACCTTCCTCAAGCAGAGGTGCATGTTGTTCCCACTCAAAGAGGGCGCCGTTGACCACTGCAACACGGCAGATGGCTAGTTCGCGGACGACGGTTGAGAGAGTGGTGCGGGTGCGGATTGCACCGATAAATGAGTTCCAGCCCTCTGTGACAGGGTAGGAGTGCAGGAGCGCTAGATCGAGGGGGAGGAGCGGGCCTGGGGCTCGTCGGGCTTGAACGCTGGCTAGGATTTTGGCCTCATCTGGGGTACTAGTTGCTGGAGGGTCTGCAACGTATGGGAGACGCATGGTGGCTGAATTGCAAGGGTTTTAGGTGAACTAAATTGGAAGCTGGTCTGTTCAATGGCTGGATTTGAGTGGGAATCTGGGGTCTGGGGTCTGATGTCAGTTGAGATGTGACTTGATGAGCTGTGCTTTGGAGTGGACAGCTGTTTTCAATGAGAAACAAATTTTTTGTACCTGAGTCAAAGTTAGGAGTTTGGAAGATACTGTTTTTTCTTAGCGAAATCGGCACTGGGCTCTATATGGGAATGGGTAACTATTTATCGGCATCCCCGCGGGCGCGCGGGTCCGCTATGCTCAGCGGATACAGTCCGAGCCGCGGTAGTCGGATTTGCGCTTCCGGGTTGCTTCCGCGGGGTTTGTGTTGGTTTTGCTTGCAAATGTAGATTTAGACCTGTGAAGAGAAGAAGAAGTGAAGATTGACATTGTCTAGGGTGCTATGTCCACCACTATGCGGGATGACACATTTGAATTTCACAAAGCCCAAGTGGTCCAACATGCAATTAGTCCAATGTTTATATGTGCCCTAGAAAATGAATCGAAATCAATTTCAAAGCTTTTCTCTTCAAAATTCTTCGAATATGGTGAGGTTTAAGTAAATTTGACTTTCATCAAGCTGCAGTGCTGTTGGTCTTGGCACATGATCTCCACAAGTTCAGAAGCTCTGGTGTCGTCACCTCTCCTGAACATTGTTCCCCCAAACAAACATGCCTCCAAAAGCCACTAAACCCACTAGCGACGAGCTTTTAGCTCAGTTTGACGACCTCGGTCTTGACAAATCCGACAACAAACCGTCTAAAGCTGTTGCTGCATCTGAAAATGTCAAGGGCGGACAGGAAGACATCCTGGCTGAACTGGACCACTTAGCCACACAGCGCCCAGCCAGTGGACCAGGTACGCCGCGCCTGTCTGCCGATAAGCCTAGGTCATCTACACGATCTCCCCGCCCGAGTGCGACTATCGACCGACCGACCGAGGACAAGGCGCCGGTTCGCCAGTCTGAGGATACGGGCCGGTCTTCACGTACAGAGGCAAAGCAAGAACAGCCTAAAGCTGAGTTTGAGAATGCCCCCACACAGCAATCATCCGAGCAGGGTGCCGGTTGGTGGGGTGGATGGTCAGGAGGGCTGTTCGCAACGGCCACCGCAGCTATGAAGCAGGCTGAGGCGGCTGTCAAAGAAATACAGAATAACGAGGAGGCTCAGAAGTGGGCTCAGCAGGTCAAGGGCAATGTTGGAGCTCTGCGGGATCTTGGTATATATTCTCCTGCTCAAAATATGCTACTGTACACGCAGATCAAGCTAATTGGCCCATACAGGCGGCGAGCTTCGAAACAGGGCAATCCCGACATTCACCAACCTCATCCACACCCTCGCCCCTCCTATTTCTTCGCATGAGCGTCTACAAATTCATGTTACTCACGATATGTCCGGATACCCGGGCATCGACCCGCTAGTCTATGCGGTATTCTCACGAGTGATGTCCCAAGTCGAGGGTGGGGACTTGTTGGTGATCCAGCGGGGCCAGGAGTCATCCCCGAAGCGCGGGCTCGATGTGACCAGCTACATGACCAGTGCCGGTTGGAATGATGGGCCCTGGTGGCGGACGGTCACACCTGGACAACCGCGGACCATCTCTGCCGTGCGAGGCACCGTGGAAGGTTCCAAGCTCGCTCGAGCTAGCGCCGAGTCCTACGCTACCGAGTACTTCGCATCCCGTGGCGGAGTGGAAGAGGCCGCGAAGCATGCTTCAGAAGTCCTGAGTGAATCGAACCCGGTCCGCAGCAGCGATATCTTCTTGGCTATTCAGGCTATCAGCCAGACTACTTCCAAGGATCTCTTCCAGGCGGGCGCGACAGGCGAGCAGGCCACCGAAGGAGCCGTGGAAGCTGATACACAAGAAGAGGAGATCTCCTTCGCGCTGTACCTTCACGACCCCATCCATGGCATTGCCTTCCACGCCATCTCTCAGAGTATCCCACAGACATGGATTGAATGGCTCGATGCTTCGGTCCCAGCTTCTGAGGACCCCAACGCTGATGATGCGAACGCTCAGCGTGTTGTGGTGCCCGAAGCCATCGCCGAGGTCATCGAAAGTGGAGGTGTCGACCCCCGCGAGTGGGTTTCGGAGTGGATTGAGGAAACTCTCTCGCTGACCGCTGGTATCATCGCGCAGCGCTACGTCGCCCGACGAATGGGTGTCGGGGAGGGAGGTGTCAGCAAGGGCAAGATGCGAGCTGAGCAGGTGTCGACTGTGGATAGTGGCGCAGGCGAAGCTGCGCGCGCACTTTAGGACCACTGTGATCTTTTATATCGAGCTCAAGAGCTGACGCTCTTATTCTAGCATCTCCTGTCGTTTATGTGATACACCTGCAATAGCTTTTCTATTTCGATTTCTCATGTTATTTCAGTTATTACGCCAAGCTGTCTGGCAACGAGAATAACAGTAAATGACCATCATCGGTATCACTTGCCCCCCAAAAAAAGAAGAAAATCATGTATGCAATTCCTGTATATGTACAAAACAAACCGTTCTCCTTATATATCACCATATTATGCATTTTCGAAAACCATTGCGGGTATCGTAGGATCATCCAAAGCATTCAAGAGTCTGTTTAAGAACTTCAACAATCAAAGGTTCAGCGGGCCTTCAAGACCGGGAACATGCCAAAAATTGGCTCGGAGGGCAGTCACACTAGACATAGCATTAGCATATATATTTCCAGCACATCGTAGAAAGAGCTTATCTCTTACCTAGTCGCCCCATTGAGCACGGTATGAGCATCCGTACCCACCTCACTCTCCTGCAAGGTCTTTTTCATATCCGACAGATCAGCAGACCACTTGAACTGGCGCTGTCTGGAAGGCGCAGGCGCATGTCCATTAACAAGCGTGCCATTCGTGCCATTCGTCTCGCCATTGACATGAACACCGTTGACACCATTCATACCATTAACCTTCTTCCCCGTCCCTTCCTCCGCATATAAACACCCTCGGGACCAATAATACGGCAACGTGCGCGTATACAGCACCGGCCTCTCCTCAACATCAAGACACATGGGCACATTGATATTATAAAGCTCGACACGATCATCCCAATTCTCATAAAGATGTCGCACAACCTTAACAGCCAGTCTCGCCGCCGCGGCAATAACATCATCAGTCTGCGGATCCTTGCTGCCGAACGAGATAGCAATACTGCGCTTCCCACAGAAGACAGCCTCCAGCGCACCGCCTACCGTTCCCGAAGACAGATTGTAGATGGTAGAGGCATTGCGGCCGTGATTCGGGCCCGAGAGGACGAGGTCGATGGGTGCGCGCTCGCTAAATAGATTGTATAAACCTAGTTGCGCGCAACTGGCCGGTGTACCATTGCGGACTACCACCCAGTCATTTTGCGGATCTGGGGATTCGAAATTTGTGTCCCAGCTGCCGTCAGCGTTAAAGGCGTCTGGGTGGACGTAACTGGCTGTGAGGGAAGCTTCGATTAGGTGAGCTTTGCCGATCCAGGACCGGGAGGCTGCGGGGATTGCTACGGAGACTTGGTGGCCGTTTGCTTCGAGGGTGTTGACTAGCGGTCGAAGGTATGGTGAGAGTTTGGTGCTTGGCGGACCATCGTCGTTGACTACCTATTTTGGATGGTTAGCTTATCTGCCTTTTTTTTTGCTTTTTTTATTATCTACGTTGTGCAATTGCTCGTGGGATGAC